TATTTTATTTGTTTAAAGGCAAAAAATGGGAGTAGGAGCATGCACAGATATATGCAGGCCAAATAAACTTGATTTATCTGCAACTGACATTAAACAGACGCTATGAATCTCTCAATCCGCTGAGCTTTCTCCTCCTCCTCTCTCTCTGGTGCCATTGGTCCTTTCACAGAAATGTGTCTTTAACGGAGAGAAAGGAGATTAAGAGGCGAGTAGAGAAATATTGAGATCATTTTAAGATTGCAGACTGCAGGAGAAGGACCAAAGTCACACACATCTGACCTTGTTTCTCTTTTTTTTCCTCTTAATTCCACATCAAGCTGAGCTGCAGCTCCAAAACTGGCCTCAGAATACGTGTGAGCCACTGAGCATGCCAGCATTTGAATGTGTGCATGTGTTAGCAGTTCTCTGTGGCTTTACAGTCTTTGTGTAGTGTGCAATAAACCAAAAGTTTTCATTGTGTGTGTGTGTGTGTGTGTGTGTGTGTGTGTGTGTGTGTGTGTGTGTGTGTGTGTGTGTGTGTGTGTGTGTAGTATCCCAGACTCAGCATCTTCCCACCAACAGTGCCGTTGTTCACATCCAGTAATAACACCTTGCTCCTGAAAATTAAAGCCTGTGGCCCTACAGTTTCTCTCTCTCTCTCTCTCGTTTTCTCTCTCGCTCTCTCTCTCTCTATCACGCACACACATAAACACACTGGGGAATGAAGTATTGCAGGGGTTGAACACAGTATAACCTCTTTTAAGGACACAGAGAGTGACCCAGCTGGTATCCTGCTGGGACTTGGTTGAATTTAGTCTCAACATGCACAAACACATGTTCTCACACGAACACATGACACAGACTATAGTGTGGAGGCTGCAGTGCAAATTCCATTCAGAGTGCTGCACACCTCACATTTAAACAGTGATAGAAACATGATAATACAGGTTTTTAATGCAGTGCTGCCTGAGGGGGCCAAAGGTCATGGGAATTCAGTGTTGTTCTGGGTCTTGCTGCTTACCTGCAGAGATTTCTCTGGATTCTCTGAATCTGTTGATGATATTTTAGACCGTAGATGATCAAATCACTAAATTCCTGCAGCTGCATGTTGAGAAACATTGCTCTGAAACTGTTGGACTTTTTGCTCACGCAGTTGTTGACAAAGTGGTGAACCTGTCCCAACCCTTGTTTGTGAAGGACTGAGCCTTTCAGGGATCTTCCACTTATTCCCAATCACAACACTCACCTGTTTCCACTGAATCTTTTCGCCTGTGGAAATGTTTCAAAAAGGGGTTTTTGGAGCAGTCCTCAATTTACCCAGATTTTTCATGACCCTGAAACTGCTTTTTAGGAACATTTTGCAGGCATCAAATTCAAATGAGTGTATATTTGCAGAATTTTTTTTTATCAGCTCGAACATTAAATATCTTGTAAAACTATGCTTTTATTTTGAAGTGCACCACTTCAGGGTTGATCATAAGTTACAGAGCTAAATAAAAACTCTAAAATTGTTTTTAAAAGTGTGTAACCATCTCTCACAGGGCTGCTACAGCTAGCTTGCTGGTGACCTGCCCAACATTGTGATTTCCAACATTGAAACTAACTAAACACAGAGAGTCACTCATGGTATTGGTAGTTTTATTTGCGTATTTAAGTAGGGTGACCATACGTCCCCTTTTATCCAGACATGTCCTCTTTTTTGGGGGCTGTACGAGTTTGTCCGGCTTTGTCTGTCGTTTTTAAAATCCTTCAAATGTACGTAATTTTGAGTTTGTGTCATGTGGACTTGATGAGTTAGAAGCTCGTAAAAGACAATTAATCCGACCCAAAAAACTCTCAAAATTAACTTTGTGCGACTCCGTGACTCCGCCCCCATGTAGTCGTGTCCCCTTTTCTGGAAGTCAGAATATGGTCACCCTAATTTAAGTCATAAGGAGCCATCACTGTTCAGTCTGACTGCTTTATGATCAACAATAACTTTGATAATCGCACAATGTCACTTACTTTCACTTATATAACCTTGTCTTTTTTCACACATAGCAACATTTTTGCTGTAATGCTGCTTTACACAGAGGAATAAAATCACCCTATAAAGATTTAAGTGATTTAAGGCTATGTCTGTTTTTTATGTATGTGTGTGTATGAGTGGGTGGGTAGGGTTATTTCTCCTGCTTCTTTACCCTAGGACAGAGCTGCATCACCTATAGACAGACATTAAACTCCTGTCGTTCCTTGAGATTCACTCATTTGTGAGGCTGCTGCACCCTCTAGTGTCTTAAACAGAAAAGTCAGCCTGTTTTCTAGCAGAATATAAAGATTGGATGTGATTAAAAGAAAAACGCCTCCAGCTGTCACCCACTGAACCCCAGAGCTCTATTCAGCAAACTGTGACAGTTTTTAATATCCAAATTATGCAGCCCACTGATCAATTGTGATGATAACTGCTGACTCAGACAAATTCAATATCCTCTCTTGTGATACAATCAACAACAAACACAGCATTGTGACTGGGCCACACTGGTTTCAAAACAACCACAGTGGGATAGAAAAAAAAAAAGAAAAGAGTGTGTAAGCAGTGTGAGTCAGGACAAAATGAGGTGGAAATCTGGAGCCGTTTGCTGAAAATGTGGCTGCAGAATGCAGAGTAGAAGCTCTGTGAGCAGCAAAGGAAGCCTGAAGGGACGTGAGTTATATGTCACTAAATCAGTGTCACATGCAGCTGACTCTCAAGCTTCATGTCCATCAGCAGCAAACACAGGCGAGCAGTTAATGCTGAGTGTGTGGATGGAGGAGGAAAGAAAGCAAATGAGAGGCTGGAGAGTACGTACAGAGAAGCTGAGAAAACACTCACACTAGATTAATGTCCACAGCTACGTGAGATGTAAAAAACCTGAATGTGCACACTGAAAAGTCCTACTTGGGAGACCAAAACCACCTGGACTGATACTTAGGGATTTAAGACAGTTATGCATCTCATCAGGAAATCAAGCCCTGAGGGTTTAAAGAAAGAGCAGAGAGACACAGAATCAAAAGTGGAGTCCATTGTGAAGTCAGTGAGGAGTTAGGCTGCCATGTCATCTGCTGCTGGTGGTCCACTGTGTTTTATGGAGTCCAAAGTCAACACAGTCCAAAGTCTACCAAGGTGATATTAGAGACCTTTATGCCTCCATCTGTTTACAAGCTTTTAATTATGCTCATTTCCTTTTACTAGCTGGACTTTGCATCTGCCTGCAGCACCAAAACTAGGTATAATTAATAAGGTCTGTCCCTTGATCAATCCCTCTGCTCACTTGACTTTGTATTATAGCTTCCTATTTCCTTACATGAACTATTGTAATATTGTATGGTCTGCAATATATCTAATTTACCTCGAGAAATTATTAATCGAGAAAAGATTTTTAACAATGATATCTCGATCCAGCAGACACGAACCTTCTGCACCTCTCTTTACTAAATACTCAGTCTTGCCGATTGACAAACTCAGTGTCTTTCACTCTTGCTTGTTTGTAGGAAACACGACCTTACTAAGACTTTCCAAAACTTTTTTACCTTTTCATCTGACCTTCACCTGTAATCAACAAGACAAAATGGCTATCTTCATTTACCTTTTTGTCGAACTTCTTGTCATCAGTCTAATATCACTTTTAGAGGACCTTAACTATGAGATGGTCTGGATTTATCTCTCAAATCAATATTAGCCTTCAAACCCTTCAACATATCATTGAGATCACATCTAATCATGTTTTAAACATGTATTTATCTGCTATGTTCATGTTTCTTTTCTTCGTATTTTATGTATGTTAATAATTTCTTTATCTCTGGTTGGGCTGGTTGATGATAAGTCTATGTTCTATTTATGACTGTTGTATATGTTTTGACCTTTCTCTACCCATTGTATATTTATAACCTGTCTATGTCCTAATTACTTTGTTGTTTGCACCTGATGCCTTTACTGCCCTGATGGGAGTGGAACTCTGTATGAGCCTATCAGCTTCGTTTCCTCCTTGCACTGTTTTTAATCTGTGCTAAATAAATAAATGAAAATGAAAATGAAAAACTGCTTTAATAGCTATGATAGACTCCCCTGACCGGAGCTCTGATGATAAGCTGTGATTCAAGAGGAAGATGAGAAACACCTGACTTGTTAAAGTACAGACAAATAATGCCCCAGCAGAGCTACAGACTTTACATCTGCAACGATCCTGCTATTTTGCTATCTAATGGTCTCCTACAATGTTGCAATAAACCATTTTAAACTGAAGTCTCTAGCAGAACTTGCACATTTCTGTTTTTAAAATACTGTCAGAGGCATTGTAGGAAATGTTCGGATAACCTGAGATGCTAGACATCAGCTTTTCATAAGCGATAAGCCAAAATCCGAAATATATGAGAAAGGCATGATAGAGACATAAAATATTTTGAGTTACACTATTTTATGTTGAGTTATTTGGAGGCAGACACATTAAGCTACACAAAATGTGTCTGGTACATTCACTTATCCCACAATATATGTGTAATAAAACATTTATATGCATATTCTGTGTATATAGTCATACATATATCTCCATTTTTCCAACTGTAATATATCAAAAACTGTACATAACAGCTGTAAATAACACTCGTGTAGATCTGTTTTTAACTCTAAAGTTTCTTCATCCTTTAATTTCTGTTTTTGTGTTTATGCTGCTTCAAACCTGGAATTTCCCCCTGTGGGACTAATAAAGGAATATCTTATCATATTCTCGGTGGCAGTTTTTCTTGACAAATATCTATTGTTTTACTTGTTCCTTTAAGTCTGTCAGTGTCTTGTTGTATATAAGAAGTTTTGTTACTGGTGTTACTGCCATAACACTACACTACCATAACACTCTGGGAAAACGTTGAAACCTTATTGAGCTTTTCCTCGTTATATAAAGGTTATCAGACACAAGCCTCTCGATAACAGAAATATAACCTGGATGTTAAAACAACATTTACAAGCCCAGAAAACAAACGATGGAGGTTCAGCTGTAATATGAATATGCAGCATCAACAAAGAGAAAGGAGGAACGACTCTCTTAAAACCGAACAACTTTATTTGTGACCTCCTGCAACAGATCAGCCAAACAGAGAAAAATCTTGGCATCTTCATTGACAAACAAACATAGAAAAGGTTAAAAAAAGAGGAAAACATCAGAGTGCAATCGAAGAACATTTCGATGTAGAGTTCATCTGTTTCCTCTCTCCTCCTCTATTTCTGTCGTATCATCCTCTGATCTGTCTCTGTTTTTCCTCCATGATAGCTGGAGGGACAATCAGTCGTTTGATCATCAACTTAAACATCCGCATTTAATTTCCTCTGCTCTTCAGCGATTGGCTCTTGGTTACCAGGGCGGCGACATTGGCTGTGGGTTCTGGAGGTATGACATCACAACAGCTGAGATGGAGAGCCTGCAGAGAGAAAAATGAGGAAATGACATCATGGAAAAGTTGATTTTATTTCCCGCTGGATTCATTTTGAGGGAAATTTTGAAATAATCAAGAAAGCATTTTTTAACCGTGCCATAAAGATTAGGATTTGAGCTTTTTTACTGCTGACATTTTATCACAAGCTGGGTTTTTATTAGCTGGAAGTTACAATCGTCAAGATGAGAAGAAATAAACTCTTGAAATATATCAGTCTGTGCATGATAGGAGTTTCACTTCTTAAATTAATTTACTGAAATTTTTTGATGATATTCTAGCTTATGAAGACGCACCTATAAAAAAAACCCTTGGACCATGTGATGCCCCCTGAGAGGGTTAATTCATCCTCACACGTATGAAGGCTCAGCTCCATCAGCCTGTATCAGCACTGACCTTTGTTGAACACCACGGTGATGCTGACATCATATCTTGGCTATCAACAAACGTCCTAAAACTGGCCTTGAACCAGCATCCAGCCCGCAGCGTTAAGTTCATCATCTAACATTAAGAGCTGAGCCAAACATTCTGCCTTATGAAACTATGAGTGCATCAGGCTTGTCTTTATGCAACCTCATCTGTACGATGGCGCAGAAGATTTCTCCTCATTGTGAATCTGTCTGCGAGGCCTGGACGGCTGCCCTGCTGTAGTACTCTTTTTATAAGCAAATGGAAATGTCCCACCTCTGGAGGTCAGACGGTTAAAAGCTTTTGGACATTAGAGCTGGCTCATCTCGAGTCTCAGCGGCAGACAGACACGAGTCCAAACCTATACTTTGAAATCTGCATAAATTGTGACTAACTTTAACAAACAGCTCTTTTCTTGGCTCTCTGAAAGGTTGCAACAAAAGGATCAAACTTCTTCAGCAAAAAATCAGTTTCTCTAAATCTTGAACTGAGGTTTAAGATGGCGAACACTCCACATCTAACTGCAGCGGTAGCCTTGATAGTTTCCACTGAAAGTCAGTTATCTCAAATGTTAAATTGCCTCAGATGTTCAGATTTAACAAAACTGGAATTAACATTAGAACTTCCTCCTGCAGCACCTATTTCAATCTTTTTCATCTTTCCCTTAAGTCTCCTTGGAATAACCCTCTCACTGCAGCACTTCTTAAAAAAGTGCAGCATTCTGTGGAGGGCAGTGCAGAGATGCTCAGAAGTTTTCAAAGGCAGAGTCAGGAATCTTTAAACACATCAATATTTACTCGTTTTGAGGTCAAAATGGCAAATTAGCTTTGACCGCTTTGTGGTTATTAGATCAAACAAAATCTGGGTGACAAGCGCCCCAAAGTGTTTTTGTATGAGTTTGTTTCTGCATATAGTTTAGGCTGCGCATGATAGAGAGCTGGGAGACAGTCTGGAGTATAATGTCTGTGCAGGACTGAGGTTAAGCTGGTGAGTGAGGAGACAGTAATGAGGGTATCCTTGTCTTCTAGCATGGAATGAGGGACAAGAACACTGTGTATGGCTCAACAATACCTGCATTTGTGTTCAGTTTAAGAAGATAACGATTTATTTACCATGATAGGACAGGAAAGGTAAACCCTGGACATTGAACCTATGGCGGTGTAAACTTACATGAAGCTGCTCATCATCTGTTTGGTGTCCTCTGAGCTTCTGGAGTTTGCAAAACTGATGAAGGAGCAGTAGACAGCGATCCAGGCGCACCACTTCAGCTGAAATACACATGGAACTAAAGGTTAGCTGGACAAACGGGTGGGATCACAAAAGCCATCAACCAGGGCAGCTCTGATGCGCATTTTCACAAGTGATCGCTGAATGAAAAATTATCTGAGGCCCTCTGACTCTCTTAAAGGTTTTATTAAACTGATTCTGTGAAAGTTCAGAAATTTTGGGGGTTTGAGGGGCAAATATTAAAAACAGCTGAGGAAAAAAGCCTCTCTGTAGATTCATAGTAAGCCAATAAAACAACTGCTCGGCTATTGTACTGGGAGGCCACTCTGGCCTGCTCATGTCCCATCTTTGTCTCGTTCATTGTGTCTCCAGTGCCCAAAGTGAAAAGCTCTCCTTCATCCTCCCATCTAAAGTTGAGTTTACCTTTAATCTTCTAAATGGACTGACGGAGCTGGACCAAAGTCTAGGGTTCATCCCTTTATTGTGGACACACATAAAACCACACAGAGGCAGAGGATGAGGGAGAGGTGGGAGTCAAACAGTCAGTGAGTGTGTGAGTGTGGAGGTCACCTTGAGCATCAGCCCACACATGCTGAAGATCATGCCGAGCAGGTTCATGTAGTCAGGCGTGGGGTCTTCCAGCGTGGGGTTGGTTTCTGTGCTGGGGGGCTTGTATCTACAAAACCAAAATAAACAGTGAAGAACAAATGAAGAGATGCCTGTGAGATAGTTCAGACAAACATATCCTCCTCATGAGGTGGTCTATCTACACTGTCAGATTCCAGCTCTGCCAACACAGATATATATATAGAAGACTAGATACGCCAGCACGCTGTAGCAGCATACTGTAGCAGCTCGCTAATGGGCGTGCCTAAGTGGCAGCCATCTTAGCAGGGGCAACAGTCCCATTAAAGGCACTAGATGTACATGAAAGATAAATCATATCCCACTCATTTCTCAACCAATTTTCACCTGGTTTACTTAATTTTCAATGCCTAAACATTTGCTATTATTTCAAAACATTAGATTTTTAAAAATGTTTCTAATCAAATGATCCGTATTCATAGCACATGATTCGGCATTGACAATAAAGTACACTGCATGAAAATCGCTAGAGAATGAGCAAGTTATGATCTATTTTCATTGTACATGCATTGCCTTTAATGGGAATGATTCCCTCACCAAGATGGCTGCCACGTAGACATGCAAAGAGGCAATTCATATTATATCTATGTCTGCCAACGCCACTGCTACCCTGAATAAGTGGATAGGTTGAGAGATGGACTCCAGTCTGCAGAGTCCTGCATGACAATAACTGTCCATTTTATTAACAGTGAGGATGAAACACACTCTTGTGTGGTGCAAACTAGAATAATACATGAGACACACTGTAGGCAACACAGTAAAAACTGTGGCTGAAGCTGATTCGGATACAATCATACAGATTAAAGCTCTTGTGATGAACTTTGAGTTTAAGTCAATTTTGGCACCCCCCTGTGGACGAAGCTGTCTCTCCTTGCTCTTGTACCCTGAATTTCCACCACATCCTGAACGACTCTGATCCGGCATGGCGCCAATTCCTACCAGATCAGTTTGTGAGGCAAATTTCATGGCAGATTACAGAAAGCGGGAATCGCGAGAACTCACAAGAACCTGCGGATTTATGTGCGATTGCGCAAAAACAAGTTGTCTCTATAAAGACAGCCACTTAACCATATAAGCAGTAAATTATGTCCTTCCAGAGAAGAAAATCCATGTCAGGACTTAATGATCACCATCTTCTCATCCGTGGTGTCATCGGGGAGTAATGCTATCTATAAACCTTTCACTTGTTCGTCTCCGCCTGAAAAACCGCCTTTTATTTTGAAAAGAGGCCAGATGTTTTATTTTGAGTCTGTGCCCGACTTCCTTACCAGCACAGGTTAATCTGTGCTGACTTTATGCGGCACACTCCAGCGTCCAAAACAGAACTCTTGCGAACCGCAGCGGAACAGAAAGAAGCCGGTGGAAATGAACACATTAATTTGAATGGTTACGATCAGCTGCAATTGTCAGAAACGGCCTTTTCGTAGCCAGTCTGGATGTGGTGGAAATTAGAGATTAAAAATGCACATCTAATCTAAATTTATTTGCAGATTAGGAATAGGAGAATTTTTTATTTCAGTTAAACTAAACCAAATGTAGGAAAACAATCAATCCTACACTTTACATTTTTAGGGGCGTTTCAAGTCTTTCACAGTCTTTCTACAGATATTATGCTGTATCGTTAAATCATTGTTTTGCCATACTTTGTTGTAGAATTTCACCTGATACACAGGCCATGACTATAACAATACTGTGACACAGCAGCACTTATTACAGCAGTTATTGATATATTTTGAGACAATATGTTATCCCATCTTTAACAGAGAGGTAACAGAATTTGTTTTTTAATTAATTTGCCTTCATCAAGCCAAAAGTTTCTCCATTTCATTTGGGTCAGGGCCTTTAGCAAGCAAGCTGGCTTTCTGCACAAAAAGCTCAGAAAAGCCGATTATTATGGACCTGTTGTGTGAATTAATGACTATAACACACTGAAATATCAAGCTGTTTCAAGCTCACTGTTCTTTTAGAGCTGTAAACACAATTGCATACAAGATTTGCAGGATTTAAATGGAGAAAAACGAGCCAAAGAAAGTGATCTGGTCTCTGAGGGTTACATGGGTTACACGCATGAGAAACACTGGGATAGGAAATACATCTTTTCTCATGATATGAGCTGTTACTAAATGACTTGAAAGCCTATGTCAACAAAAATTAAGCGTTGACCATTACCTGCTTGATATTTGCTAGTTAATATAATTTTAAGCCCAGTTTGATAAACTAAACTCTAATCCCTTTAAGCTCTGCTCATGAATTGTGTTAAAGGTTAATAGTTAGCAGTTAGCTCCCAAGCTAATACCGCTCGCTCCTCCCATCAAGAATGAGGCCTCTCTTTCTCCATTAAATACTCACCTTAGTATTTTGTTCTGTCTCCTCGGGTCTGCCATGTTATTAAAGGACATAATTTATTCCAAAACGCTGAATTGTAGAAAAATTTACACGATGACAGAAGGACAGCTGATGAGGCTTCTCATGAATGGAGCTGAGAGGAAAGTGACGATGCATCCGGGGAATTTCCAAATAAAAGCCTAATGTATTCTGCAGCGGAAGATGCTCATAGACAGTCTATGGGGATGCTAGATAGAAATGAGGTTTAGGACTTTTATTTTGACAGGTCATTTTTCCCAACGTGCATTGCGGATACTAGCAAACATGTCGGGTGTAGTGAATGGAGGAGACTGTTGTTGATTGAAACGTTTATTTTCATGAACAGCGACATTAATATGAAAACATTACTGCCCTGGAAACTCCTTTAAATCGGATAACTGATAACTTTAAGGGAGTATACCGAGGTAAGGAGCTGCTGCAAGTTGGGAATGTGAGCATTCAATTGATTAACCCCGCCATTCAAATGAGAAACTGCACTATAAGGTGCATTGATAACTTCAGTTCTTGGTTTTTAAGAGGATTTATGAGGAACTGTAATTCTTTTTAGCAAAATGGATAACTTTTTTACTCTTATGTATGATCAAAGTTTGGTCATTACTATTGCAAAATGGCACATTGTTCACAACTCACAACAAACCAAGCCTGAGTTCATAATGATAATATTGATTAAAAATAATTCACCCTTTAATGCCTTTTGTATCATATTTGAAACATACTTTTATATACTTAAATCAAATCAATTGATCAACAAATTACTAAAGAAACACCTGAATACAGTCCGGAAAATGACTAAAATGTCCTCTTGTAGTTTATCAGTTTCCAAAAATATCTAATATATCAAAGGAGATAGATGTGTTAAATGTTAAGGACATTTTAATTTTTTTGGTTTTCAGTAGTAAGTGAAATAAATATTTCAGCTCTAAAAAAATTGAATTTTCGGGCCATAATTTGTGGTGTCAGGCATTAAAGGGATAAATAGATACACAGGAATAATCAGGAATCATGATTTGAAGATGTTTCATTCCTTGACTTGAAGGACAGTGGTCTGATCTTTTGTGCATGAATTGTTGAGCCATAACTATGATAGTGTTTTACATAACATGTTTCTTTAATCTTCTTTCAAACACCTAATTTGACTTTAAAGCTAGTCACAACTTTTATATTTACAATGGAATAAACTTGATATTTGGATGTTTTAATACCAGAATTAAAAATATTGTGTAGTAAATAATGTCAATCTGGGTGTTGTTCACCTTTTTGATGCAGCTGCATGTCAGATATTTTTTTTCCTTTAGAGGTTTAAAAAATATGATGGAAAACTGTGAAAAGTTATTATCAGGCTTATGTAATTTGTGATGTGTTATTCTCATAGATTTTGTCATGGCGTTCCCCCAACCCAAACCTCAGGCCCCTCAGCTTCCCCGACACCTGCTCAGGACCATCGACTGTCAACAAGGAGCTGTCAGGGCTGTTCGCTTCAATGGTAAAATAGACTAAGGACTGAAATATTCATCAAACTGTTTTTAAGACTTTTGAGATGGCTGCAGCTTGTTTGTCATGCCAAACATTTGATTTGAGTTAATATTTAAGGTGTGAAACACATTTGCACATGATCTCAATCAGTTGACAGCACAAGCCAAATGCAAAACTTTTATATAGAATATGATGAACAACCCCCTGAGCATGAACTCTCCCAGTGAGATCAGGTCTTTTCTTTTTCATTTTTTTCAGTTAAAATGGTTGAAATAATTTATTGGGGCAAATATACCAGATTTATATACTAGATCAGTGTTACTCCCAAAGATCCATTCATGAGATGTCGTATTTCTTACGTTTTCTAATGCCTCATGTCTGCTTGTTCAGCTGATGGGAACTACTTCCTGTCCTGTGGCAGCGACAAAACTCTAAAGCTGTGGAGTGTGAGCAGAGGGACCCTCCTCAAGGCGTACAGCGGCCATGGATACGAGGTCCTGGATGCTGACGGGTGAGAGAAACATCAAAACTTTTAATCACGTTTAAGGAAGGAAAATCCACATGTCACGTGTATATAAATGAAATAAAGTTACTCAAACTGTACTGGAGACATCCTCATTCTCAGTATGATGTAAAGACATGTGTTTTTCCTGCTGGTTGTTTTAACAGATCCTACGACAACAGCCAGCTTTGCTCCTGCAGCTCTGATAAGACGGTGATCCTGTGGGATGTCGCCACAGGCCAGGTCACACGGAAACTCAGAGGACATGCTGGAGTCAGTTCTGCTCCTTAAAGCTGTGATTTTGTAGTTTAAATCTTTAGATATATTCCCTTAATTCCTGTTTCTTTGGATTTCATTTGTTGTCTGTCTTCCTCTGATTTTTTGCTCCCAGAAAGTTAATTGTGTCCAGTTCAATGAGGAAGCAACTGTCATGTTGTCTGGTGAGTTTTTTCATTTTAGTGCATCTATGTCAAATACTGTCCAACCCTTTAAAACCTGCCGTCATCCTTATATCTCCAAACTCAGATGCTTGTTTATTATGTGTTTGTATATGTGTGTTGTCTTCTTCTAGGATCCATAGACGGGACAGTCCGGTGCTGGGACACCAGATCCAGAAGATTTGAGCCCATCCAGATTTTGGATGAGGCTCGGGATGGCATCAGCAGCTTGAAAGTTGTGCAACATGAGCTACTAACAGGGTGAGCAGAGTCAACTATGATGAATTTTTTAAATACTATGAAAGCATCTGCATGTTAGAATTCATCTTAACATTTTAATAGTCAGAGATAAAGTGACACCTTCTGAACATATCTCAAAACTATTTCAGGTCAGTGGATGGCAGAGTGCGGCGATATGACCTGAGAATGGGACAGCTGCATGTTGACTTCATAAACAGTAAGTCAGCTTTTTTCAGGACCAAGAAATGATTATTAATAAAGTTTATAGGGACTTTAACAAAGTAGTAACTGATGCAGTAGTAGTTATGTTTTTGATGTGTTTTCTTTTGTATATTTAGAACTATTGAAATTATAAAAATGCTGAACTGTAGTGCGTATCTTTGGGTGTGTCTCAGGTCCCATCACATGTGTGTGCTTCAGTCAGGACGGTCAGTGCACTCTGAGCTCCAGTCTGGACTCAGCAGTCAGATTACTGGACAAGAGCACCGGGGAAATGCTGGGAGAGTGAGTACTCCTCAGATTTACAGTTAATAAGGATCTTAGGAAAAGTATTTTATGTGGTACTCGTTAGACAGAAGTTCACCTTAAAGTGATTTTTAAAATAAAAAAACTCCCAGGCTCTGCAGTTTGCTGGGAGTTTGATTGCACAGCTGCATACCACTGTACTGACTGTGTTTTAAAGTGCTTCGTAAAAAAGTTTTGTGTATTTGTGCGCTTCTTTCCCTTAGATATACAGGACACAAGATGAAGGGCTATAAGCTGGACTGCTGCCTGTCCAGTAAAGACACTCATGTCCTGAGCTGTTCAGAGGACGGACACGTCTACTGCTGGGACCTGGTGGAGGTAAGTGTCTATTAAAATTTGTTTCTGTCCTGCATGAAAATCAGAGTTGGTAGGTTTTTTCGGCTGATGTTTATGAGACAAACATTTAAAATTTGGCTCAACAAGTAAGAGAGAAGCAACTTCTGCTCATTAAGTTGCTCTTTTTTATTCCTCCAGGGTTCTCTGTCACTGAAACTGCCAGTAGGAAAAGCTGTCGTCCAGTCTATGTCCTTTCACCCCACAGAGACCCGCCTCCTTACTGCCATGGAGGGGCGTGTCCAGGTGTGGGGGGCGGAACCAGAGGAGCCAGAAGAAGATGCAATGGCCACATAGCGATGGTGGAAACAGTCACATGCTTGGAACTCAACTTTTCCTTCTAGTCTTATAAGCTGTGACTCTAAACTGAGCAGAAAAACATTGAACTGAACCTGATGGTGTCATGTTTCTATGACTGAAAGCTCAGCAAAGATTTGACCTGTAAAGACAAATGCTGGACAGAAGTGCAGATATGATAAGGAAGAAGTTCTGCTGACCTTTTGTTATATAGATGTACATTTTCTATCTCTAAATCCCTTTTAAGGATCATTACAGATACCAAATGAAACATATTTTTGATATGGAGCCGTTAATAAACACTTGTATGAATTACTCTCTCCACACACGCTTTGTTACTCTTAAAATGGAGGTTAGAGGATTCAAATAAAGGCACACCCACCACTGTTAAGATCTGTACAAATTGAACTTTATTAGGAACTTCATACACCAAATTCATTAGGATATGTAAAGTACAAAATAAGTTAATCAGCTGGACAATATAATGGCAACAAATAAATAAATAATTTATTTTACATAAATACATTTTGTAGTTGACAATGTCTGATCCTCAAGAGCTTCAGTCAGCTGTGTTTCTTATAGCAGCTTCGTATGCATCGTCCTTTCTATCTTATATTCTCTAAATTGCATCGTAGATTTTAAATTAAGTATCAGCTTATTTACAGAAATAGTCAAGTAATTTGCTATCAAATCATTTCTGCTCATTTGGTCCACTTGTTGATTTCTAGGACAGAATCAGTTTAGTCATGCTTTTACTAAGACACTTATTCTGACATGTATTTCAGAGGAAAAACTCCTTGTCCCAGAAAGCAAACTGGTTATGAATAAAGGATACTAAATTTTTAGCTTGTCATCAAAGTAGTTTGTTAAATCTTAATGCCCATGAAATTACCAAAACTCTCAAATCAGCACTTCCCTGGAAGACAGTCAGGAGTAACAGCTGAATTTATACTCACTGATTTTTTACATTAACAGCAAAATATGATTGGATTTTTGCTTCTTTTAATACGTGGTTAGAAAACCTTCAGTCCCACAGATGATACCAACATCCCCCAGCAAAGTCGAACCGTCAAACCTCCTCTCTGATCTGTAATGGACTGTCTATCCCACACAGCTGCAGCCTGCAGCTGACAGCTTCTCCACCTTGTGCCAGCGATGAGAGTTGTCCAGGAAGGCCATATCCTCATGGTGGGTGGGCCTGCAGCAGGGCGCATTGTGCCACAGCTCTCCTGGTGCCGGCTGGGGGAGCATCCCACTCAGCAGCAGGTTGGTGAGGGTGAGGTCGTGGTTGGAGCGAGCATGGGGGCACGTCCCACTGCAGTACTTAAAGAGGACGGTCTCGTCCGAATCGTAGCCTAGCCCGAGGTCCCGGACCTGCAGCAAAATGGAGCGCAGGCCACACTGAGAGTCAAAAGTGGAGCGGCGAGAGCGGATCATGCGAGGAGGTGATGGTTCAGCTCCAGAAGCTTCTGTTTGGCCGTCCTCTGCAGCTGGATCTGTGCTTGTCTTCTCCGCATTTGCTGATGTTCCCCAAGATCTTATTTCTGGTTTCTGATCTGCAAAAGACAGAAAATTATCTCTACATCTGGTGTTGAAAAAGTATGTGCGGTAGTTGAGAGCACTTCAATGATGAATCCAGCCCACATTTACACAGCTTTTGTTCAAACTCTTGGCTGTAAATCATCACAGACACAGAAAATAAACATTTGAATACTGGGATAGTAGCATGGAAATCTAATCTACTCAAAACACTAGACTGTACAAACTCAACAAAAGCTAAAAATCATATCTATTAGAATTTTTAGACCTTTTTAGATGCATATGAAACAGGCTGAAATTCATACTTATGCTTTTTACTACATACAAACACTAACAAAGCCATATGTGACCAGACTGACAGGTTTTACTCGAATTTTGTTCATGCCATAAATCAGTATAAGGAGGTAGGTGTCTGCCAGAAAAAGAAAGAGCCCTGTTTTTATGATTTTCACATAAAATAGTCACGATAATTGATCCATTGAACTGTAAAAAGTCAGCAGGATGAGATTCTTGGAGACAATACTTTAAGAACTTCAAGGACAACACAAGCAAAGACTGTTTTGTCCACAGGGGGCACCAAAATTGACACAAACACAAATAAACGTTAAAGGAGATATTTGCACACCCAACCGCCTCAAATTCAAACTTTAAAAAGAGAAGACCGCACACAATCCTTCCACTCAGTTTTACCATTTAAGAGAGCAAGAACTGTAAAAACCACCACGTGTGATTCAGACCATCCAGAAGGGCCAAATTTTTTTTAATTTTTTTTTAACGGTGAAACTGAGCTAGACAAGTTTGGGGGATTTCAAGGCTTCAATGACCACCATCAACGATATTATATAATTACTGCTTCAATTTGGCATAAAGATGTGTTAGCCAAAAGGTCAAAGGTCATCTCAGGCAGAACTTACCCATCAGTGATCTCAGCCAGCGACTTTCTCCCCTCTGGACGCAGAACAGAATCACAACCAGCTTCAACAGGTACCTCATCGCTCCGGTCTGCTCTTTATCTGAGACGTCTCAACGTGAACCAAACACGTGTGTTCGAGTGTCTGCGGGTGCGAGTGATGCTCGAGTCACAACCTCCAATATATAGCCCCCGGAGATGAGGGGGGTTGAAAGGATGAGACAGACAGACACTAACCCGTTACTTGCCAGCAGACGATCCCGCTCACCTGAGCCTGACAGGGAGTGTAGGAGGGCAGGCGGGCGCTTGACCCAGAATTTGTCCTGTTGGGATTATCTAATTGGTGTAAATCACTGGATGATTGTTCAATTTCCCCCAGATGTTTTCCAGAGGATGTTGGCCCCTGGCAAATCCGGATCCACAGAGGCTTTTGGGGCTTCTTATAAGAGGACTTCGATGTCATATTGCAGTGATGGCATGCCTAATGCATGATAAAGTAGAGGGTGCAAGATGGACACGGATGTAGCAATGAGACGGCAGAGAATGAATGTGCTGGCAAAAGTCTATCAACATAAAAACTAAGATGACACATGCAGGAAGTGTCAAGATCAAGTGTGATGAAATTTAAAAATATGCGAGATGAGTCATTGTGGTATGTTTAGTAAAAAGGGCCATCATTACTATAACTGCAAAAGACTGATCGGCCAGAAATAAAAACTGTAAAAAGTTAAATGCCTCTGACAAAAGGGGAAGTCTGGTCATTATTAGCACTCAACAGGCCCAGTTTCAGCAGACATTCCATAATGGCCAACAAGTCTTCTTGAGCCGGTCCATAAATTGAGGGATTTCTTCAGCGATGTGTGGCTGACATGTAGAATATGTAGAATATGCATTATGTAACAGTTATAGGGCCCAAACAGGCGATGAATGGAATCTGCAACAAAGTACATATTTGAACCCTAATTCTGCTGAGATCCAGGTGCAGGTCAAATAGCCCAGTGCAACTTGTCTGGCAACAGCCTCTGCTGTAGATGACACAGTTTGAGCTCCCAACAAAGACAGCTCTATTTTGGGCAGAGGTTCCTTCAAACCCACCAGACTTCAGTTTGTTTTCCTCACAGATTAATTAATATGGTGATTATTAATTTAAGGAAATGATAAAGTAATGATCATAAATGTTCTTCCTTGAGCTGCGTCACCCCGCTGTAGTCCGTAATGGACTGGCCCAAGGTCTCGCTACAAACAAGCGGCTGCTGGAAGAGAGTGGGTGAGTTGTGTTTAGTCTCTTTGCTAAAGAAATCAGGCAAAGCTGAAAAGATGTTTGGTGGCTAGTACTATGGCTGGGACCCTAAATGTACCGTTGATGAAGTTAGGTGCTGTTCTGAGCATTATTTGTGGCTTTTTGGTTGAAGTTTGTTTATGGCTCCTCAGACCGCCGTTTGAATAATATAAGAAACTGTACTTGAATTTAAATCAAATATTGCCAGGCAGTGTACATAGAGAATACAAGAGAGCAAGTCAAGCTGACTCCTGGCTTCACTTAGTTATATTTAGACATGTGGAGTGTTTGCTGAGATTTTTAGAGTATTTATTGTGCTTTAACAGAGCCATTTCTCTTGATGGGAATTACAAAGGATCCCTCCCTAAATCTTAAACTAATAATGGAGCTTGAAATTCACTGCCAGGAATTTCAGCGATTCTTTCTGGGATACTGTTTTTTCAGACTGCACTAAATTAGATATTTAAAAAGAAGAATGGCAGTGTAGTCTTAAGTGTGCTCTTCCTCTGTTACAGCCCAGTTCATAAAATATGTCTGTCTTTGACCTGAACAAACATTAAAAGACTGATGATTGTATTCGTGCTTCATTCTAAAATGACTCCTTTTTAATCCACTTAAAAACCGAGATTTTGTTCTTTTGTTTTGCACTCTTTAACATTTTCACACACAGAGAAAAAGCCCAGTTCTCCTGCTTATTAAAACTGGAATGGTGACACCATCAAACTATATGCTGAATACAGTCTCTCTAGCAACAATTCAGAAATCATCTTCAGAAAACCACAAGGATGTAGATCAGAAAACCATATAAAAATGAAGAAAGGGCCAGCAACGTTCGTGTCATTCTTTGGATGATATTTTTTATGACTTACTGGTACGGTTGCTACGCAAACTGGTTTCAACAACCAATTTTTCTTCATTGTGTAAGGATACAACAGGGAGGGATGTGTTTCAATACCTTGTGTTTACAGCTGTCAGTAATCAGGGTCCAGATTCACTGTTCTCTACCCTTGCCTAGAACAATCTGAACCAAGCCCTGGATCTTCAAGGACATCCTTGAGGCCAACTAAAAGTCCACAAACACCCATCACTTTCCACAACCACTAAAAACACAACACTCTGAGCCACCGGGGAAACCTGCCTACTTCTTCTGGAGATTCTTGGGGTCACCCAGCCCAAAAGGCCTCCTTTAGCCTGAAGGCTTTCTTCACTACCATAGTCCATTGGTTCATCCAGCAGGTTAAAGTTGCCACCGTGACGGACCTCGATTGTCTTCTGGCTTCAACTCGTTATCACCTTTTCCACTTTGGATGCTCTGAACATCAACCACATGGACTTCATGGACATTACCTCCCCCCTGGATGCACAGAAAGTTCGTCCACAGGCAGGAACTAGAGACCTCACAATCAGGGGCCTCCAAGAGACATTCCTGGTTCACCTGTACTAGGCTGATCAGGCAGGCAATTACTCAAGGTTTCTCCATCATTACCCATTATTAGGGCTGGGCGATAAAACGATAACAATATATATCATCAATTAATTTCCCTCAATATCAATATAAAACATGGTCAATATCCTTTTCGATAGTCAGCATTCTGCCATGTTTTGGTAGACTATACGAATAGCCAATAAAAAGGGGAGTTGTTCTGGGTCCGCTTTGCGGTGAACCAGAACCAAGTAGCAAACAACTGTGTTGTAGCAGGCTGAGTAATGTGCACTGCAAATTACGCTGAGAACATCTTCTTGCAAAGTTGGGGAATACCTCAAATCTTTTTCACCACCTGAAGCAGTGCCATGCGGCAGAGGATGCACAATGTAAAAGGTTACAAACCCCGAGCGAAACAAGGAGCCCATGGCGCCTGTGCAACCAAAACAGACGACCATTCAGTCCGCATTCTCTAGCGCAACGCCTTACAATAAAACGTCAAAGAGACACTAAGACCTCACAGATGCAGTAGCTTATTGTATCGCAAAAGACATGCTACCAATAAGCACTGTTAAATCAAATTTTTTGTATTGTGATATGTATCGATATTGACTGATATGAAAAATATATAATGATAAACTTTTTCCCATATCCCCCAGCCCTACCCATCATCAAATGACCATTGAAACCCCACAGCAGGCCTATAAAGTCCCCTGGTGACACTCCTTCCAGGATCCCACTCAGAGGCTCCACGAAGGTTGGTTGACTTCTGCATATAAACTTCTGACTGGTTAAAGGAAAGTGCCACACCCAGATAATGTGGGGGAAATCTTTTTTTTTAGTAGTTTTAACACCCTTGTTTGTACAGATAATAGAAGCGCAGACCTTGATCACCCTAAGATGTGGAAAACAACTTGAGCTCTCCATCATCCGTCCTCGAGTGAGCAGAGTCCATTTCCAGGTAATTTCTACAAAAAACAAGCGCAGCAAAAGGGCACGGGGCCTGACACATTCCTTCCACCTCTGAGAGGGATCGATGCAATGAAGGCCAAGCTGCAGATAAAAAGAAAGAAGGAAAGAAGAGGAGGTGGCAGGAGAAATACAGTGGAGATAGAGAAATCCTTTTGGAATACAGCCTGGAGGAGCAGTCTGGTATGTGGGACTCTAAGAGGACAAGAACGGAAAGAATGTTAAATCTGTTTCTGTAAAAAGGGAAACTTATCAGAACGTTTTTTTTTTTTTTGTGGTGGTAATCTTGCCAGATCTGGAGACTGCAAGATGATGCTCCAAAAATAGATACCTGTCCATGTGCTTAATGTTATTACTATAATCTGACCCCCTGACCTACCCTCTAGTTCAGTCATTGAGACAGGAAGTTTGTCAGCTAACAGCATGCTACCATTAAGATATTTAACATAGGAGAACATTAAACCTCTCAACACTCAGTACGTTCACATGACACTCGAGAAAACCGAATTATTGCCTTCCTCCAATTAAGACCGGACAACTGAAGTGCATGTAAACACCATAGTCCGACTATAATTGGAATCTGAGAAGTCCGATTGGAGTCGGTGAACTCTGATTACAACACCCAGATAATGAGTCAGTAATTCAATTTTCTCAGCTGCATGTATACAAGGACGAGGAGTCCAATTCGGCGAAAAAACTGAATTATGAGCTTAGTCCGATTAAGCTGTGCATGTGTACGCAGACAAACTGTTACTTAAAAACTCTGAAAAAGTCGTATGATGGTAAAAAATACCTAAAGAAACAACCTCCAACTGAGTAATTTAATATAAGTAAGTTGCATGAATGAGAATAAATATTCCTGAAATTCCTGGAAGCCTGACTCTCTGTGATAAAAACATACATCTGTGAGAGACTGCGTGAGCAAATTGTTCAGTTGTTCAAAATCACCTCCAAATTCTCTGCTTTTGAACGCATCTGAACATATAAGAATAAAATGTCTCAGTTTCAACATTTTCATCCTGGCTTTGCACCATTTTTAATTAATACCTCAAAATCTCTTTTTATCAACATTTTACAAAGCCTCTGACCTTCGTTATGGAGCTGGGGGTTGTGGCATTTAAACCTCCAATCTGATCTACTCTTTAACCTTCAAAGGTTTTTTAAAAAAATAACCCAATCAAATTAAAATCAGGCAAATTCCTGTGTTTCTGTAAAGCAGCAAAACTATTTGATTAGAAAAGACAAATGTTTAATCTCTATGAGTACCACGATACCATCATAGAATAGCGCATTAGCAACAGTGATATTGCAACTTCTCTTACCTCTGGCCTTCCCTCAGCTCCCTCTAAAAGTGTCACAATCGTCTGGTATCTCATCTACTTCTAAATCTCTCTGGAGGCATCATAGATCTCAGGAAGGACAATCTCTCCCCTTAGCTCTACTCGGTCACATTCCTGCACGCTCGGCCCGTTTATTTTGATGTCTCATGAAGCAGACTTCCATCAAGAGAGTATTTATTTTTTGATGAACCGCTTCCTCCATGTCTACCCGCCTTCTTACAAAAATGAAAGTAAATATTGCATTTTGACATATGAACAGATTATACAATGATGAATACTAGTCATAATACGCTCCAGTATCATCTTTAGCTTATTGCTTTTTTTTCTTTTTTAAATGCTGTCCTTATAATACTTGACTAGGTCAAATCAACCTTCGATGTGACTTATTCAATAACTAACACCTCAGTTTCTTCAAATTGATTTAAGTTCTTCTTTGTTGAAATACATTTTAATTGCATTTTGATGCATTTCTGTGAATTTTTGTTTGTCTCTGAACACAAATCTGAGCATTTGTTCCTCATGATGAATTCCGGTTTTATCACTCCAGGGAGGAAATGACTACATGGCACGACACGTCACATGTTTAAATTGTATAAAAAGCTGGGATGAGCTGTGCAGTGAATTCCTGGATGAGCTGGTCGGACAGTCAGTCCATGTAGGGATCGTCTGAGCCGAGCAGGGCAGGAATGTTAAGAAGCAGCCTCCCAATTACGGGAAATATTCAGCAAGGATTTAGACTCGGAATCTCAAACTCGCACAGAGCAGCTCCTGTTTACGCCGTAAATCTGATGGTCAGGACTGAAACGCTCCATTGTGTGTCACATCAGACATCAGATGCAGACTACTGCACTGCTGAAATGTCAAATCTGTCCTAAAGTTTGTTTGGTAGAAGTACATTCCACCTTTACATATGACTATAAAAAAATCAAACTCTTGAGTCTGAAGCCACACGCACATACACTTCATAACACCTTGATGGACCAAAGGGCCAATGGTGGTGGACGGCTTCTCTTTCTTGGCTGCAGGACAGCAAGGTTCAGAAGATCTTTTGTACCAACAGCCATCAGACTTTACAACTCTTTTGTAAATAGTAGATGACTTTTTGACACATGACAACGGGATAAGATCAAGTTATTCTTATATTTGGGTTCCCTAAAGAGTTGACAGTTCAGCTCCCTCAAAAGGTGCTGGATGAAGTTTAGGACCTTCGTGGACCTAGCTTTGAGCACTGGCAGAAAAATCAGAATCACAACTTAATCATGTTTGGGAACTGTAGTCATAAATACTGTAGAGTAAATGTATGAGGTGTTTCCAAATGAAGCAAATACGATGAGAGCAAAGGAATTAACTGCACAAGACTATTTGTAAAATGTTTGTTTACTTTAAGTGAAAATTATTTCTTTCTTTGAAGTAAAATGTATCAAATTGGAAATATATCTGATGGTCTGACAAAAAAAATGGAACTTGCTCACCCCCCTGGTTTCAGAAATGGTGGTGGCCTCTTAAGAAAAAAGCTACTTTGATCCATGATATGTGTGAAGCTCAATTTGAGCTTTTACTTAAAAACCATCCTTCTTTAACACTCACTCTTCTCCTTCTTTGTCCAACCAGTGCATCTTGGGCAGCTGTTAGCTACATAAAATATCCCACACTTTTCTAATTTGTTTGAGTATCAAAGCAATATCAAAGAAAAATTTCCTCTTTCAGAGTAAAGCTATGGGAAAATAAAGACATAATGTTATGAGAACAAAAAAATGGCAGAATCTAATGAGTAAAGTTGAACTGAAGTCAAAATATGAGATTAAAGTCATATTTTCCTAAGAGTGAAGTAGTGCTTAAGTCATAGCCTTGGTTTACAGTACCATTTAATACCTCCTTGCACTTTGTTGTTGATTTTGGGTTTTTTTTCCTGTCACTTTTGCATTCGTAGTTGAAAGAAAGTTAAATCTGCTTTAAAATATGAGTATGTAATTGTGAGATCTTTTTTGAAATGATTTACGACAACAGTAAAAATACCTTCCAAATTAAAATATACTTCATCATGCTCATTATGGGGTGGCACAGTGGTGTAGTGGTTAGCACTGTCGCCTCACAGCAAGAAGGTCCAGGGTTCGAATCCCTCTCAGGGCGCATTACTTCACTCAAAAGTTTAAACTTGTTCATAACATAGTTCACTCAAATTCAAGGAAAAGAAGCATCAACGGGCTGTATTTTTGTGAATTTTCTTAATATTTTATACTCCCAAAACAAATACTTACAAACATGATGGACAAAAATATATTTTTTCTTATATATATAAAGAGCAGGAAAACTTCATTTTAATGCCCTAGAAACTGGTTAAGGGTCATTAAAAGCATTAAATGCTACTGTAAGAGACAAAAGGATTAAGTATGGCAATTTTCTTTTTTTTTTTTAAACCAAGCTGATTCTTGGTTTGGGTTTAAATGTGGATGAATTAAAATTCAAGTTTTGTCTTTTAGGTCACAGACCCAGGCTGCCATCAATCCAAATGAAGAGCCTCTTGGGTTTTTGGACGATAACTTCACAGAGATGGATTATATGCACAACAACAAACCTTCACCAGCTTATTGAAACTTAATAATACAACATAAAGTTTCATAAAGTGCTTCATGTCCTTGTTGTTCTGGTGAATATGCCTTCATCTTACTCTACACCGTCAGGGGTGGAGGCAAGGAGTTTGTCAGTACGTCCACAGCGGGGCTGCAGAGCAGAGACGTATCCTGCAGGAGGGACACCAACTCCACAGACCCTGGAGGATCAGTCTGGTTTTGTGCAGGACTTGTGACTGGTTCAGGCACCCTGCCCTTCTTGGGGACCACTCTCTTTGTTTCACTGTAACCGCTCAGCCTGGAGGCCAAAGACCTCTTGGGTCGAGGCTTTTTCAGCTTCCTCCTCAGCGGGTCATGGGCGATGCTGTGACGCTGCAGACTCTGCCTCATGGCGAAGGTTTTCCTACAGCCCGGGTGGGTGCAGGTGAAGGGTCGCAGCTCCTCGTGGAAGGAGCTTATGTGGCTCTGAAGGTTGAAAGCAGTGGTGAAAGACCTCTCACAGTCGTCTCTCGGGCACTTGAGGACCACCCGCACATCAGAGTGGATGTGTTGATGCTGCTGCAGGAACCAGGAGTCCCTGAACTCTTTGCTGCACTGATCACACCTCACAGTGAGCCTGTGCTGCTCCTTCCTGTGCTTCAGGTACTCGGTCCAGGTCTTTCCTGTGAAGCTGCAGTCCTCCTCTTTACAGGGGTAACCTCTGTGCACCTTCTCATGCCTCTTCAGCTTGCTGGGGAAGGCGAATCTCATCTGACATCCTTCATAGGTGCACAGGTAAGGGGGCAGCTGAGTGTGCTGCTCACATATATGAGACTTGAGCTGCTTGTGTTTCTTGAACTCCAGCCCACAGCCCTCAAACTTACACGCATACTTCTTCTGCTCCTGAGTGTGGGCCCTGCTCATGTGTCTGCTCCGGTTGGAGTTGGTGGTAAATGCCTCTTCACAGCCGTCAACGGTGCATTTAAAAGGCTTCACGCCGCTGTGGGTGAGATCATGTCGGGCTAAGTGGTATGGGCTGCTGAAAGACTTCCCGCAGCCATCGTGCTCACATGTGTGCGGCTTCACTCCGGTGTGTTTACAAAGATGAGCGCTCAGCTTCCACTGTTTGTTGTAGGCGGCCGAACAGTCCGGAAAAGAGCAGATGTAACGTTTCTGTGGCTCCGCTTTATTTTCCATTTCTGCGACATCGACATGTGATAGAAACACAAGTAGAAACGTCTGATTTGATACGGCCACGTTTTCACTGACAGTCTTCCTGACACCGGTTCTTCCCACAATCCTCTGCAAAGTGACGTCAGTTTCTAAGAAGATGCTACATTCAGGTGCTCATCTGAAGCTCGGAATGTTTTAAATGTTTTACAAAATCCAAATGGATTCACACACTAGAGAGAAAATAAGGCAAGACAACGATATACCTTTAAAATGCAAAAATATAAAAAATAAAATAAAATAAATACAAAAATACATAGGACTTTCATATTATAACATGAAAACATCATATCACAAAATAATGTGATAAGTATCACGTAAAAATGTGATAAGTATCTATCGCATTATTTATGAAAAAAATACATCTAAAAACCACGTAAATATTTACGAGGGGGTAAAACAAAAATTAAAAAAACGAACATGAAAGAGTGTCTATTACCAGGTTTTTACAGCCTAAACATGGATTTTCCGATTTTTTCGTACAGCACATGAATGCATGGTTACGTCTCTGGTACCCATCAGCCCTCTGGAGTGTTTTTGGCTGTACAGCTACAGAAGCTTCTGTGAGTATTTTGTTTTAGCGTTAAAACAACATTCATCATATCGACAACTCATTTTAGATAACTATACAACTGTTTGTAGTTGCTTTCGTAATTTAGCAATAATTTGTAAATATCTGCAAGGGAAAAAAAAGGGGGCGTTACTTATCAAGCTAACTGCTGCTAACGTTAACTTAGTGTTCGCTGTATTGGAACCGTTTCTTTAAACTAGCTCTGGAATAAAAACAGGACTTTACTATGCTGGGAAATGTTAAATATATAAGGTATAACAGATTGTCAGGCATCTTATTGTTCATGAAAAGACAGTTTAGCTCACTGTTTTCTCCAAAGTTCATAAATATTCTGTCTAACCGTGTAACAGCCTGTAAAACCATCATGTTTTTGTTTGTCTTCAGTGACACCGAGCTTTGGTTTTGGTCTGTTATCAGGTCTTAGTGTGGGGGTCCTGACGTCAAAATGGTAAGCCATGACCTCTATCATGTACTTGTGTCTGTCCCTGGAGTTACACACAATCACAAGTGTTTAATGTGCATTTATCTATCAAAGTGCTCTGTGTTTATTTCTTATACAGGGTGAAAGGAAAGGAACCAACAAATACTACCCTCCTGATTTTGATCCGGCTAAGGTGAGTATTTGCAGACAGAGTCGCTCAAAGTATGGGTCAGTGTCAGGCAAGTTTTAATTTTTGTCCTATTGTGTCCTAGCATGGATCACTTAACGGTTACCATAAAACCCACGCCCTGCGGGAGAGGGCCAGGAAGCTGTCCCAGGGCATCCTCATCATCAGGTGGGTGAACACAGAGGAGTGAAAGGGATTATTATCCACAATTATGTTATCAGACATGTTTAAGATTGTTTTGTTTGATCTGGAGACACACACACAAGCAAATTAAGGCACAGATTTTATAAAACACTTACAACTGTATTATCAGATTTAAGAAACATCTATTCTGTCGTGTTACTCCAAAGCAATGACACTTTTTTTCTGTTGTTTTCTTTGATATATTTGATGTTAATTCACTGAATTATTCATTTTTGTCCTCAAAGGTTTGAAATGCCGTACAACATCTGGTGTGATGGCTGTAAAAATCACATCGGCATGGGTAAGTGTTAAGAAAAATGTCTTATGAAGTGCTATTTAAAAAACTATATTGACTGGCTGTAATGTTTTTCTCTGTACAGGGGTCCGCTACAACGCAGAGAAGAAGAAAGTGGGGAACTACTACACCACGCCAATCTACAGGTAAGTGTGAAGAGACAGGGTCTGTTTTAACTCACATTACACTCTGAAAGAAATGAAAATGAAGACATGTTTTTGTAATCCAGGTTCAGGATGAAGTGCCACCTGTGTGTGAACTACATTGAGATGCAGACGGATCCGGCATCCTGCGACTATGTCATAGTAAGCGGAGCGAGCCGGAAGGAGGAGCGCTGGGACATGGAGGAAAATGAGCAGATCCTCACCACAGGTTAGGAATCATTTTTACTGTCAAAGGAAAGAAAAGGTTTGCTTAGGTGTCTGCTGGAGTCGTAATTTGGGCAGATAACCAGCTGATAACCAGGCTGCAGTTTGCCTCTGTGCTCTGCTTCAGCTGTTTATCATCTCTCCTCTGTACAGAGCGGACAGAAAAGGAGAAACTGGAGACAGATGCCATGTTCAAACTTGACCACGGTGGGAAAGACAAGGAGAAGCTCAAAAAGGCTCTGCCCTCCCTGTCTGAGATCCAAGAGTACCAGTCCGGCTGGAAGGATGACTTTCAGCTCAACAGTTCCCTCCGGAGGAAGTTCAGGGTAAGAAAATCACTTCTTGACTTTCTAAAAGTTTCCACTTCTATGAGAATATTTCCCTACAGTTATGGGATCATTTTGACTTTGGTTTGTGTGGTTCTTTTAAATTTGTGTACTACAAATATTCCAGACAATCCAATGAGAGTTAAATGAAAGGCTAGAGACTGTGACACATTATCTGGTGTAATCCGGGGTTAGAATTTGCAGTTCGTACAGTAACTCCAGGTTTTACAGGAGATTCACTTCCTGAGGGACAATTTCATGAACAAAAACTGTGATGAAAAAAAGTGTCTCTGATTGTCTTTGATTGGTCCCAGGTCACTTAAACAACCTCATTTATGTAACTGTGCTCACTGTAAATCTGTCAGGTTGATAACCAGCTTCCCCCAAAACTGCATCTATTTCTGCTTGGCCCCCAAACGTCTCCAAACAAGATGAAATAATCACCAGAACAGTATCTTTCTCTGCTCGAGAAAGTGTCCACATTTGGACACACGCTGAGATCTTTGTATCTGACTGCTTTGTTTGACCCTGTGTGTGCAGACAGAGAAGAAGGTTCTGGCTGAGCAGGAGGAGAAGGACAACAAGGTGAGGACAAGGACCAACCTGTCCATCCCTCTGCTCCCAGAGAAGGAGGAGGACAAGAAACTGGCTGCACTGCTCACCTACCAGGCGCCTGACTGTAAGAGCCTGTTACATGCTCTGAAGTAACATGTTAGTCATGATAGTTTAAGACTGCTAAAGAACTAAATATCGAATTCTGGTTTCAGTGAGTTCTGGTTTAACAATCATAAAACATTTTCTCTTCTTTGTTTTCTCTCTAAACAGCCTATGAGGACAAACAGCACAGCAAGCGAAGAGAGATCTCCTCTCGTTCGTGGTTCAACACATCCTCAGCTGCACCTGGAAGTGCAGCTAGCAGTCTGCTTCACAAGCTGGGCCAGCAGGGGAAAGAAGCAGCCATAGCCAAATCTCTGAGCACCTCACACAGCCCCCTGATCCGCAAACGCTCAGGAGGTCCTGGTGTCAAAGCAGAACCCTGCGCCACGGTCACAAGCGGACTATCCCAGCCTGAAATCAGCAGGAGCGTTGGAGAGGTTTCAAAGGAGTCCCAGAGTCTAATATCAACATACAAGAGTCAAGAAGTGGCGGAGATAAACAGCTCCAGCTCCTCTGAGGTAGACCGGAAAACCACAGAGCAGGGAGAGGACGGACCAAAAAACACCGAAGACTCTGGGGAGGAGAAGGTGCAGGACAAAAGTTCAGGAGCAGTCACATCTTTGGTGGCAGATTACAGCGACTCTGACTCAGACTCTGAGCAGTGAGGCTGGATGTAGAGCTTCACGAGTTCACCGTTCCTGTTTTCACTGAATGTTAGTTTTAGTTTAAGAGAGTGAAAAACAATCTCTTGATGTTTCTTTCCCGCCATGGACCATTGCGAAAATGTTTGTTGCTTTCAAGACTGCAAAACATTTAGATAATAAGACTGCTCATTTTTCTTGCAGCCAATCACAGCAAGAGTTTTTTTAAATTGTATTTAAGGTTTGATTGACTTTCTACCAACCAGCAACAACCTACACAGTCTGTGTTCTTGTGATATCCATGGCAGAAATGTTGTTTATTTATTAATATGACCTTTGAAATATGAACTTGTATCAAATGAATGAATGTATAAATCTTCAGGAAGAGGAGGATTTTCATTTGACACTTTCCAGCTGTGACATTGATGCCTGAATCCTGGTGTTCAAACAGTACACAGCCGTGCATATTACAGGCTAAATATTCTGTCCTCCAAAACAAACTGCTGAGCCAGAAGTGGATTTTATGGATTCATGATGAGCTGCAGACTGTCAAAAATGTTCAACTTGTTTTCCTCATAAGGCCTGTTTGCAAACACTATGATTCAAACTCAGTATGTGTTGTAATTTTAGTTTTTTAGTCACTTGCATGTGCAGTAAAACATGCAAGATGACCCGTTCAAACTGTTCAAAAGAGTTCTGTTTGAGTTGAACTGAGGATTATAAATTGTTTAGACGTTTTACATAAAGTATGAGTGTCTGATTTTTGCTTCAAATTGAGAATCAAAGAGAAAATCTGCCAACTGTCTTTCAAGTGGGTTGGGTGTGTGAGTAATTTCTTGAAATACTCAGAAAAATCCAACTAACTGGTGCTTATTTCTCCGATTTTCTCACCCCAGCTTTAGTGGACTGCATGACCCAGTGTGTGTGTCATCATGTCAATAAATCCATCAGTCTTTATTTATATCCTGCAGATTCACATCAAGTGTTATCCCAAGACACTTAACAAAAGAACCTGGTATAGACTATACTCCAAAAATGTAGATATAAGCTAATTTTATAAAATGTCTGTTAAAAGATGGCTTTAAATTTGTCTTTTTGAAATGATTAATGTTAAAGAAAAGTAGAGTTTTATAGGATTAGTCTATTAAAGAGCTCTACAAATCATTAAACCTGGGCTTAAAAAAGTATCTACGGAAGATCTTCTGTGTGACCAGAGCGGTTTTTACCGGATTAGAAAATTCTTCATCCCACATCAATCAGGGTGCGAGGCTGTATGAAAGGCGGTTAATCATCTCAAATCAAAGTTTTGCAAAAGTCAACACCCAGTGGTTTTCTTATCAACAGACCTGCTGAGTGTTTACGCATTGGGTCACTCTTATTGATCAGAACCTGCAGCCCCTCCTCTTCATGTTGTTTGTACAGTGTTTGATCAGGAAGAAGGAGGGTGTTGGGGGGTCTGTTAAAGCAGCTGATCCTCTTTCCCTAAGGCCAATGTTCACCGAGGCTCCCAGGACAGTCAACATGGGTCTCTGGGTGCTGCAAAGTGTTTTATTCTTCATGCTTTTCTGCAAGACTAATGGACAGTTTGAACCATTCAGGTTAAGGTAAATTTCTTGTTTTTTTTCTCTCCATGATGCATCATTCATTAAGACCGATGAATTCTGAACCAAGTTATGTCAAGTTAAGTTATGTGTTTTTTACAGACAACCCTTGCAAGACAGGTATGTGTTTATGCAAATGGGTCAAATTAAACAGATCCTTTGATTTTTAGACATTTACAGTTATTTCTGATTTTGCTGCCCCAGATTTACATCAATAGATCGATTCTGGGACCTCCATGAGTAAGTAAACAAAGCTGGCCACATAGATTCAATCTATAAAATAATGTTCTAGATTGTGTTTAATCATCGCAGAATTAAGAGGGAAAAAAGTTGGAGTGATTCTGAGATGTTTAGGCTGAACTTGGAGGCAGCCAATGATAATTTGTAATTGGATTTGGCAGTATCTTTACAGTCTGTCATATTTCTACAAAAACATAGAAGTCATGGTGAGAGGGACATGATCACATTTCCAACTCAGAACAAAAATAGTCATTTTTTGCTGTAATATAAACAGCGGATTACGCTTTGACTCAAAATCATCAAAACCAAACCCCCTTCTCTTTCAGTGGTCTGTAATCCATCACAAATGTCACTACCTCATTTACTCGTCTTGCTCCATATGTGACCAAAACTGAAGCTTCTCAAGGTTCCTCAAGGAAGCGCTCTTGGGTTTTTTCTGTTCTGAACTTTTAAACCAAACACACATGAAAAATACGAGATTTGATTGTCATGTCCTTTAAATTGAATGAGCTAAAGAAAAAAGACACTGAACAAAAGTTGTACCTCTCTGAAAGAAACAGGGTTGTTGTCCGGTGGGATCAGGTGCTTCACCAGCCCTGCTTACTACATCGGCTGGATGACAATAGCACATTAATGCTTGTCACCGTGCTGAGAACTGTCTCTATGCAAGTGACACCTAACTGTACACCTCTGTCTCCACACATGACCAAATTACCTTTCGAACCCTCACTGCCTGCCTGTTTAATAAAAACTCAGACACATTGCAAAACTCAGACCCCCTTTTTTTTTACTGTCACTGCCTTTTACTGGCCTGCCCAAAAAGTAAACGGAAAAGCTTTTAAATCTGGTTTTTAATCCAGAATAATTTCTTGTAATTTCTCATGTTTGTATCTCTTATTTTATCGTTGATTTTGTTATTGATATAATTGTAACACTGACATTAACACTTATTGTCGTTTCTTTGCAGTGTCGCGATGAAAAATGTTGCCCCTGGTCCTAAACCCCGGTATAGCGTCATTTCCTCTCACAGTGCAACAGTAAAACATGCATCACTATTTTACCCTTTATTTCACTTTTTAGATTGTCCTCTCTCTTTTGCAGGATGCAGATTTTTTTAATGCATATTTATTTTGCAAAACCAAAATGGTCTTAGACTTGCGGAGCAGGAAGAGGCAGAAAGCTTAGAGAGCTCATTACAAGTAATTCAGGTTTTCTTGAAGACTCCAAAATCAGGCAACTGGACTGTTTTCTCAACTCTTCACAGTCCAGTTGCCTGAATTTGGAGTCTTCAAGAAAACCATGACCTGGATGAATGAGAATCTACATGGACAAGTAATTCAGGTCTTTTTCTGGCATGTAATATCTTGAAAAAAGGGCGTTTTGTTGAATTTTCTTAATTGTTTTTACATTTTGAGCCAAATAACAGCCTTTTCTGCGATCATATGTGTAGAATAGTCGATCCTGTCTATAAATTTACCTAGATTGGGTTAATTCTACACACAGACAGCTCTATTTATCCCTCATATACCTCAGTAAGATGCCCCCTGGCTCATATTGTGTTGTTTTCCTGCAGGTTGTTCACCCTCATTGCTCCAGACCTGCTGAGAACAGACAGTCAGGAGAACATCTACCTGCAAGCTGAGGGTCTGTCCATCCCCATCACCGTCTCCATCACCATCCAGGACTTCGCCAAGTCCACCGTGCTGCTGCAGGACTCTGTCATACTCAACCAGGAGAATGGATACCACGTTCTCAAGTCTATAGAGGTGACGGTTGAACTGAATCTAAGCTCTTGTGATGAACCTCAAGTTTAATCACTGGAACCACTTTTGACACATTTGGAATTGATAAAGATGCAAAAATTGAGCGTGTATTTGTGGATCTTGGATTAACCAGGATTTGGTAACTCTTAAAAATGAAGTTTGTGAAAAGTTTCAAACTACTTGATCAAGCTTGGGATCCAGTTATGTAAGTTAAATGTTAAAAAACTATGCTAAATTTTACAAGACATCCACAACACAAGAACTGGGATCCTTTTTTTTTAGTCATCTTATTCAGGATCAAGCATCACTGTTTTGTTTTTACTAACGCTACAAATCCACCTCATTTCTCCTCCATCCCAGCTTCCCTCTGAGCGTCTGAACCGGGAAGAAAAGAAGAACAAGTTTGTGTATCTGAAGGTGAACTTTCAGGATTTTTACATCGAAAACAGGATACTGATGGTGACTTTTCACTCAGGATACATCTTCATCCAGACAGACAAACCCATCTACAACCCAGGAGACGTGGGTAAGAGCTGACTATCCTACCCGCAAAACAGATATTAGCAATAAGCACAAACAATCCAAAAAAAGCTGGGACTTTAAAGATAATGATAAGATCAGGTTTGGATAGTTTATTAGGTATTTAAACCATGTGTGATTACCTGAAGGAACATCTACCAACCAATGAGGTACACCTAATGTGAAATGAGTATAAAGGGGGCACTCCAGAGAGACTGGGTCCCTCAGAAGGAGAGCTGGAACAGGGCAAGAGCAAAACCAACACAGCATAGCCAGGATAGTCGGGGCCCTGAGGAGGCAGTGCATTAAAAACAGACATGACTCTGGAGTGGAAATCACTGCATGGGCTCAAAATCACCTCCAAAAACCAGTGTCTAGCACAGTTTGTGTACACCGGTGCAGGTGCAAAAAGGAGAAATCTTATATAAATAAATATGTAATGTTGACGACTTCTCTCTGCCCAGAACCGATTACAGGTGGACTGAGATGAAGCGGAAACTGCTCTGTGTTGAATAATACTGGACTTTATTTTTAGAAATCATGGATGCTTCATCCTCCGTTATATAGGGTAGAAGGTCACCCTGCTTAAAGGACTTCGTTTTGCATATAAAACTCCAGAAACCAGCCTTCTTAAAACATGTTGCAGAGCTTGTGGTTTTTTCCCGAACAGTAAAAAATTCTGCTTCAGCATCTGACACGTTGTCTCTGCATGACTTACTGTGAAACACATGCCTTTTAACATTTCACACAGCATCATTACATCTGAGGTATCAGGGTTGTTCAGTTTGACCATTTCATGTTTTTCTGTTGATGTTTCATGTTTTTCAGTTCGTTTGAGAGCCTTTGTGTCCTCTCCATCTTTTAAGGCTTTCAACAGCTCTGTCACGATAGATTTCCAGGTAAATAAATTAACAAGCAACTGATTAATGGAGATATTTTAAGTCTTATCCATAGACTGTATATAGAATGGACATTTTCAGCCCCCTTGCTGTGGCGAAGCCTCCGTGAGAAAAGCTCCCCTGGTGACTGGTTGCAGTATATGTCATAAGTCCCGCCTCCTCCAGCAAACTTAATGGAGCTTTGGACAAAATTTACAAATTAATTACACGGAATATAAATGTTTCTCCCCCCTGGTTGCGTTGTTGACATGTAGTTATAGTAAGACTGGTTTGTGCTCAAGTCCTCTTTTTTCTTTTCAGCTCCATTTTTAAAAGTTATTAAGGGGTCCATGTTTTCTTTGATTGACACCTGATACAGCCTATGGGCGTATGAAGATTGCATAGATCTTTGGAGGGATACGCTGTTTAAGCTGAGCGTCATCACAGTGACTCTCCTGCTGAACACTACTGCACAAATGCTGGTTTCTGGATATGGAGAAAATCCTGGAAATACAGAGCGCAATTTGGCTTCAAATTCAGACAATAACGGGAGGTGTCCAAACTATATACAGTCAATGGTCTAATCTAAACATCCAGGTCAAATCCTTTGACCAAGAACTCAAAGTTTGCTTTTTCCTGCATAAAATCTTCTCACTATGAAAATATTTAATTTATTTAAACTATAAATGTTTAGCAAATTAAAAACTTGGTCATACAATATTCTGGTTGGTTTATATGAATCATTAGCTGAAAGGACCCGTTTGTTTTTGTGTGTGTGTGTGTGTTTTTTTAAGAATTCAGATGGCGTGGTGGTGAAACAGTTTACCAGGACCAGAGTTACCGATGGAGTCTTTAAAGACACTTTCCCTCTCTCTGAAATTGTCAAGTAAGATCAGTCTGACCTATGTAAAAATTATTAAAGAGGGGTCAAAGGGAGGGAGCTGAGTATTCACTCCTTCTCAAAGGTCTTTTTATGACTTTTCTGGCAAAAAAAAAGTTACTTTTAAAAGTTTAGAAAATTTTAATTACTGAAGAATCGTTGATGTGGCCCTGATACTTCAATATACCATGTTGACCTTTACATTTTAAAAACTCTGTAGCCCTATTCCAGTTTAAGTTATTCATAAAAGCTGGATGAGATGACCTATTTTACTTTCAAATTAGTTGTTCTACACCTCTCATCTTTCACTTGCTTAGCCTGTGTCTGAAATGAAGCATTCAATCCCTAACCCCCATATGGGGTTTCAGTATATAGCTGACTATGTATTATGTATCTTTGAATTGCCACTGGAGACGTAATGCATGACGAGTGCCCACCACTGGATGCCCACCACTGGTGAGTGACCGTCGGATGGTCACTACATTTTGCAATGCTCTATGGGAAATTTTAAGTCGCCTATATGGGACATTGGAATAGATCACTCAGGTTTCAGACACCCCTCAGAATGGTGGTAACCCCCATAAAGTCGTCTATATGGGGGTTAGGGATCCATTTCGGACACAGCCGTAAGTTATTTAGTGGTTGTAATTACCAGGTCAAAATCACAAGTTCACGGGCAAACATTAGCATGCTAAAATGCTAAACTCAGGTTTGTCTCACAGGACTGTTGCTTCTTAGAGTCAAGCTCAACTACAATCCCTGAGAACTCAACAACCCCTGAATTGCCTTCTTTCTTTAAGTTCACCTGTCATGTGTCTTGTGTTGTAATAGGGAAGGACCGTGGAAGGTGATTGCAAAATTTGATCACTGGCAGCAGAACACGTTCAGCTCCAGTTTTGTGGTGAAGAAGTATGGTAGGTCCAATTTACACTGTGCCTACTCTTTTGCTGATATCAATGATGCTTGATTGTTTGCTAGAAACAGCTTTGTCTGGACGCTGAACCTTCATGGTCTGTTGTGTTTCAGTTCTTCCCGCCTTCAATGTCACCTTAACGTCCCAAAAGTCTTTCTTTCGCCTGGATGACACTGAGTTAAATGTGGAGATATCAGCGAGGTCTGTCACGTAAAAGTTAAACACATACTTTTGTCTAAAGAAACTAAAGATAAGCTTCAAATCTGGACTCCGCATCTTCTCACACTGTGTTTCAGGTACCTGTTTGGGGAACCAGTCCAGGGGACAGCCTATGTTGTGTTTGGAGTGAAGATCAACAATGACATGATAAGATTGCCTTCAGTCAAGCAGGTTTCAGATGTAGGTCACTGCACTGTCACAGACTTTATCAGCTGTTGTGACCAATTTTTCTGTTGCTCAGTACCTGGTAGTTTCTTTTGTGATTTTTCCTGGGCTATACATCTGTGTTTTAATCATCCTTGAGCCTAGCTGACCCAAGAACGGTGCCTAAAATCTATCTACTTGGAAAACAAAGCTTCTAGGGGCTGATTTGAACACAGAAACGTCCACACATAGAGCAACAAAGTAGAAACCTCCCTCAAATCTTAACACAACACTCAGGGTCATGTTTTTGTAAACAAGGCCAAAACTCTTCAAGAATTGCCTCCTTGCATTCAGGGTTAGATCCTGGATCATGTGTGTAGTGTACCAGTGTGTGTTTTCCTGGTCTACTCGCCAAGTTTGTTTTGGTGTTTTTCCGCCTCTGCATCTGTTGGCACCCTCACCCATCAGATAATTGTCATGCAGCCAATCAGCACAACAATTTATTACCACAGCATTTAGCTCACTCAGATCTCTGTAGGGGTAGTGAGATTGGAGACTTGGAGATTGAGAGGCTGCAGATCCTCCACAGAGGTGGTAATTTTTTATGTTTTTTTGCAAAAGAAATCAAAACCTTGCTTCTAAGACAACTAGGACTTGCTGCAAACAGCTTAAAATACTGTAGTATGAGCCCTTTAACCCAACATTTGTCTCATTATTTGCTTGTTGTTCCTCAGCTGAGTGGAGGAGTGGTCAGTCTTAGTATGGAGGAGTTAAAGAGAGCTTATCCCAACATCAGATCTTTGGTGGGAAACTCTGTGTACGTCAAAGCTTCTGTGCTCACCGCGTCCGGTAAGAACTGCATTTCATCAGAGACACATAAAGTTATATACATACAATATAAATCAGACTGCTTAGACACGGGTGTTCTGCACATCAGTACAAGTACATGAAAGCATCACAACAAAGTGCTTTGGACTGTGTGTTATGTTTGTTTTGGTTCAGCCACGTAAGACCAAACCAGGTCAGTGTTTATTTTTGCTCCAGGTTTACTTAGTTATCCAAAAATTCCACTTTTGAAATACAACCTGAGGTCTAAGGTGTATCAGCATGACCTTTAACCTTACTGAACAAACTTTTTCACAATAACTGCATTGATTTTCCCTCATTACGCCAGTTTTGGGAAATGGGGATTGCACAAGGGAAAAATTCACTGAGTGGGTGCACTGAGAGCGCCATTGGTCTAGCGAGTGCACATTCGTATATGGAGGCCAAAGTCCTTGTCACAGGCATCACTGGTTTAACTCCCAAAAAGGATTATTCACGAGCTGTCCTTCCTCGCACCCTTTTGCTTTGTTTTCTAGTCTTTCTTCAGCTGTTCGATCAAAAAAGGCAAAGATGGCCCCCAGAAAAAAAAATGTCTTCCACGAATAAATTATAAGTTATAAATTATTACAAATAAAAATTATTATGTCAGCCTTGGACACCTACACCTTTCAGTGTTTGTTTGTTCCTCTAAAATGATGTTTTCCTCCATACAGGCAGTGATTTGGTAGAGGCAGAGAAGACTGGCATTAAAATAGTGGAGTCCCCATTCGTGTTAAATTTCAAAGATATACCCCGGCACTTCAAACCAGGCCTGCCCTTTGACTTTACAGTAAGAAATGACCATCTGTAAACTAAAACTGGATTATATCCGTGATTTTTCTTGTGAGCATAAAACTTTGACATCCCAGAGCAACAGTTACCCCCTCTTCTGTCCAGATCCAGGTGAGCCACCATGACGGTTCCCCGGCTCGTAACGTTCCAGTCAAGTTGAACATGTTGGACGCGCCGTTGATTGTCTCTGGCACAGCTGGAGTCACCATCAACATGCCGCAAAGTTTGCTTCCACAAACCATCAAAGTAAGTTTTGTCAGTGTTTGATTTTGTTGTTGTTGTTTTTGGTCTTTCTTGTTTACCAATGCTCATTATCAGAAAAGCTTTTGGGAATGCAAATTCCCTGCTGAAGTGAAACATGAAGAGACCCCCAAGTTACCCTCATATACTAATACCAACAAAAGTAATCTTATATAATTTTACAATATGAGTTACACGTTTATGTTACAACCAGATATTGATGATTTGTGATGCTCATGACAAAAGTAAGAACAGTGTTGGGGTCTTAACCAAGATTCAGTATAGTATGACTCACCTAATACTATTTAGAAATCTGAATCATTACAAAAAGTCTTTTTCCTTTCTCCAGGCTGAGACCACGCAGGCTGACCTGAAGCCAGAGCAGCAGGCCAGACACGAGGACACGATTCCACCATATCAGAGCTTTAATCGCCATTCACCAAACTACCTGTACATCTCCACCGGGACCAACAAGGTGTCTGTAGGAGAAAGACTGTCCCTGAAGCTGAGCATCAGTGCAGCAAACCAGGACATCAGGGATCACATTACACACGTCACATATTTGGTGAGCACATTTTAAAAAATCATTTATGCTGCATTTTATTCTGCTAGAGCCATAAACTTCAAGATGTGGCTTCAAAAACGGAGTTTAAGGACAATAATAAATGAGTTTGTCCTTTAACTCCCTCAGATGGTTAATAAAGGTAAGATCATTAAAGCCGACCGTGTGGACGTGACCAGTCAGCTGATCACCAGCATTGGACTGACGGTCACACCGGAGATGCTACCGTCGTTCCGTTTTGTGGCATTTTACAGTGTCTGGACAGGCAGGGAGGAAGTGGTCTCTGACTCCATCTGGGTAGATGTGGTGGATTCCTGCGTTGGAGGGGTGAGTGAAGATCAGGCTCAGGGGGCATCACCAGCTTCAAGATGTTGGCCTCATTCAACCTGTTATATAGGACTGTAGTTATCAGATGCGTAAGATACTGAATCTGCTTTTGCAAAAATTTATGAAAAAATAGACTTATTAGTAAATAAACAATAATTTGACTTTTTAAATCATGCATATCTGCTTTTTTTTGACTCAGGTGTTGGTCAAATATAGCTTTAAAAAAACTCCTATATGAATATAACTGCTATCATTTCTTAATTTAAAAAAAAAAAAACCTCTGTATTAATCAATAATCAATGATGCTTATGTACTCATTGTTTTGACAGCTGACATTGGGGCCAGTTGATGGCGTACATCGAGACTACCGGCCTGGAAGGACCTTAAGTTTTCAGGTCAGAGGTGATCCAGGTGCAAAGGTCAGCATGGTTGCTGTGGACAACGCAGTTTTTCTGCTCAACAAGGACAGACTCACTCAGAGGAAGGTGTGTTTGCACATGAACTTGATACTTATAGAAGTTAAATGTTCAAATATATATACATATATATATATATAGTAAAAAGCCATCTGTATTACATGCAGGGTCCACATACTGTATCAACATAAATGTTTTTGAGACTGGTTTAAAACAGTCGTATTTCTTGTTAATATTGGTTTTATTCAATTCAATAAACTTTAAAAAATCCCCAAAAAACCAATCCTGGATGGCCCTGATCTTTGGGCTCTTGTGTGACAACTCTTTAGTGGAAATCTCTGCCTAAGCTCAAGATCGCCTCTTAAATATTTTTCTGTGAACACAGTTTGCATCCACAGATATACGTTAAAACTGTAACACACAAAACATAATTAAACATGATCTAGAAAAGGCTTAGCTCATTAAAGTGAGATTGAGGTTAAGTGGAAAATTGTTCCGTGGCCCAATGAATCTAAAGTTGACCTTCTTTCGGTAATCATGGACATCATATCCTCTGCTGTAAAAAGAAAGGGGGGGGGGCATTACATTTTTTTAAAGGAAACAGACTTAGGGAGTGGTATTTTTTTCAAGCGCAGAGAGCTTGCACCACCTTTTTTGTTAACAGCTCCTCTTCCTCAGCTCTGGGATGTGGTGGAGCACGGAGACTTCGGCTGCAAACAGGGTGGAGGCAAAGATGCCAAAGCTGTGTTCTCAGATGCAGGACTGCTCTTCTCCTCCAGTGGTGGACTTAAAACTGAAACCAGACAAGGTACACCTTCCCCTCAGACTCCTGGGTAAAAATACAGACACAATCTCCGGAGAATTGTAGTTGCTGTCCATTATTACTTGTGGATAAGCTCTTCACCTTGTCGTCGCTGAGACGCTTTATTGAATTTCTCATCATTTGTGGCTGAGATAACAGGCGTTACAGTTGAGTGGAAGAGGGGATGTTGGCTGCACTGGGTTGCAGTTGATCAGGGATCAGGGTCAGCTAAATGATGCACAACAATGATGAGGTGCATGCAAGTTAATGAGTGTGTAAGGTTGATGGGTGGGTGGGAGACAATTTCAGAGACACAAAGAAGCAGACCCTGCACCAGTGGGAGGGCAGTCAAAGGGATGCATGTTAGAAAAAGACGTCCAGATTATGACAAAAATTATTCAACTTTATGCTGCTGGTGAAATATTATTGAATGATCGTGATGATTTATTATTCCCTTCTCAGCCCTGAAGTGTCCCGGAAGTGCCAGAAGGAGGCGCTCTGCAGAGCTGCTGAAAAAGAAAGCCCAGCTGGGTGAGTGTCCTCATGTCATTTATGGTTTAGGGTACTTTTCAGAGTAGCAGTATTTGATCGGAGATCAGCTGGTACGACTTCATCAAGTGTTTTGTCCTTACTGCTTCAGCTTCAAGAGTTTCAACTATCATTGTAATTGCACTCAAAAGTCTCTTCACAACAATCTTGATATGAAAAGTAAAACAAGTTTGTGAGATAATAACATTTTCAAGTTTGTGCGACTGTTAATTATGATAACAATAGTATTGGTCCTGATAACTGCTGGTTTTCCTCTGTCCCTTTTCTTTCTGCCTCCAGAGGATTATTACAAGGAGAAGCTGCAGCATCGTTGTTGTAAAGACGGTCTCAGGGAGGTCCCCATGCCATACTCCTGCACTAGACGCTCTCTCTACATCACAGAAGGCTGGGAGTGCATCCGCGCTTTCCGTTATTGCTGTGCTACTTACAGGAACCAAGAGTTTAACACAGAGATCCCAACCACCCCTCCACCCATCACCACCCTTCCACCAACCACCCTTCCACCCACCACCACCACCCCTGCACGCATTCGTCTTGAAAGCATTGTACCTTATGGAAGAGTAGCCCTAAGGAGCCATATGTTTGGTAATTCTTGCATCCCTATTCTATTTTTCTGCACTGTGTGATTTATACTGACAGGACATGTTTGAATCTGTGATATTACTTCAGTTTTCATGCTGAAATATGACCCTGTACATACCTGTTGTTTTAGTCTATATCACTGTATAACATGAGTTAAAAAGGTACAAAGCAAATCCTACCCTGTAATACCATATGATATAATACTATATGAGACATACAATAAGATTAGGTAACAGTACTATACAATGTAAAAAAATGACATGATATGATACAGTATATTATAATACAATACGTGAAGAGAATATATGATAGAAAATGGTGCAGTACAGTACAATAGGATACAATGCGCTATGATCCAAAATGGTACAATACGATATAAAAGAAAACGGTACCTTACAATACAATACAATATGATGCCATATGATACAATAAATACTGTACTTTTAAATACTGTATTGTATGATACAAAAAGGTAACAGTACTATACGATCTGGTAAAACATGACATGATATGATACAGTACAACATTGTACAATACGTTCAGATATAAGACAATACAGTATGGTACAGTACCATACAGTAAGATACAAAACCTTACAGTACAAAATATTACAATATGATATGATATGAAACAAAATCCATACAATACAATAGGAAGCAAAATGGTACAATACATAATGTAACATAACGTTACAATACGATACTAAGCAGTGTTACCATACCTTCAAATCCATATCAATGCAATATACACAGAAAGATGTAAGTGCATTAGCATAGGCACCATCTAAAAATGACTGATATTTACCAGACAGAACAGTTATGCATTTATTTACATGCAAAGACAAAAAAAATTCAAGCTAATAAACCTTGATATGAAACACTCTGGGGTTTCCAAAGTGATTAATAAGAATTCAATTGACGATGCAACGCAGGTCCCCAGAGACACTTGCAATGTCTTCTGGTAAAAATCAAAGATTTGATAATAAATGGAGAAATGTCTCAAGACCTTCTGATCATGTATGTATGTATGTGTTCACATAGAATGGGGACGCCCACAACCATTACCCGTACCAGATAGGGCTCGAGCTCATGCTCACGCACCCGACCTCAGAGTAATGGAAGAAAAAAAGGTTGAAACAAGACAGATGGGGGTAGAGGAGAAGAAGGAGGAGGAGGGGTATGAAGAGTATGAGGAGGAAGAAGAGGACTGGGAGTATCTGGATGAGACTCAGGTGTCTCTGCGATTCAAGTTCTATGAGTCCTGGTGGATGGAAGTTGACTTGCCTACCCAGTCGGACAGAGACGGGTGAGTTTCTGTTCAACACAAACACAGTATGGATTTTCCTGTTAACATATGAACTTGTGTGTTGTTCTTATTGTGTATGTGAGCAATATCCTTGTTTGCATGAGGAAACGCATGAGTTAACACAAACCTCTAAGCTTAATAATACACGGCTCATATCAACAGGTTCGCCTCTGCTACTGTAAACCACCCCTTACCCGACAGCATCACAGAGTGGGGACTTTTGGCTGTCAGTTCATCCGCTCAAACAGGTGAGGAGGAGGTGTTTCTACGCACTGATATCGTCGCGGCTTTAGCTCAAGATTAGTCAGTCTCTTAACTATCAAAGCAGCAAATCTCCAGCTGGAGCCATATTGTTTTGTCTTCTGTCTTTGATTGGCTGGTGGGTTTCAAGATCACTCAGGCTCTTGTGAATCAATCTTGATCTTGATCTTCAGATGGGACAACTGTTATTCTAGAAAAGGTTTGTGGTGCTGCTGGTTGAGGATTTTAAGTGCAAGGCCCACATACAGAAGAGGTTCAGATCAAAACATCCCACTTTGTTTAACTTAGCAGAGGTTTTTTTTTAAAGTCCAGACTCAAAGTTTCATCACACCACTACTTCATATATGCAGAAGAGCCAACGATGATGCCTTCTAAATGTCTGCAGGTTTCTGTGTCGCCGAACCGTACAATGTGAGAGCACGGAAGGATTTCTTTGTGGACTTAAAGCTGCCATACTCAGTGGCAAGGAATGAGCAGGTCCAGATCAAAGCTGTGGTCCATAACTACGGCTACACAGAGCTACACGTAAGAAACACTGTCTCCTACAGTTCCAGCCTCCGACAAATGATTCAATTGATCGTATTAGATTTTTAATTGTGGTTGTCACCTGTTCAGGTGAGGGTGGTGCTGATGAAGACAGAAGGCATGTGCAGCATTGCCTTCAAGGAAAGACACACACAGGAAGTGACGCTGGCGCCTGGTGCATCTGTGGCGGTGCCTTACACTATCGTTCCACTGGTGGTGGGGAGGCTTCCCTTGGAGGTGATGGTGGTGGGCAGAGACATGATGGGAGGAGATCGTGTCCAGAAGCTTCTACGAGTGGTTGTAAGTCTCTCCTGATACTCATAATTAGGGCAGGATGTCAACAGGAGCCGGTTAAATTTGTGTTTTTTTCCCCAAGTCCAAGTCAGCAACCAAAATAGAGAGTAAAAACCCTCGGTTTGAAGTTACATTTTTATTCAAGGGTAAAAAAGGTAAACCAGCCTGACCGAGGGGGAACATTTCTCTTAGACAGTCCTCCTGGGGTGTTCCTCAAGGGTTTGTTTTGGGCCTGAAATTATTTTCTCTCTGTGTGCTGACCCAGGGGTTTATTTACCAAATACAGTATATAATGTGTCGTTTTAGGGTCATTGTGTTTTGACACCATGAACAGAGGCACTCTTGGCCTTCTAGCCTTCAGATACTTTTAACTTGTAAAGCACTTTCGCCAAAGCTGTTCGTTTTGAGTTTTATTTGACTTGACTTAAAATGACTTAAATCATTTTTTTGTTAACCAGATGGATGGAGTGCAGAAGACTGAAGTCTTCAGTGTTATGTTAAACCCCTCTGCTGAGGGAGGTAAGACAACCACAGCAATGCAAGATCTTCTCCCATCAATTACATGCTATTTTGGCTTTTATTGCATTTACTGTGATTCATGGCTAGAGGTCACATTTTTATCTTAGTTCTGGTTTGCAGTGGGTTCAGTGTTGGTCGAAGTGTTTCTTTCAGGTTGTGGATTAGGTCCAGGTTTGGGCCAGATGGTTACAAAGGCTATGTTTGTCACCTTTTTTTCATATTTGCTACAGGAACACAGTCAGTCAGAGTTGGAAAAACTGAACTGCAGTCAGTTGTCCCAAACTCTGAGCCAGAGAGATTCATCAATGTCAGAGGTCAGTCACAAAGAGATAAATATGGTGAAAAACTACACCAAAAAAAAAAAAAAGACAGCTTCATAATTCATCCTTTCCTTTCTCTCCAGGGAATGTTTTGGCTGACAGCATTGACAACTCCATCAGTGAGGACTCTCTAGCCTCTCTGATCCGGATGCCCGGCGGCTGCGTGGAGCAGAACTTGGCCACCATCACCCTGCCGCTCATCGCCACACTCTACCTGGAGCGAACCAGTGGCTGGGAGACTGTAGGGGTAGAGCGCAAGGCTGAGGCTCTGCGATACATCAGAAGAGGTAAGAAGGCAAAAATTAGGACAAATGAGGTGAATGGACGGGAAAACATGAGAAAGAAATGAGGACAGAGGAAAGCTACAAAAAAAGTGTGTTGCACGTATGTATGGAGGGAGGTATGGATGGAGTGATTGGTGGGTGGATGGTTAAACAACGTGAAAAAGTTAGCATCATGAAGGATCAGATTGACGGAATGATTGGATGTTTGCAACAACAAAAGGAGGGATGTAGATAAGTAGAAAAATAAACAAACAAAAAGGAGAATGTATGATAGAGAAGGAGCTGTGGAGGACTGGATATTAAGGATGGATGGATGGATAAATTATTTGGTGGATGAATAAATACATGGATGCATGGATGAAAGATTAAAGTGCAGATTACCAAATTAGCATTATTCAGGGCTAAGCTACCACACAACCAATATTGTGGTAACAAGGACAAATGGATGGAAGGAAGGACAGACGGATGGATGAAAAATAGCTTGATGGATGGGTGATAATGGGTAAGGGAATAGCTGGATGAAAGACATGAAAAGATTAGCAACAGATGGGGTCATAATGGACTGGATTAGAAGAATTGATATATATGGATGAAGACTGGAAATAATGCTTTGAAGGACAAATGATTTTGGATGGATGGATGGATGGATGGATGTTTTAGTTCATCTCCTCTCCTCATTCCATCTTTAAATTCTTCCATTTTCAGGCTATGAGAACCAACTGGCATACAGAAAGACTGATGGTTCTTACCCCCCCTACAGGAAGCAAGGTGCAAGCACATGGTAATAATGCTATTATTGTTTACACAAGTAGTCCTTTATATGTCCAATTAAATTGGCTAAGAGTTCATTCAGCTATTAAAGCTTCAATGTAAAACTACTTGATTTTATTTGACGGACAGGCAGTACATGTTAGTTAGATCAAGTCTGTTCAGAAGTGTCTAAATCTGGGCTAATCCTGTGTGTCAGGATCACTGCATACGTGGTGAAAGTTTTCTCCATGGCTCACTCCATCATCGGCATCAAAGAGAAGCAAGTGTGTGATCCTCTGCTTTACCTGTTGAAGAACAAACACAATCATCTGACAGGGTCCTTCAAAGAAGACAACCCAGTTTACAGCACCACCATGACTGTAAGGTTTAGTCATCATCAAACCAAAACTCACAATCAAACAAAGCAAAATCATATCATGCAGTTACAGTCCTGATAAATGGTGACCTCTTTTTCCAGGGCGGTATGCGTGGCGACGATCCTCAGGTAACCCTGACTGCATTTGTGCTCATCGCACTCGCTGAGGCTAAGCAGGCAGGGATCCACTGCAGCAGTCCACGTGTTAACATGGAGGTATTTCAGTCGAAGATATCAACCTTCAAATTTGTCACTGATCATTTTTCTTCCCTGTACTAAACTGATGATGCGTATGTTTATTGTGTGCTGTATCTGTGTAATGCAGGAGGCGATGCGTAAGACATCTGATTACCTGTTCAAATCGCTCAAGAGGTTGGGGAGGAGGCCGTACACTGTGGCCATCGCCTCCTACGCACTGGCTCTGCTTGGGGACAATGGACGCCACAACCCAACACAAACACTACTCAGAGAGTGTCAGGGTATCAAATGCACTATGATCAATCAGATTTATCAATCATAAAACTCTGTGTCCCCTTTGATAGAGCTCAGAGCTTACAGTATTCTAGCTATTTACTCAATACATCTACCTCACACATGAAAAGCCTACAACGAGGACTTACTCATTCCAGTACGCACTCATTCCAAAAACATATGATGATGTATTGCTGGTCATATCAATGTAATGAGACCCTCTCCCCCTTTCTTGTTCAGTTAACCACTGGCCTGACCAACACAACCGCTTGTTCACACTGGAGGCGACGGGCTACGGCCTGCTGGCTCTGATCAAGCTGGGACAGATGGACAGAGCAGCGGTGGTGTTTAAGTGGCTCAACAGCCAGCGAAGGATTGGTGGAGGCTATGGCTCCACTCAGGTAACAACAGGAGGAGTTTGGGAGCTTAGCAGAGATGGGAATTGTGGAGTCACCAAGTCATCTCCGTGCCATGTACTTGTCCTGCTCAGTTACTGAACCAGGTGCCTTCATTAATGAGCTCACCTTTCTGGCTGCTCATTGGAAGCAGCTGGTTCAGTGACAGAGCAGAACAAATACATGGCACGGAGATGACTTGGTGACTCCACAATTCCCATCTCTGGAGCTTAGCTGTGATATACTAACCTCATAATCTTACTTTCATAATCTACTAAAGTCTTAATCCAAAGTAAACACCCAACTCCAGAAAAGTACAGCCAAAAATATTCAGAAGAGATCTGAAGTTACCTCATGACGTCAGTATTTTTTTATCACAGACTGATATCGCCATTCAGAGACAATTTCTGCACATGTAAACGGTAAAATCAAGTCCTCCCTCCTCCCCTGTCCTCTCCCAGTCCACTATGGTGGTGCTGCAGGCGCTGTCAGAGTACTTGATCCGCAGACCTCCTCCTGATAACCTCCGATTGGATGTGGATGTCAGGATAACAGGGCGCACGGAAATCCGCTATTATTTCAATCCTGAGACTGCCTATGTTGCTCGATCCGCCAGGGTGAGAAAAAAATCTGTTTAAAACCTCCGCTACTTTGTCAGTGGAGTTAAGACTAAGCTTCAAGGACACGTGGGGTTTGTTTATTATGTTTTCAATCTGGGTCTTTGCTGCTTTTGTCCTGTAGTTGCCGGCTGATCATAATTTGGAAGTGGAGGCTCGAGGAAACGGACAGGGAATACTGGAGGTAGGATCATACTCAAAGTCCAGATCGTGTTTTTGAGTGTCAGTTTTTAAATAGACTGCTCTTATCTGGTCATAAAGTAAATACTAATTGATTCATCTCTCCTCTTTTTCCATCTGAAGATTGTGACTTATTATAACCAGCTGCATGAAGTGGATGAAAAACTGCCCTGTCAGCACTTTGATCTCAACGTCACTATAGAGGAATCCGGTGGTAAAACATGTTTCACACTGTTCTGAACTACTGTTCTGTAGTTCATCAAACAGATAAAAGACCTCTATTTTCAACAAACAGTTTTATGCAAAATGTTGAAAATATAGTATTTCTGGGAAAGGTTGGCAGAGGTACTTTATAAATCACTTTGCATTGTTATGGCAGCTAAATTCACAGTCAATCAGACCGTGATTTTAGCTCATTAGCTCACTCATTTTCAACCACATGAGTGTAGCACTTTGCAGAATTTATCAAGTTACAGTGGAGAGGAAAAAATTCATTTTTAACAGGCAGAAACCTCGAGCAGAACCAGACTCATGGTAGATAGTCATCTGCTGAGACTGAGCTAGGTTTAGAGAGGGGGGAGAGGGAGATGGACAGAGGTTCTAAACCTAATCTAAACCTAAAGCGGCTTCAATTACAAGATTTATCAAAAACATGAGGCTGTAAATTCAGAAAAAATGTGAGTAAGTGTGCATTTTATTGTATTAAAAAATGAGAAAAGTTTTAACTTAGTGCCTTTAAATTGTTAGGTCATTGAATTCAAATGATAAATTATATATGATTTTAAGCCAAAAGGAAGTGCAGGCAGACCTTGATTAGTACTCTGTTTATGCCCCATTACAGAAAAGCCTACAGCAGATGTGGAGAAATCCTACCAGATCACCATCAATGTCAGGTAAGATAACATTCTTGCCTTCATGCATTTTGAAACTTGAGTCTAGGATTCAATTTATTGAAGTTACTTGAAGTATTAGCATTCTCCTTTTCATCCCACAGGGCTTTAGGACCCAGAGATGTCAGAATGGTGGTTTTGGATATCAGTCTACCAACTGGCTTCACTCCCGAAAACTCTGACCTGGAGATGGTGAACAGTCCAACCGTTTACAACCACCAGAATTGTCACACATTTTGTCATAGTGTAGAGGAAAGATTTTAATGTCATATGTAAGTATCTTTTTGTCTGTTTGTCCAGTTGTCCAATTCAGTGGATCATTACATCAGCAACTTCCAGATCGTTGACAATCTGAGTGACAGAGGATCTCTCATCCTACACCTGTTCAAGGTAAAAGTAATGCAGAGAGCAGTTAAATGTACTCCTTTGCTGCTAGAGTGAGTATAACTGGCTGTTGCATGTTACAGATCATACAAACTCAAATAAAAACTTTCCTGTCAGTCATATTCTCTTATTTTGTTATCTATTTTTGTGAATTTTTTTTCAAGACAGTGTCTAAGCTTTAATGCTACAACTTTTAATTCAATGCCTGCTGAATGTTGAGTTTCAGATCTTCTCTGTTTGCACAATTTTCACACCTCTCTCCTCCTTTCAGGTGTCTCACAAAGAGCCAGAGATCCTGATCTTCAGGCTTCAGCAGAACTTCAAAGTAGGCCTCCTGCAACCCTCCTCAGTGACTGTCTATGAGTACTACAACCCAGGTAGGTAAACATACCTGTCATACCTAAACCAAGACAAAAGGGACTCTTTCAATTTCCCATTTGAGTCGGTCACTGCTTCTGCTGATTCATCAGGAAACAGAAGTGAAACAGCGCAAAAATGTGATCCACAGTTTGATGGTCTTAAACGTTTTGTCTCTGTCTCCATCATAGATCACCGCTGCAGTCGTACTTACACTCCCAGAGAGGACATGGAGGAGCTCACAAAAATCTGTACGGACAACGTCTGCCGCTGCACTCAGGGTAAAACAAACGCCTGTCTGCTGCAGATGCATGAAGAAAAGGTGTCCTACAGCTGTCTTTTATTCCAACTGAGATGTTATTCCTCGTGAACTACAGGTGACTGCTGTGTCCCCAAAGCTGACAGTGAAATCTTTCCCAACAAAGACAGAGAGACTTTTGCCTGCAAGAGTTTACACCACGGTATGAAACCCTGTCTCACATTCACAGTTTAAACACAGCAATACGTGTTTACATTCATATATTCAGATTTGAGGAGGCGTCACCAGATGCTTGAAAAAAAACAACACAATATTAATAGTTTTATTCACTTCAGTGATCCAGGTGAAGGTGCTGAGTGTCAGTAAGAGTTACTACGACAAATACGAGATGGAGATCACACAAGTCATCAAGTTGGGTGAGTCACTGCAGTGTCTGAGTGCCTGCCTTTAAGAAAATCTAACATTATAGCCAAACACAATCAAATAGCATTGCGAAACGTGATGCATTGAGTTTCACTCGCTACCTTTGCATGTAAAAGCTCTTGTGTCTTCACTCAGGTGTGGAGGCTGGAGTTGAAGTGGGTCAGAGGAGGTTTTTTATGTCTAATGGAGGCTGCAGAGATAATCTCAACCTGAAGGAGGGTTCCCTGTACCTCATCATGGGCCCCAAAGAAGACCAGTGGGACATCGACACTGAAAACAATAGGTATGGGGAGCAGGAAAAACATGAGCAAAAGTATACATGGTACTGGGTCTGAGGCACCGCAAATTTACAAGGGTGTACCTCATGGATTAGTTCTGGGTCCACTACCGTTTACAAACTTTATAAATTGTCTTGTACAGATTGTCCCAAACTCTGCTTTTGACTTTTATGCTGATGGCAGTCTTTTCTTGCTGTACACCTCCACCTGCTCAAGCTCTCAAATTTCAGCCTACATTTGAATTAGTACAAGATCTTTTTTGTCAACTATGACTTGTTCCAAATGTGGACCAACTCAACTCAGGTTTTTTAATCCTTCAAGAGTAGAAGGAAAACTGTTAACAAAGATGGTTGTGAGATGAGTTGGTGCTAAAGATGTAGAGAGCTCAAGTTTCTGGAAATACATTTTTAGATTTTTTATGTTTTTCATCTGTTAAGAAAAAATTGGGAAACAAAGTTTTTAAGCCGTCATGAAAAAAAGTTACTATGGTGGAAAAAGTTCAACAAAATTGCAAAAAAAATAAAAAATAAAAAATACAGTGATCTTTCCGATTTCAGTTAAACTGTTTTCTTCTCTTTTCACTCCCTGTGTGTCAGGTCCGTCTACATGTTAGGAAAGGACACCTGGGTGGAGCGCTGGCCGTCGCCTGAAGAGTGCTCCAGCAGCCCCAATCTACAGGCCAAATGCAACACCCTGGATGAAACTGCAAACGAACTGTCACTCAATGGCTGCAGGATGTAGAGGTGTCGTGTTTCAGCAATGTAGACAAAATACTGAACACAGGATTAAATCATAATTCAATCCAGTTGGTACAATAAGGGCAAACTGTAAAGTCATGTAAGGAGTTTTTCTGTGATGATAAACTGAAAGTGGAGGAAGTTATAATTACATGTGCATTTCTACAGTGTAATGATAATAAGTAACCCCCAAAAGCTTATTGACCACCATAAGAAAAAAAAAAATCAAGAAGCCTCTCTACAAACCTTTAATAGAAGAGTTTAAATAAAAAGATAAATAAAATAAAATAATCAAACTGTTACAATTCACATTTAAAGCTAGAAATGACATATGTATCTATCTATGATACAAATTATTAAAACACATTTTTGAAAAACAAAAACATCTTCTGTAAAGACTTCTTTCTAACTTGTTAAATCTCTAAGCGAAAGAAAACACATCAATCCTCCTTAAAAATATGATGTTGCAGCCTTTGTTAGCAAAACGGTGGTTATTGCCCATGTGAGTCAGAGCTGCATTCTAGCGAGTGGCCAGCAGGGGGGGAGACTGTACCTGTTGCACAAGGAAGTCTGAATGAGCAAAGCAGAAATGTGATTGTACTATTTGCGTCATTTGTCTCCACTGTTAACATTTTACCATTGAGTTTATATCTAAAAATTCTTAAAAATAACCTTTAAAAAGTGTCATGTGATTTAAAACCGTTGGAGCTAACTTGTGCAAACTACAATTATCTATTCTCAACTCTTCACAGTCCAGTTGCCTGTTTTAAAGTCTTCAAGATAAGCATGACCTGGATGACTGAGAATCTACATGGACATACAATTATCTGTGCCTACATTTTTTTTTTCTCAGAATAAATAATTACTGTTCATTGAGCATTCTGTGATTTTCTTAAATAAACAAAAACTTAATATAAATACAAGGTTGTTGGTTTCCTTTTTGCTAGTTTTTTTAATTTTTCTTTACCAGCAGCTGAACTCTGTTCTGACTAAGGATGGGGATCAATAACCCGGTCCATGAAATACTTGGTTTAGCATATTCCAGGACCTGAAAATTCATCATGTTGGGGCTTATTGAGTCTGCTATTGAGTCTGGAAAGTCCAATGAAGTAACCCTTTTCTTTGAATTGATCAAATCACTGTTGCACGTGTATTAATAGACTTTCTTGTTTAAGTTTTTGAACAACTAACAGAAAAAAAGTAAATGATATCATGATGTGTTCAAATGTCACGGCCAGAAAAAGAGAAATATATATGGGGAGAACAATCTGTATAAATATGATAGTTTGAAGGATAATGGTAATAGACAAGACTTGATAGGGGTATTGATAAAGACTTGGATCATTAAGGAGCCTCAATAATGGTATCAGTATCAATAAAATATAAAGCTCCCCATCCTTACGCCTGATTATGCTTTTTCATCACAGTTTCCTGCATGGTCAAAGTTGCACAGAAACTGCAATCCTTTTTAAGCTATCGCCAGGATGATGTTCTTTGGGGAGGATCTGCCAACCTCGTGGCAGGAACACCACGAGGAGCGCTCCATTTAAACATAATAGCAGCATAGTTCACGTCCCCCCCTTCCTCCTGCTCCTGTCCATGGTGCTGAGCTGGTCTGATGTTGGAGTAAAGAGAGTCTGGCTGGTTTGTGATGAACTGGACACTGGAGTAATGGAGGTCATCGTGGTCCTCTTGAGTGCTCTGATGAAGATTCTGTTGTGAAAGATGTTTTTTGTTTTAACTCGAAGGGTTATTTAGCTTTTTTTGAAGTGGGACTGTATGAGTTATATGTCACTAGTAAGTGCTCCTTTGGCAAACAACCTTGCGAGGTGTCTTACCAGGTAAATGAGTAAAGTTGTTTTGCTCTGGGATTTTAAAGTCATCCTCACCTCTTCCTGGTTGACATCTTCCTCCTCCTCAGTCTCAGGTGTTTGCTTTGAGGCGTGCTTTTTCCTGTGTAGAAGGTTTTTAAGAGGATGAATAAATCATTCAGTCTGAAAAAAGTCACTGTTTAATTCACTTGATTTTGATCTCTGACACAATGTGGTCCGAATAAACAGATATGATGGTTAACAGTCTTAAAAAGAAAGATCTAAGTGACCCTTATTGATTATAATTAAATATAAAAGTGTTTACCTGATGAATATAAACAGAGCCAGGAATATGATGGCCAAGACAATAGCTAATGTCATTCCAGCAGCTGTTGATGTCCAGGATCCTGGGTAAAGACGATAAACTTACATCACAGACAGCTAGCAGGACTGTTGGATGATATTCAGAGGACATGGAAACTTACCTGATACAACCATCAGAATTGAGGTGGAGTTGTGAAATCCTATTCCATTATGAGCTTTACAGTAATAATTCCCACTGTGATTAGCTCTTAAGTCATTGATGGTGTACATCTGTCCTAAAGCTTGTGGAAAGATTTCATCATCCTTGTACCAGGTATATTTAGCTGCAGGGTTAGCATCGCTGCTGCAGGTGAGAGTCACTGAACTGCCCTCATCTATCTCAGCAGAGGGACTCACAGACACAGAGGGAAGCTTTGGAGGATCTGGAGGAGGAAATCAACAGATTTAACATCTAGGCAGATCAGTTTAGGACTAGTTTAACACCAGGGGCTCTATTTTCGTTCGCGCCGGTGAGGCGGCGGAGGGCGGCGAGCCCCGCGCAGTTGTATTTTCGTCTGGCGGAGCCCAGCGTAAGGCCAATTTGGTATTTTCGTGGCATGAGCCGCACGGAGGCGAGCCGAGATCCGCCAAGCTGGGCGTGGTGGTGTGGCAGGGGGAGGTGTTGACAGAATCAGCTGGCGCAGTGACATTTTCGTGCTCGCCAACGGCGTGTAAAGTGCGCTGAAAGCTCGCCGATTCAAACCTGGTCAGCTTTCAGCGCAAGGCGGAACGCAGCTGGTCTAGTAGTATTTTGGTAGACCGGCGGCGTATCGACATACGTCACTGATGCCTCACCGGCAGGTTTCCACAGTGTCAGGCACATTTCAGTGCAATAAGTAATCATCATCAACTATTAATCTGAGTCAGCACATATATTTAGATCTATATAGATATATTCTGATCTATATCTGATCTGATGAGCGCGTTTGGCACGCGTTTGGACACACAACCTGACCGAATCAACACAGCTGAAACCGCATCAAATTAAATTAAATATCTAGTAAATAAACACACATGATGAAGTTAACAAGATATGTAATTCGTCTCCCTCCTTTTCTTTCTTCCTCTTCCTCTTATTTCTCGCGCAGCTCGACCTGGACACGTCTCCGTGTCCTCTGTCCGTCTTGCTGCTGCTGCGACTGAACAGATGATTTGTTTCAGTGCTCAGATGCGTGATCTACTTTAAGCCGACATACGGATATTATAATATTCAGTTTTGTGAGCCAAATTTATTTTATATGCCAACATCTATGAAAGAAAGAGCCAGGCCACGGAGCGCGATGCGTCATTTACGCACAGATGGTTCCAATTTTAATGCCATTTTTGGAGTTTATGTTGTGATCTGTGCGCTAAACCCACCTTTGTCACGTGAGGTTTGAATATGAGCAACTTTATGTGAGTGTCTTTATTTGTGGAAAAGGGTGTTTGTCTTACCAGTGGGACCAACATTACGCACACTAAATCCATCTGTGCTCATATGAGAGAGTGTGGAGGACACTTGTTGAGGAGCTGCCCTCTGTCGCCATCTTGTGGCATTACTGTCTTAAGACATCTCTTGATCTCTTTGACTACTTCATGAAAATAGTAATACGCCTCGCCGGTGGCGGATTTAAAGGCAAGGAGAGGAGCTTATGTGATTGGTGAAAACAGGTCTCGGCTTTGTTAAAATCACTACACGCCCTTTTTCCGACTTATGGTGCTGGGAGGAGCTGAGTTAGGGAGGGGGGATACTTACGCCGGGCTGCGCGGCTCACCAAAATACCAAAATGTGCTTGGGAACGCCTTGTCAGCGCGGCAGATCTGATTGACGCTGCGCTTGCGGCAGATCTCCGGCGAGGCACCAAAATAGAGCCCCAGGACTCTTCTACCACAGAGCCATGTTGTTCTATATGTGTATAAGGAGCTTTGGCATTGTCTTGCTGAAATTTACAAGATGACGGATGGTACTACGTTCCTCCAAAACCTACTTCTAATTTTTAGCATCAATGATGCTTACCCAGATGGGAAAGCTACTCATGCTCTCGTTTCTTATCTATACCTATGCCACTGGGGGTGCATCCATGATTTCCAAAGAGAAAGACAAATTCTGATTTGTCAGACCACAAGACAGTTTTCCCAAATCATAGATAAATATTTTCAGCCATTTAAGTGTCTTTCACTCACATTTGACATCAACAGAGATGGGTTTGGACGCTCTCCTCCCCAGCTCGTTCTCAGCTGCACAGTGGTACTCTCCAGAGTCAGAGGACTGGATGGAAGTGAAAATAAGCTGTGGTTTTTCACAGGACAGTGCTTGGTTCCTCTTGTACCAGGTGTATGTAGCTGTAATGTTAGCATCACTGCTACAGTTCAAAGTGACCAAGCTGCCCTCTGTTATTTCACCAGGAGGACTTGCTGACACTGAGGGAGCATTCAGAGCATCTGTAGGGAAAAAAATCACTGACTAATTAAATGAGTAGCTAATGTGACAAGCCATTAAATGTGGTTGACCCCTTTGAAGGCAGCCATAGTGGAGCAAACTCACACAGTGTGGAGGAGCCATACTCTTCAAGCCCTTTCAGAGCACAGGAGATGGAGTGTCCTGGCAAAAACCAGTCAGCATGAGAGGAGCTCTCCTCATTTGGGATTTTTTCTCCATTCTTGAACCAGACATATGAAATGCCACCAGATATAGTGCAGCTGTTGTGACACTTCAGTGTTGCTCCAGTATAATCCTCTTTGACTGTTACAGAAGTTACCTGCACCTGCGGAGCTGGACATCCAGAATATAGAAGGATAACAGTGAGAGTGCTTCAAATGGAGTTATAAGCACTTTTATTTGTGTTTACCTGAAAACACTTTCATGCAAACACTTTGAATAATCACAAAAAAACACTCGGGGAAAGGAATCTTACTAAGAGGAGGTAAAAGTTTGATAAATGTACTGCTGTATTTGGTGTGTTCTTCAGTACCTGTGACGGTCAGATTCGTACCAGGTAAACTGCTCCTCCATTCAAAGCTCATTGATTTAAACTTGAAGCGATACTCGGCCGAGTCACTCTCTCTCAGTTTAGAGATTCTCAGAATGGACTGTCCTCCCCAAGCTTCTAAGACCCCAATACGACCTTCATACTTGGAGTCCTTCCTTAAGTCTTCAGGCTGCGTTTCAGTCTTCCACTGGTGACTGCGTTCAGGACTAAACCAGAATTTTGATGCACGACCCCAGTAACTGTTGTATGAGCATGAAATGTCCACTGATGAACCTTCAGGGGCACAGATCCTTCTCATCATGTAAATCACATTGTTGCAGTATTGACCATGAATACCTACAAATAAAAAAAAACAAACAGATATTTTATATCAGTAAAATACATTTTTCACATGGAGACCTGTAAAAAAAAATAAACTGTTGTACAAAACAGCAGCTGGGCGTACGTTGAACTTACAGACTGGAGGAGAGGGAAAATCCTCATATCCTCTCAGAGCACAGGCGTAGCTGTCCACAGAATCCAAGCGGACCAAAAAAGTAGCTGTTTCTGTCTGAATTTTCTCTCCATTCTTGAACCAGATGTAAGACAGGTGACCAGCTGGACTGCAGCTGCTGTGACACTTCAGCTCTGTGTGGTCTGAAGTCCTGTGGACTGACTCTGTGTTCACCTGAACCTGCAGAGCTGAATATTTGGGTCAGAACCAAACATGATTTTAATGAAGGGTCTTTTAATCAGTGAGTAAAATATAAATATAGCATAAAAAGTGTAAATCATGAAGTCATGAGCAAATAAGTTTACAGTATTGTTAGAGAAACAACCTTTAGTACCTGTGACGGTCAGAGTTGTAGCAGGTAAAACACTGTGCCATTCAAGGCTGTTTGATTTAAATTTGAAGTGATACTGAGCTGAATCAGTCAGCCTCAGGTCAGTGATTCTCAGGGTCGAATGTCCACTCTCAGTTCCAACAACCTGAACACGACCCGAAAACGCAGAGTCTTCCTTAGGTCCTCAGGATTTGAAGGAAACCTCCAGTGGCTACTGCGCTCTGGACTAAACCAGAAGTTTGATGTAGTTGCTCTATAACTGTTATAAGTACAAGAAATGTCAACTGAGGAGCCTTCTAATGCACAGATTTTTCTGTCAGTGTACGTCACTCTGTTGCAGTTTTCTCCTTTGACACCTGGAAGAAAAAAGTTCAGTGAACAAAACTGTGGAAACAACACTTTTACAGATGAAATGCATGACAGGTTGTTGGAGTGACTTCAGATGGCGTTTTGGAAAAAAAATAACTGGAACAACAATCCATTAGAAAAGATAGAAAATCCAGTCTTACAATTAACCGCACTGGTAGTCTGTTTGTGGTAGACTGTTGTGTATACTCACACACAGCAGGAGAATGGAAATCTTCATGTCCTTTTAAAGCACAGGCAAAACTATCTGCAGGATAAATGTCTTCTGAAACTGATGCGGTTTCTTTTGAAATCCTGCGTCCATTCCTGTACCAGATGTAGGAAAGCTGATCAGAGCTGGGGTGACAACTGCTGTGACACTTGAGCTCTGCTCGGTCTTCTGTTGAGTTAATCACTGTCACGTGTGGATCTGAATCAGTCAAGAATGAGCAGAAATACAACCTCCAATCAGGTGACAGCATAATTCAATAAGCTGGTTTTATTGCAAAAAGTAAGTTTTGGTGATGTAATAAAAAGTGGTCAATAAGCTGAGAGAAGACAGCTCCAATTCGTAATCATGTTTGTTTGACTACAGCATCTCAATCAAGTTTCTAAACCAGCAAGTTCACACTTAAAGTGAACAAGTATACCTCTCAGATCCAGATCCAAAGAAAGAGTCAATTACCTGTGACAGACAAAGTGACTCCTGGTGACTCAGTTACACTATCATCTTGGTGGTTCATAATCAGCCTGATCTTGTACTCAGCTGCGTCGCTCTCTGTCAGGTCTGTGATCCTCAAAGTGCAGCCGTTCTCATGAAAATGATACTCAACACGACCAGTGTAGTCTGGGTCTGATCTCAGATCCACTGGGTTACTTCCATTCATTCGTGTAAACCAAAGAATACCCACAGGCACAGCATGATGCTCACCCCAGTTGGGTGGATGTATGTAAGTGCAGGGTATGTCCACAGTCATTCCTTTCAAGGCACAGATCTGAGTAGAGGAGTAAGTCACTCCCCAGTCCTGCTGACCTTGTACCACTGCAACACAAAGCACATTAGAAAACTAGAATCACAACCATGACTTTTTCTGTTAATGGTATCAGAGAAAAGAACTCAGACAAGCCCATCCTGTCTGGAGATCATACTGTAGAGTACTGTAGAGTTATCATGTGACTTTGATGTAGCTTCTTAGAGCAACTACCAGATATCCTTTAATAGACTGTTGTTAGAACCAAACTGGGGTTATGTGGTATGCATCACTGCAGATCTGACAGAACCCTTTGATACTAAAATCCAGTTCTGTGGGAGGATTGTGCAATCCAGATTATGCATTTTTTCTGCTGGATCTGTTAATAAGGATGAGTCATTTATGTGCTATCCATTGTTGTCGCCCGTCACTATCCCCTTGTCCTTACCTGTCCCTTAAGATTCTCCTGGTTCTCCAGAAGTTTTCTGCCTTTTTTCTCCAAAAGGAAAAAAAGGCTATATATTTACTGTGCTCCCTTGCAGTTCATTCTCTGTGCTTTCCATAAAATGAAGAATACTATTTAAAACTCCACTCCTTATTGTAGTTTCCTCCAACCACACTAGAACATTGCATTTACAGAGTGTCTGTGTGTATTACCTTGAAGTCTATGGATGGTGGAGATTGTGGACTCAAGTCCAGGTTAGTAGACATCCCTGTACTTTGAAAAGCAGGTTTAAAACTTTCATTTTTGATGAATTGACCTGCTCTCAGTTATGCCACCATAGGCTTTGACCAGTACAGTCTTTCTACTGAATAAAATTTTACTTTACTTCAAAGATACCAACACTACATCTTTACTTCCTCTTAATCATTGCTTGTGATGCTTTCCTTAACATTATCACTGTTCCCCATTCATCCTCTTTACAAGTAGTTATTTTTGTCAAACCCTGCTTTTCCTGCTGCCCCACAAACATCACTATCATTACTGGCATTAAAGTTGTAAATATGTTTTATTTGGTAATTCTTTTTTCTCTCCATCTCGCTTTCTCTCTGGATTTGAAGAACAGAAAGATTATTACCTGTCATGGAGAGAAAGATGATGACTAATCCACTCTTGGTTGCTGTTGAACTCATAGCTAGTTTCAGAAGTAGTTAAAAGAAAGATGAAACTCACAAAACATTGATAAATCAAATCCAGCATTTGCTGCATAAAGTAGTTTTCACTTGAAATGGTCTCATGTCAGTGGTGTAAGCAGTGGATAGAAGTAGGACGTTAAAAGAAGCCTCACTTCCTTCCTCTTCACAGTTTTGATGCTTGTGAACCACATGAGTCATCAAGTCACTAAGATTAGTTAAGTGTCCCCAGGAGACCTGCAGCCACTAAAACCTGCAAAAGAGGATACCTTATTTCTAACTTATCACAAAGCCATGAAGATATCTGCAAAGAGTCTCCAGATGCAAGACTCAGCTTTTGCTTGTCACTTTTTTTTATTTTTTACAGAGGCCACCAGGACTGCAGCTGTGGTCTCACACTTCCTGTCACTCACTGCAAAGTGACCGCAGACAGCCATCACTGAAGGTTACTATTATATATATATTTACAGATACTGATCATACAACATTTTAATCTGAAAAAAAAAAATAATATATATATATATATATATATATATATATTTATATATATATATATATATATATACTTTAAATGAAAACACAAATCTATATTCACAGCTTTTTTCTACACCTCAGAGTTTATGAATATTTAAAACAAAAGACACATACCATTCTATTTTGGGTGAACTAATCCTTTAAATTAACTTATCAGAGGACATTTTGACTATAATGATTAGGTATTTAAGTTATTGTTGTTTAGACTTTGCTTTCTTTAACGTAACCTCTCACACAAGCTCAATTGGAGAAAGGTCTGGAGACTGAGGGGGCCAAACCATCTTTTGAAGAACACCTTCCTCTTCTTTTTTGTCTAGGTAACCCTGACAGAGCTTGGTAGAGTGCTTAGGGTCATTGTCTTGCTGCAAAATGGGTTTCGACCTTGTCATGTTGATTTCCTCCCTTTTTTGTGGTGCTGTCTTTCGCCTATCTCTCTTACTGGTGACAGTGCTATGTTTATCCTCTGCTTTTGTAGTATCTCTCTTTCGTCCATGTCTTTTTCTATCATCATAACTTCCAGGTTCCTCTAGTCTCTTCAGAGTGTAGTGGACTCCTTTGTTAAACACCTTTAGGCATTTTGCAATTTCTCTTTCTGTATATCCTTCTTTCCTCAATGTACAAATCTGTACTTTTGTTTCTTTACTCAGTTGCTTCTTTCTAGCCATTTTTGGGGTAGGATGTTTGTATGCAGGCTCTCAAAAGCCAAAAAGTTGAAGTGAATAATCCAACTGTGATTTGTCTTTTTGGTTTTGCACTGAAGTTTCAACTCTTGCAAATGTTTTCAACCCTAATACTAAGCCCTTATTTTCTTTTGCTGACATATATTTAGCAATGGTCTGTTAACATCAATGTATATCTAAAGGTAAATGGAGTAAAATGGTGCATCTCCATGAAAGCAACATCTGATCATGAAGTAAATACATCTCAAAATACATAAAACTCATGCTGGATTTTAAAGCAGATATACATATGTATATATGTAAATATATATATATATATATATATATATATATATATGTGTGTGTGTGTGTGTGTGTGTGTGTGTGTGTGTGTGTGTGTGTATATATATATATATATATATATATATATATATATATATATATATATATATATATATATATATGTACACTACTATATATATAGGATTGATTTTCTCCTTCATGTTTACAACCCTATTGGACTAAAAGTGTTCTGCTCATGCACATCGAGCTTTGTCTCACAAGTCAAACAGCATAAATGTAGAAAAAGACAAATCAGCTGTGAGAAGTGACAGTGTTTTCATTGTTCGTTTACCCACTGATCACCTGCTAATGCATTTTGTTGATTACTTTTGGTAGTTACAGGTCAACCAGGTGACAGCCCACCTGACATTTCGCCACCTGCTGTAGATGCCTCTGTCAATAAATCAATTTTTGTCTGGTGCTCATAAACAGGGACAAGGATGGTTGTTCAGTTAAATCACCTGAAACTGATCGTAGATGGAGTGTTTATTTGCATATTTAACAGCACATAATGTGAGTGAATTAAGGTTACAATACTAATAACAGCAGAGTATATATGGATGAGATAATAGATGACAACAGACTGAAGTCTGGGGGCTGACACGTTGGTGGAAAATGAGAAATATGAAACAAAAGAGATTCACTGAAACTCAATAACAATGAGATCTGTAGTTTAAAGGCAGGTTCCTCTGAATCAGGTTGATCTGGTTGAATTGTTATGAATACATGAATAACTGAATAAATATCACAAAAAACTTTGCAGTTTATCAAAGAGGAAGATAATAAGAACTTTATTTCTCCCAAAGGGGAAATTCAAGGAAGAAAAACTTTATACAGTCATTTGCAAAAAAAGCAAACGTGAATGTGGCGAGCAAAGACAAAAACTAGTTTAATTTTTTATGACTGTTTACTTAGCATCTGCCTCCCCCGTTGATTTCATTATGGAGACTTTACCAATGTATTTCAGTCATTAATGCATTGAAGAGACATTCACCTGACAAAGTATCACATACAGTAAATCTGTTACTATCATGATGAGATTTTCACCTCATGATAAATGTGGCCTTATTAACAATATTGTGTCTCATAGAAAATCTGAAACTAAAACAACCCAGGCAGTCCAAATGAGGAAAAACAAGATAAGGGTCAACTTCCAAATATAATTAAATATATAGTTAATTGTAAGATTTAATCCTTTATATCATATTTAGCAGTGAAAGATAATCTGCAGCCTTGTTCTCCTCAGTGAGTCCCAGCCTTGTAAAGAGCTCATCTGTTTTTCTTCAGTTTAGGAGGATCTAGCCTGGACTGGACCTCACACAATGTCTTCCTGCTCCTCTGTGTCCTCTGCCTGTGCTGAAGGGACAGCTGAGATGTCCTCACTCTTAGGACTGGGGTTTAACTGATGACAAGTGATGAGATTTTTGTTTAGTAATTAGTTTTATCTTGTTTTAGATTTACTTAAAAATTCCCCCAAAGGTTTATTTCAATCTTAAACTCCCTCCATTTCTTAACCACTTCCAGAGTACTTCATCAGCCGTCTCCTTAAGTCTCACCTCTATCATCTCTGCAGGTTTAACGGGCTCACTAGTGGAGCTCAGAGTCTTTTTCTTCCTAAAAAAAAAACAACAAATAACTTTAAACATTGAAAAAGTCAAAAATTGAAACTCAGGCATGTGGTGAAGAAGATAAAGGAAAGGTGACAGATGATTTTTCATGGTTTTACCTGGACCACAGAATCAGGAGGAGCAGAGGGATCAGCACCAAGGGCAACAGAGTCAACCTGATGACATTTATTCTTAATATTGAGTCCCCTAGAATTAAAGATGGACATTTGACACACCTAAAATGATATTTCTTTGCAGAGAAAACATGTTTGTCCAGCTTGGAAAATGAGGTTTTCCTTCAATATTCTTACTGAGGATTGAAACATAATCAATGCTAATGATGGGATGGGAATGTCAGCTCATAGATTCTCCCTCAATCTGCATCCCTGTTGGATGATATTCAGAGGACATGGAAACTTACCTGATACAACAATCAGAATTGAGGTGGAGTTGTGAAATCCTATTCCATTATGAGCTTCACAGTAATAATTCCCACTGTTGCTGGCACTAAAGTCAGTGATGGTGAAGGTCTGTCCTAAAGCTTGTGGAAAGATTTCATTCTCCTTGTACCAGGTATAGTTAGCTGCAGGGTTAGCATCGCTGCTGCAGGTGAGAGTCACTGAACTGCCCTCATCTATCTCAGCAGAGGGACTCACCGACACAGAGGGAAGCTTTGGAGGATCTGGAGGAGGAAATCAACAGATTTAACATCTAGGCAGATCAGTTTAGGACTAGTTTAACACCAGGACTCTTCTACCACAGAGCCATGTTGTTCTATATGTGTATAAGGAGCTTTGGCATTGTCTTGCTGAAATTTACGAGATGGTGGGTGGTACTACGTTCCTCCAAAACCTTCTTCTGATTTTTACCATCAATGATGCTTCCCCTGATGGGTAAGCTACTCATGCTCTCATTTCTTATGTATACCCATGCCACTGGGGGTGCATCCATGATTTCCAAAGAGAAAGCCAAATTCTGATTTGTCAGACCACAAGACAGTTTTCCCAAATCATAGATACATATTTTCAGTCATTTAAGTGTCTTTCACTCACAATTGACATCAACAGAGATGGGTTTGGACGCTCTCCTCCCCAGCTCGTTCTCAGCTGCACAGTGGTACTCTCCAGAGTCAGAGGACTGGATGGAAGTGAAAATAAGCTGTGGTTTTTCACAGGACAGTGCTTGGTTCCTCTTGTACCAGGTGTATGTAGCTTTAATGTTAGCATCACTGCTACAGTTCAAAGTGACTGAGCTGCCCTCTGTTATTTCACCAGGAGGACTTGCTGACACTGAGGGAGCATTCAGAGCATCTGTAGAGAAAAAAATCACTGACTAATAAAATAAGTAGCTAATGTGACAAGCCATTAAATGTGGTTGACCCCTCTGAAGGCGGCCATAGCGGAGCAAACTCACACAGTGTGGAGTAGCCATACTCTTCAAGCCCTTTCAGAGCACAGGAGATGGAGTGTCCTGGCAAAAACCAGTCAGCATGAGAGGAGTTCTCCTCATTTGGGATTTTTTCTCCATTCTTGAACCAGACATATGAAATGCCACCAGATATAGTGCAGCTGTTGTGACACTTCAGTGTTGCTTCAGTATAATCCTCTTTGACTGTTACAGAAGTTACCTGCACCTGCGGAGCTGGACATCCAGAATATAGAAGGATAACTGTGAGAGTGCTTCAAATGGAGTTATAAGCACTTTTATTTGTGTTTACCCGAAAACACTTTCATGCAAACACTTTGAATAATCACAAAAAAACACTCGGGGAAAGGAATCTTACTAAGAGGAGGTAAAAGTTGGCTAAATGTACTGCTGTATTTGGTGTGTTCTTCAGTACCTGTGACGGTCAGATTTGTACCAGGTAAACTGCTCCCCCATTCAAAGCTCATTGATTTAAACTTGAAGCGATACTCGGCCGAGTCACTCTCTCTCAGTTCAGAGATTCTCAGAATGGACTGTCCTCCCCAAGCTTCTAAGACCCCAATACGACCTTCATACTTGGAGTCCTTCCTTAAGTCTTCAGGCTGCGTTTCAGTCTTCCACTGGTGACTGCGTTCAGGACTAAACCAGAATTTTGATGCACGACCCCAGTAACTGTTGTATGAGCATGAAATGTCCACTGATGAACCTTCAGGGGCACAGATCCTTCTCATCATGTAAATCACATTGTTGCAGTATTGACCATAAATACCTACAATTAAAAAAAAAAAACAGATATTTTATATCAGTAAAATACATTTTTCACATGGAGACCTGTAAAAAAAAAAAAATGTTGTACAAAACAGCAGCTGGGCGTACGTTGAACTTACAGACTGGAGGAGAGGGAAAATCCTCATATCCTCTCAGAGCACAGGCGTAGCTGTCCACAGAATCCAAGCGGACCAAAAAAGTAGCTGTTTCTGTCTGAATTTTCTCTCCATTCTTGAACCAGATGTAAGACTGGTGACCAGCTGGACTGCAGCTGCTGTGACACTTCAGCTCTGCGTGGTCTGAAGTCCTGTGGACTGACTCTGTGTTCACCTGAACCTGCAGAGCTGAATATTTGGGTCAGAACCAAACATGATTTTGATGAAGGGTCTTTTAATCAGTGAGTAAAATATAAATATAGCATAAAAAGTGTAAATCATGAAGTCATGAGCAAATAAGTTTACAGTATTGTTAGAGAAACAACCTTTAGTACCTGTGACAGTCAGAGTTGTAGCAGGTAAAACACTGTGCCATTCAAGACCGTTTGTTTTAAATTTGAAGTGATACTGAGCTGAATCAGTCAGCCTCAGGTCAGTGATTCTCAGGGTCGAATGTCCACTCTCAGATTCAACAACCTGAACACGACCCGAAAACTCAGAGTCTTCTCTTAGGTCCTCAGGATTTGAAGGAAACCTCCAGTGGCTACTGCGCTCTGGACTAAACCAGAAGTTTGATGTAGTTGCGCTATAACTGTTATAAGTACAAGAAATGTCAACCGAGGAGCCTTCTAATGTACAGATTTTTCGATCAGTGTACGTCACTCTGTTGCAGTTTTCTCCTTTGACACCTGGAAGAAAAAAGTTCAGTGAACAAAACTGTGGAAACAACACTTTTACAGATGAAATGCATGACAGGTTGTTGGAGTGACTTCAGATGGCGTTTTGGAAAAAAAATAACTGGAACAACAATCCATTAGAAAAGATAGAAAATCCAGTCTTACAATTAACCGCACTGGTACTCTGTTTGTGGTAGACTGTTGTGTATACTCACACACAGCAGGAGAATGGAAATCTTCATGTCCTTTTAAAGCACAGGCAAAACTATCTGCAGGATAAATGTCCACTGAAACTGATGCGGTTTCTTTTGAAATCATGCGTCCATTCCTGTACCAGATGTAGGAAAGCTGATCAGAGCCGGGGTGACAACTGCTGTGACACTTGAGCTCTGCTCGGTCTTCTGTTGAGTTAATCACTGTCACGTGTAGATCTGAATCAGTCAAGAATGAGCAGAAATACAACCTCCAATCAGGTGACAGCATAATTCAATAAACAGAGCTGGTTTTATTGCAAAAAGGAAGTTTTGGTGATGTAATAAAAAGTGGTCAATAAGCTGAGAGAAGACAGCTCCAATTCGTAATCATGTTTGTTTGACTACAGCATCTCAATCAAGTTTCTAAACCAGCAAGTTCACACTTAAAGTGAGCAAGTATACCTCTTGGATCCAGATCCAAAGAAAGAGTCAATTACCTGTGACAGACAAAGTGACTCCTGGTGACTCAGTTACACTATCATCTTGGTGGTTCATAATCAGCCTGATCTTGTACTCAGCTGCGTCGCTCTCTGTCAGGTCTGTGATCCTCAAAGTGCAGCCGTTCTCATGAAAATGATACTCAACACGACCAGTGTAGTCTGGTTCTGATCTCAGATCCACTGGGTTACTTCCATTCATTCGTGTAAACCAAAGAATGCCCACAGGCACAGCATGATGCTCACCCCAGTTGGGTGGATGTATGTAAGTGCAGGGTATATCCACAGTCATTCCTTTCAAGGCACAGATCTGAGTAGAGGAGTAAGTCACTCCCCAGTCCTGCTGACCTTGTACCACTGCAACACAAAGCACATTAGAAAACTAGAATCACAACCATGACTTTTTCTGAAAATGGTATCAGAGAAAAGAACTCAGACAAGCCCATCCTGTCTGGAGATCATACTGTAGAGTCCATGCATTCTCACTCAACCTGCTAGATATCATGTGACTTTGATGTAGCTTCTTAGAGCAACTACCAGATATCCTTTAATAGACTGTTGTTAGAACCAAACTGGGGTTATGTGGTATGCATCACTGCAGATCTGACAGAACCCTTTGATACTAAAATCCAGTTCTGTGGGAGGATTGTGCAATCCAGATTATGCATTTTTTCTGCTGGATCTGTTAATAAGGATGAGTCATTTATGTGCTATCCATTGTTGTCGCCCGTCACTATCCCCTTGTCCTTACCTGTCTCTTAAGATTCTCCTGGTTCTCCAGAAGTTTTCTGCCTTTTTTCTCCAAAAGGAAAAAAAGGCTATATATTTACTGTGCTCCCTTTCAGTTCATTCTCTGTGCTTTCCATAAAATGAAGAATACTATTTAAAACTCCACTCCTTATTGTAGTTTCCTCCAACCACACTAGAACATTGCATTTACAGAGTGTCTGTGTGTATTACCTTAAAGTCTATGGATGGTGGAGATTGTGGACTCAAGTCCAGATTAGAGGATATCCCTGTACTTTGAAAAGCAGGTTTAAAACTTTCATTTTTGATGAATTGACCTGCTCTCAGTTATGCCACCATAGGCTTTGACCAGTACAGTCTTTCTACTGAATAAAATTTTACTTTACTTCAAAGATACCAACACTACATCTACCTAGAGGGGTCCTGAGCTTCTTTACTTCCTCTTAATCATTGCTTGTGATGCTTTCCTTAACATTATCGCTGTTCCCCATTCATCCTCTTAACAAGTAGTTATTTTTGTCAAACCCTGCTTTTCCTGCTGCCCCACAAACATTACTAACATTACTGGAATTAAAGCTGTAAATATGTTTTATTTGGTAATTCTTTTTTCTCTCCATCTCGCTTTCTCTCTGGATTTGAAGAACAGAAAGATTATTACCTGTCATGGAGAGAAAGATGATGACTAATCCACTCTTGGTTGCTGTTGAACTCATAGCTAGTTTCAGAAGTAGTTAAAAGAAAGATGAAACTCACAAAACATTGATAAATCAAATCCAGCATTTGCTGCATAAAGTAGTTTTCACTTGAAATGGTCTCATGTCAGTGGTGTAAGCAGTGGATAGAAGTAGGACGTTAAAAGAAGCCTCACTTCCTTCCTCTTCACAGTTTTGATGCTTGTAAACCACATGAGTCACCAAGTCACTAAGATTAGTTAAGTGTCGCCAGGAGACCTGCAGCCACTAAAACCTGCAAAAGAGGATACCTTATTTCTAACTTATCACAAAGCCATGAAGATAAATCTGCAAAGAGTCTCCAGATGCAAGACTCAGCTTTTGCTTGTCAATTTTTGCAGTTGTACTTTAAAACGTTCTCGATATTTTGTTTTTAAACTCATAAATTTAAATAGTGGTGAGAAGAATAAACTTTTTAAGCCTGTGTACATGTTACACATTTTTTACAGAGGCCACCAGGACTGCAGCTGTGGTCTCACACTTCCTGTCACTCACTGCAGAGTGAACGCGGACAGACATTACTGAGGTTACTATTATATATATTTACAGATACTGAGCACACAGCATTTTAGTCTGAAAAACAATATGTGTGTGTGTGTATATATATATATATTACTTTAAATGAAAACACAAATCTGAATTCACAGCTTTTTTCTAATATGTTTACTTTGCAGAACAATGCACAACAGAAAGGTGTTTTCACCTGCTTCTTTTAATAAAGATTAAATAGCAGGTATGTATCAAAGCAAAAAGTTTAAAAAATGCTGATTAAATAAAACCTCAGAGTTTATGAATAAATAAAACAAATGAAAGGGCACTTAAATGAAGTCTGAATGTGATTCTTAAACTTCCCCACTAGAGGTCAGTTAAACATCAGAAAAACTGCATCGTACTGATTTATTGCTCACTGATGGTTTAGTCAAATAAAAAGCCCCACTGGGACATCATTTTACCATTTTTGGCTAAACCTCTCAACTCTTTCATTCATTCAAGCCCCGAGAGGCTGTACCTTTGAATACCTCCAGGTGGCACAAGTGGGCAATTCAACCACGTCCACATTTTTTTCAACATGTCTGATTCATATGCCATGTTTGGTGAGTTTTTGTGAGAGTTAAAGGCACTCAAGTTTTGGTTAGATAGCAGATCAAAAGTTAGCTGTTTACTGTTAGTTAATGTGAAGGAAATAAAATGTCTGTAACTGTCTCTTTCTTCTGTATATATTTAGAGGCAAAGCTGATCATCAGAAATCTATGTTACAAACGTTATGATAACCTCTGCAAATACAAACTCATGACAGAAAACAGACAGAAAGACAGAAAACTCAGGTGATAAATGCATCATGTGATCTTCTAGATTTGTTGACTGTGCTGTACACTGCAGTAGGATCCTCTCCGGTCTCTGGACTTCTGGTTCTGAGGAGGGAAACCAAGAAACAACTAAGACTCAGAAGACTGAGAAACTAAATCATCAATTTTGTTTTTTCAAAATAAAAACACTTTAGGGAAAAAAAGATGAAACTTTTCAAAACAAGACAGGTTTCATCTTATAGTGAGAAGGCTAGTCCTCGTTAAAGAGTTTCTCACCTTTTGCTGGCGCCGGCACGACTAACATTGACAGCAGCGTACTCAGTGACATCCTGTTGCTCCTTTTGTCTGCTGTGTTGAGTTGGTCTGATGTTACTGTACAGATCTGTAGGATTCTTGGAGAAGCTGATGCTGGCATACTGAAGGTCAACCAGCTCCTCCTGTTGTCCCTAATTAGACCAAAAGTTTCTATAACCAGTAGCGGTGTGTCTGTATTCCACCTCAGGAGCGGTTTTCTTTTATCTTGAATAAAATGAGTAACTGTTCTCACCTCCCCTCTGTCGTCTGGTCTTGCTTCATTTGCAGGTGATTTGTTGGTAGCTCTCTTTTTTCTAGTAAAATAATGAATAAATTAAAATGTTAAAGATTTCCTGCATCTGATAAACTGAGTTATGATAACTCAGTGAAACAGAGCTGCTCACCTGATCCACAAGAAGACAGAGAGGAACACGAGAACCACCAGGACAACAGCAACTGTTCCAGCAACAACTGGTACTAACCCTCCTCCTGAGAAATGGTGATCAGATATATGTTACTGACATTAATTTTCATGGTCTATAATCTTTGCCACCAACAGCATACACATGCACACAGCACTACCTACGTCTCCCCTGTAATCCTGATTTTGCCCGACTGAGTTCTTTATGAGAGCCCATAATAAAAACAGGATTTCTCTGAAGGTAAAAGCTGCTCAGTCTTTGCAATTTCAGCTCTGTTTTAAATTTTATTTATGCATATATTTATTTTTTTTTAGTAGGCAGCTACTTTAATATTGTGAGGATTTACTTTATTTTTTGTCTCCTACCCAGTGGATTAAACTTTCCTCTAGAAGACTTTTGAGGTTATTTGTAAAAATCTTTTCCTTTAACTATGAAACCAGCTGCAGTCAAAAAAACTTGGTAGAGAAACTACAATTTCTCTGACCTCATGTTCAGCAGGTTCTGATAAATGATGAATTGTGTATTCTGGGTGAGCTCTCTGTGTGCAGGTGTGTAAATACAGTATCTCACCTGCTGCAACGATCTGATGTGGGCTGGATTTCTGGTGTCCTATTTTGTTCCGGGCTTCACAGTAATAATTCCCACTGTGATGAGCTCTGAACTCAGTGATGGTGAAGGTCTGTCCTGAAGCTTTTGCTGAGTCTTCATTCTCTTTGTACCAGGTGTAAGTAGCTGCAGGGTTAGCATCACTGCTGCAGGTCAGATTTACTGAACTACCCTCCACTATCTCAGCAGAGGGACTCACTGACACAGAGGGACGTTTTGGAGCATCTGGAGGAGATCGAAAGAGAACTTTAGTCATTCAAGTTTCCTACATGGAGACTTTCAGCCGTTAAGAAGAGTTTTGTACCAGGTGATCTAACTTTGTAATGTCTTCTACTCACACTGGATATCTAGTGAGAGAGGAGAAGATACATTAAATCCATATTGATTCTCAGATCTGCAGTTGTATCTCCCTCTGTCCAGATGGCTGATGTTGAGAAAAGTATAAATTCCTCCTGTTGACTGAAACGTGGTGTTGTTCTCCTTGTACCAGGTGGAACGTGGTGCTGGGTTGGCATAACTGATACAGGTCAGAGTCACTGAACTGCCCTCCACTATCTCAGAAGAGGGACTCACAGACACATAAGAGAACTTTGGAGCATCTGAAGACGGATAAAAACAGAAATGACAAAGAAACAAACACAGAATAAAAATCATTTCTGGGACATGGTTGTGTATGGTTTTCATCCTTCTGTTGCCCTTTAAATGTGACTTTTAACTCACATTTCACATAGACTAAGACATCCCTAGAGGACTCAGTGATGCCCCTCACTTTACAATAATACTGTCCAGAGTCTGACACCTGGATGGAGCTGAATACAAGCTGATTTCCTTTTCTGAGACTCAGACTTAGACGTCCACTTCTTCTGTACCAGGTATAAGTAGCATCTGGCTTAGCATCACTGCTGCAGGTCAGAGTCACATGATTACCCTCCACTATCTCAGCAGAGGGACTCACTGACACAGAGGGAAGCTCTGGATCATCTGGAAATGGATTTAATCAAAGTTAGTAAATTAAACATGCAAATAAACATATAAAAGAAGACATTTTGTCTTAGTGCTTTTTGTTCAAATACAGGATAAAACTGTTTTGAGGTATTGTTGTGTAGTTTATTGTCTTTCTAATGTGTTTGAACTGTGATGTTTCACACACATGTCAAACCAGCCAAGATGTTCCCCGATATCTGTGTCCCAAAGATGTTCCTCACTTCACAGTAATACTGTCCAAAGTCTGAGGACTTGATGGAGCTGAAGACAAGCTGAGGTCCTCTCCTGAGACGCAGAGGATATCGAGGTTCATTTCTTTTATACCAGGTATAACTGGATTCTACATTAGCGTCACTGCTGCAGGTCAGAGTCACATTTTTTCCCTCCATTATCTCAGCAGAGGAACTCACTGACACAGAGGGAGGCTCGAAAGCATCTGAAGAAGAAACACATTTTACAGTTAACATTTCAGTCACTGATGTACTTGGTTTATGCTCTCTGTCCTTTAACAAATCTTTATTATCAAGTTTTTACTCTGAGCATCACAGATATGAGATGTTTTTTAAAGTGGAAATGTTAGCCACAGACCAGAGAGTCAGGGCGAGCACTAAATTTTAAAACCTCTATAGATAGTGTTGTGTTAGAGGAAAGGGAGGGGTAAACTCACACACTGAAGGAGAGGGGAAGTCCTCATATCCTTCTACAGCACAGGAAAATCTGTCTGTGTTCAGAGTCTGGTCTGGTTGATGATATTGTGAATTTTGGTTCTTAATTTTCTCTCCATTCTTGAACCAAATGTATCGAAAATCTTGACGACAACGGCTGAGACACTTCAACTGCAAATGCCCACCTGGTCTGCTCACCATTATCTGGACATCTGATCAGATAAAACTGTCAGTACTTTCCACATAAACATACACATAATACAATCATTTACAGGATTTTAAAAAAGATAAAAGATGAAAAATTTCAGAGAAAACTTTACCTCTGACAGACAAGGTCACACCTCCGCTGCCAAAATATTTGTCAAAGCTTGTCTCCATCCTGAACATGTATTCAGCTGAGTCACTCCCTGTCAGGTTTGTGATTGTCAAGGTGGATCTGGTCCCATCATACGTGGTCTTCACACGACCTGAATACTCTGAGTCTGTTTCAATGTTTAGAAACTCATCACCACGTTTCCTAATAAACCAAAATGTTTTTAAGAGTTTGTTCTGCTTCCTCTCCATTGTTTTTGGGTACTTAAAGTTGCAGCTTATTTCCACAGTTGATCCTCTAGAGACACAGATCTGAGCTGTAGAGTAAGTCACCTCCCAGCCGTTCTGAGGCTGAACCACTAAAACACAAAAATCAGAGAACACAGTCAATTTAACCAGACCAGGAAAAGTTTAAGACTGAACATGAAATAAATAAATCTGAACCAGATCATTGAGGTGCAGTCCGACATCATCTTGATATAACAATCACATGTAAGATATTTTTGTCAGGTTTAGCTTTTTTCTCTGTTTGATATTAGATTTTAAACTACTTATCAAAATATCTGAGAGAAGATTTATCCATACTGAAAAATTACAGATGTTTATATTCATGAACACTTCTCTAACCCAACAGCATTATTAACAGTGTAAATTATTTGACAGATTGTGCTGTTCTGTGAAAGTTTTCTCTGTGCAAAGTTAGCTGCCCAGTCAAGTGTGTATCTAAAAATAAATGCAGAAGTCTAAGGGGTGAGAAACTGTACAGCAGCTAATACTCAATGATTAGATAAGTGCTGTCAATGCAGCATCAGCATGGAAATATAACACCTATGAAGAGGAACACACAGGGTTGTTGCAGATGTGTTGTAATAAATGAGTCCCTGAGACACTAGCCTGACTGCAAAACTAGTATCCACTAAAAAACTCAAAAAGTGATTTCAATACAGCAAATTACAATCAGAATTTTGGAGAAAAAACTGCAGGTTCTGTAAGCAGAGTCTGTTTTTGATCAAATTAAAAAGAGGCTGCAGGTTTCTCAGAGTGAAGAGGAAAAGCTTTAGATATGAAGTACCTGATACAGAGAGGAGAAGGATGAATCCACTCACTGCTGCAGTTAAACTCATCTCTGCTCCTCTCTCCTTTCTCTGGGACTTTAGGGATAATAACACAAGTCAAATATGTGACATGAAAAGCTAACAGGAGATGAAAAAGTATCAGACATTTCATTAAACTATTCTACTTACAAATATGACCAGCGTTGTGTTTTGAAGGGCGTCTTGTCTCTGCAGTCCGTGAGCAGAAGGCGGAAACTGAAGTGTGAAACAGACCAAAAAAGCCCTTCCTTTTTAAATGATAACATAAATGTTGATTCAAACACCAATAAGAGACCACACCTTAAAGAAGCTGTTTTTCATCAACTTAATCCTCTTGAAATGGTTAAGTTTGTCCTATCTTTTGATTTTATTTTAACATCAGTATCGACACGTTATCTCCATTAGTTGAGGAAGGATGTCAAAAAGTCTGTGGGTGAACAAAGTTGAATCAAAAACCTCAAAGAATGGGAGAAAAAAACTAATCTGTATGAGTGGATTACACTTGAACTTCAACGGAAGTGTTTTTTTTTTTTTTTTTTTTTTTTGGGGGGGGGGTGTTGTAATCCTTTGAATCAGAGAGTAAATAGAGTGTCACACAAACAACAAATAGTAGAGTCAGGATGTTGCGTTCAACCTCCAGTCAAACTCTCATAGAGCTCGTTGTCACAAGAAAGGATTATCAAAAATGTAACATACATCGATCATCCCATAAATATTCTCAGTCACTACAAGATAAAGATGCAATCAATTAAAAAGATCACTTAGAGTTACTGCTTATGTGGCACTATGCGTTATTGAAGGCATGGAAATAGTCAAACCCCCATTTTATTTATATGAATAAAGTTCACGTGCAATACTAAAACTACTGTAGTGTCTATTTTCCTGTAAGATAGTGTAATATATGTTTCACCAGCAGGGGGCACTCGGTACCTCACCTAGCGGATAGCTGATGCAACAGCAGGAGAAGTCCAGTCAGTGTCTGAGGATGAAGCGTTCAGACCATAGACTGTATATACTTTGGACAACTTGGTTCCACCTTCTGCCAGTATACGGATTTGAAGCCAAAAAGCTCTCTGTGATTCTGCATTTTTTTCTCCACTTCCTGAAACCAACATTGCACATAGGCTGTATCAAGTGTCAATCATAGAAAACATGAACCACCTAATAACTTTTAAAAATGGAGCTGCACAGAAAAAAGAGGACTTGAGCACAAACCAGTCTTACAGTAGCTACATGTCAACATCGCAGTTAGGGGGGAGAAGAATTTATATTTTGTGTAATAAATTTCTAAAGTTTGTCCACAGACCCCATAAGGATGGCTGGTGGGGGCAGGATTTATGACCTATACTGCAGCCTGTCACCAGAGGGCGCTGTTCTTGGGGTGGCTTCACCCAGCGAGGAGGCAGATGGCGTCCATTTTATATACAGTCAATGGTACAGGCACAGCATAGAGTACACTCCTATTAATGACTGTTTTTATGTGTTTGCAGGTTAGCTGGTTCAGAAATACTATAAAAGTAATGGACAACAGTAATAATATATCTTAAGTGCCTTGGAGTGTAACAGACGTCGAGCTAAAGAGTGAATTCACAAGCTCATGGGTTTGTAAAGGCGACTCGCTGGATTGTGTATCTGTAATGGCGGACTCGTAGTCCATGGCAATCGTGGTAATGAACCAGAGGACTGAATTATGTCTCTTTTGAGTTTAAAGGATAGGCTAACTACTGAGAGATACACATTACAGCTGTAAAAATATAAGTTTATATCAAGAAACCGCATTAAGTGGATTAAGTTTTTTCTGTGGGGAGGTGCTTGTGTGGAGTTGAGCTGAGTGAGGGGCAGGGCTGGGCTGGCAGGTGCAGCTGTGGTGCCATGCTATGGTCCAGTTAGTAGACCGTGATGAGAGTCTGTATTGTGCACGCTTGTATTTTAGGTTAAAGCCACACTGTGTGTTTTCATTGTGGGAAGAGGGAAAGTAAAACACTTTATGTTCAGTGTATTAAGGGACAGTGCAGTGTTAATACATTAAAAGACATTAGTTTGAAATAGATTTACTTAACTAAAGATCAGTTATACAGTTCATAAAGGAGATGTAATGGTTAAAATAGTATAAATATTGAGACAGTAATGTCATGGATTTTATTTCAACACCACTGTAGTATTGTGTTGCTTTAAGAGTTGTTTTACAGTGCAAGTGTAGAGTGTTTATCATAAAACAGAGAAGTCCAGTCAGTGTGTGAGGATGAAGCGTAAAGACACAGAACAGAGTGCGCTCCTATTAATGACTGTTTTTATGTTTTTGCAGTTCCTGTAAGAATAAATATGCCACACAGGAGATGAGATGGCCCATCATTTTGGACAGTGAAATATTAGAGTGGCTGGACCAACAGATCTGCCAGAGTCTTGTTGACAGGACTTTTTTTTAACTACCTGGAAGGTGAAACACACTGCATCTGCGTACAATCACAAAAAAAAAAGATTAAGACAGTGAGAATGAATCTGAAGTTGGTCTGTTATCTCGGTGGAGGAGGTCAGACTCTCTGTAGAAATTGTTATAAACCAAGACACAGAGGAGAGAACACAACTGCACAACACCAGATCAGTTGGTCCAAAAGACAAGGATTTATTGTAAAAAGGCAAGGTCAGAAATAAAGCAGGCAAAGGTAATACATGACTTGACTAAAACTATGCATAATGCTGGAACGTGACTATAAAGTGCAACGAACTGGTGACGAGACAGTGAGATGCATGAGATTAAATACAAGAGGTAGTGAGGGTGATGGGGAACAGGTGGGGAAACACAATCAGGCAGCAGGTGTGACAAAACGAGGGCAGACCAGACAGGAACAAAGCTAGAAGACAGAAACAAGAGTTGGTGAACTACAAAATAAAACAGGAAATACATGACATGAAACAAAACATGAATGTGCAAAAATAAAAGAAACTTAACCAACATGACAAAAGTAAGAGTTTGAAACGTCTTATTTTTGACTTGATTTTTAAAGTATCTTGTTTTTCTATTTGACTTTCATGACAGTCGTGTTTTGGGGCATTTTTTCCTTTTGTAGATAGGAAAGCAGAAGAAAGACAGCAAATGAGGAGTGTAGAAAGTGAGAGAACATGTGCAGCAAAGGATCATGGGCGGGAGTTGAACCAGCAACCGCTCAACAGGGGACACTAGTCCAGTTATGGGATCAGTGGACCATCAGCACCACTGGAGACACCCCACCCTGACTGGACTTCACACCCTGTCTTCCTGCTCCTCTATGTCTTCAGTCTGTGCTGCAGTGACCGCTGAGACTTTCTCATTCTCATGAGCAGAGTCCAGCTGAGGACAGATGAAGAGAGTTGATCATCTTTGAAAGTATTTTAGTCCCATTTTGAAACTTTGATCCTGACATCTTTGAACAGTTCTGTAAAGATGTTTTGTTAGCAGTCGGTCTCACCTCTATCATCTCTGCAGGTTCACTTGGTTCAGTGTTGGAGCTCAGAGGTTTCTTCTTCCTGGATTATTACATTTGAGAAAAGTTAGTTTTACAATAATAGAGAGAAAAGAAATTAAACTATGAACCAAGTGAAGAGGATCATAAAAGAAACGTGTTTGAATTGATGGAGTTTTATGGTTTTACCTTGTCAACAGAATCACAAGAAGTGGTGGAATCAACATCAAAAAGAACAGGGTCAACCTGATGCTAATTATGGTTGTTATTGTTGATTTCCCTTGAATGAAAGAAGAGAGATATGTGAGACACATTACTAACAGAATCAGACTGGTCTATATCTTTAGCTCTGTCTGAGACTCTGTTGAGCCAGAATCTGACATGGAGGTCCCTCCATGAATTATTCACTTTAGTCAGTTTTAAGATCTGATTCAGAGAAAACATGTTTGTGAAGGAAAAAATTAATTAATTAAACATATCATGAGCTGCTTTGAGTATTTTGGGTAAGCTCTCTGTGTGCAGGTGTGTAAATATCTCACCTGCCGCAACGATCTGATGTGGGCTGGATTTCTGGCGTCCTATTTTGTTTCGGGCTTCACAGTAATAATTCCCACTGTGATGAGCTCTGAACTCAGTGATGGTGAGGGTCTGTCCTGAAGCGTTTGCTGAGTCTTCACTCTCTTTGTACCAGGTATAAGTAGCTGCAGGGTTAGCATCACTGCTGCAGGTCAGATTTACTGAACTACCCTCCACTATCTCAGCAGAGGGACTCACTGACACAGAGGGACGTTTTGGAGCATCTGGAGGAGATCGAAAGAAAACTTTACATGGAGACTTAAGCCGTTAAGAAGAGTTTTGTACCAGGTGATCTAACTTTGTAATGTCTTCTACTCACACTGGATATCCAGTGAGAGAGGGGGAGATACATGTGATCCATATTGATTCTCAGATCTGCAGTTGTATCTCCCTCTGTCCAGATGGCTGATGTTGAGAAAAGTATAAATTCCTCCTGTTGACTGAAACGTGGTGTTGTTCTCCTTGTACCAGGTGGAACGTGGTGCTGGGTTGGCGTAACTGATACAGGTCAGAGTCACTGAACTGCCCTCCACTATCTCAGAAGAGGGACTCACAGACACATAAGAGAACTTTGGAGCATCTGAAGACGGATAAAAACAGAAATGACAAAGAAACAGAATAAAAAAATGTTCTGGGATATGGTTGTGTATGGTTTTCATCCTTATGTTGCCCTTTAAATGTGACTTTACTCACATTTCACATAGACTAAGACATCCCTAGAGGACTCAGTGATGCCCCTCACTTCACAATAATACTGTCCAGAGTCTGACACCTGGATGGAGCTGAAGACAAGCTGATTTCCTTTTCTGAGACTCTGAGGACTTAGATCACCATTTCTTCTGTACCAGGTATGGTTAGCATCTGGCTTAACATCACTGCTGCAGGTCAGAGTCACATGATTACCCTCCACTATCTCAGCAGAGGGACTCACTGACACAGAGGGAAGCTCTGGATCATCTGGAAATGGATTTAATCAAAGTTAGTAAATTAAAACATGCAAATAAACATATAAAAGAAGAAATTTTGTCTTAGTGCTTTTTGTTCAAATACAGGATAAAACTGTTTTGAGGTATTGTTGTGTAGTTTATTGTCTTTCTAATGTGTTTGAACTGTGATGTTTCACACACATGTCAAACCAGCCAAGATGTTCCCCGATATCTGTGTCCCAAAGGTGTTCCTCACTTCACAGTAATACTGTCCAAAGTCTGAGGACTTGATGGAGCTGAAGACAAGCTGAGGTCCTCTCCTGAGACGCAGAGGATATAGAGGTTCATTTCTTTGATACCAGGTATAACTGGATTCTACATTAGCATCACTGCTGCAGGTCAGAGTCACATTTTTTCCCTCCATTATCTCAGCAGAGGAACTCACTGACACAGAGGGAGGCTCGAAAGCATCTGAAGAAGAAACACATTTTACAGTTAACATTTCAGTCACTGATGTACTTGGTTTATGCTCTCTGTCCTTTAACAACTCTTTACTATTGAGTTTTTACTCTGAGCATCACAGATATGAGATGTTTTTTTAAAGTGGAAATGTTAGCCACAGACCAGAGAGTCAGGGCACGCACTAAATTTTAAAACCTCCATCAGATAGTGTTGTGTTAGAGGAAAGGGAGGGGTAAACTCACACACTGAAGGAGAGGGGAAGTCCTCATATCCTTCTACAGCACAGGAAAATCTGTCTGTGTTCAGAATCTGGTCTGGTTGATGATATTGTGAATTTTGGTTCTTAATTTTCTCTCCATTCTTGAACCAAATGTATCGAAAATCTTGACGACAACGGCTGAGACACTTCAACTGCAAATGCCCACCTGGTCTGCTCACCATTATCTGGACATCTGATCAGATAAAACTGTCAGTACTTTCCACATAAACATACACATGATACAATAATTTACAGGATTTTAAAAAAGAAAAAAAGATGAAAAATTTCACAGAAAACTTTACCTCTGACCGACAGGGTGACACCTGGGTAGCCAAAATATTTGTCCAGGCTTGTCTCCATCCTGAACTTGTACTGAGCTGAGTCACTCCCTGTCAGGTTTGTGATTGTTAGGGTGGATCTGGTCCCATCACAGGTGGTCTTCACACGACCTGAATACTCTGAGTCTGTTTCAATGTTTAGAAACTCATCACTACGTTTCCTAATAAACCAAAATGTTTTTAAGAGTTTGTTCTGCTCCATGTTTATTGTTTTTGGGTACTTAAAGTTGCAGCTTATTTCTACAGTTGATCCTCTAGAGACACAGATCTGAGTTGTAGAGTAAGTCACCTCCCAGTCGTTCTGAGACTGAACCACTAAAACACAAAAATCAGAGAACACAGTCAATTTAACCAGACCAGGAAAAGTTCAAGACTGAACATGAAATAAATAAATCTGAACCAGATCATTGAGGTGCAGTCCGACATCATCTTGATATAACAATCACATGTAAGATATTTTTGTCAGGTTTAGCTTTTTTCTCTGTTTGATATTAGATTTTAAACTACTTATCAAAATATCTGAGAGAAGATTTATCCATACTGAAAAATTACAGATGTTTATATTCATGAACACTTCTCTAACCCAACAGCATTATTAACAGTGTAAATTATTTGACAGATTGTGCTGTTCTGTGAAAGTTTTCTCTGTGCAAAGTTAGCTGCCCAGTCAAGTGTGTATCTAAAAATAAATGCAGAAGTCTAAGGGGTGAGAAACTGTACAGCAGCTAATACTCAATGATTAGATAAGTGCTGTCAATGCAGCATCAGCATGGAAATATAACACCTATGAAGAGGAACAGACAGGGTTGTTGCAGATGTGTTGTAATAAATGAGTCCCTGAGACACTAGCCTGACTGCAAAACTAGTATCCACTAAAAAACTCAAAAAGTGATTTCAATACAGCAAATTACAATCAGAATTTTGGAGAAAAAACTGCAGGTTCTGTAAGCAGAGTCTGTTTTTGATCAAATTAAAAAGGAAAAGCTGTAGATATGAAGTACCTGATACAGAGAGGAGAAGGATGAATCCACTCACTGCTGCAGTTAAACTCATCTCTGCTCCTCTCTCCTTTCTCTGGGACTTTAGGGATGATAACACAAGTCAAAAATGTGACATGAAAAGCACACAGGAGATGAAAAAGTATCAGACATTTCATTAAACTATTCTACTTACAAATATGACCAGCGTTGTGTTTTGAAGGGCGTCTTTTCTCTGCAGTCCGTGAGCAGAAGGCGGAAACTGAAGTGTGAAACAGACCAAAAAAGCCCTTCCTTTTTAAATGATAACATAAATGTTGATTCAAACACCAATAAGAGACCACACCTTAAAGAAGCTGTTTTTCATCAACTTAATCCTCTTGAAATGGTTAAGTTTGTCCTATCTTTTGATTTTATTTTAACATCAGTATCGACACGTTATCTCCATTAGTTGAGGAAGGATGTCAAAAAGTCTGTGGGTGAACAAAGTTGAATCAAAAACCTCAAAGTATGGGAGAAAAAAACTAATCTGTATGAGTGGATTACACTTGAACTTCAACGGAAGTGTTTTTTTTTTTTTTTTTTGGGGGGGGTGTTGTAATCCTTTGAATCAGAGAGTAAATAGAGTGTCACACAAACAACAAATAGTAGAGTCAGGATGTTGCGTTCAACCTCCAGTCAAACTCTCATAGAGCTCGTTGTCACAAGAAAGGATTATCAAAAATGTAACATACATCGATCATCCCATAAATATTCTCAGTCACTACAAGATAAAGATGCAATCAATTAAAAAGATCACTTAGAGTTACTGCTTATGTGGCACTATGCGTTATTGAAGGCATGGAAATAGTCAAACCCCCATTTTATTTATATGAATAAAGTTCACGTGCAATACTAAAACTACTGTAGCGTCTATTTTCCTGTAAGATATAGTAATATATGTTTCACCAGCAGGGGGCACTCGGTACCTCACCTAGCGGATAGCTGATGCAACAGCAGGAGAAGTCCAGTCAGTGTCTGAGGATGAAGCGTTCAGACCATAGACTGTATATACTTTGGACAACTTGGTTCCACCTTCTGCCAGTATACGGATTTGAAGCCAAAAAGCTCTCTGTGATTCTGCATTTTTTTCTCCACTTCCTGAAACCAACATTGCACATAGGCTGTATCAAGTGTCAATCATAGAAAACATGAACCACCTAATAACTTTTAAAAATGGAGCTGCACAGAAAAAAGAGGACTTGAGCACAAACCAGTCTTACAGTAGCTACATGTCAACATCACAGTTAGGGGGGAGAAGAATTTATATTTTGTGTAATAAATTTCCAAAGTTTGTCCACAGACCCCATAAGGATGGCTGGTGGGGGCAGGATTTATGACCTATACTGCAGCCTGTCACCAGAGGGCGCTGTTCTTGGGGTGGCTTCACCCAGCGAGGAGGCAGACGGCGTCCATTTTATATACAGTCAATGGTACAGGCACAGCATAGAGTACGCTCCTATTAATGACTGTTTTTATGTGTTTGCAGGTTAGCTGGTTCAGAAATACTATAAAAGTAATGGACAACAGTAATGATATATCTTAAGTGCCTTGGAGTGTAACAGACGTCGAGCTAAAGAGTGAATTCACAAGCTCATGGGTTTGTAAAGGCGACTCGCTGGATTGTGTATCTGTAATGGCGGACTCGTAGTCCATGGCAATCGTGGTAATGAAGCAGAGGACTGAATTATGTCTCTTTTGAGTTTAAAGGATAGGCTAACTACTGAGAGATACACATTACAGCTGTAAAAATATAAGTTTATATCAAGAAACCGTATTAAATGGATTAAGTTTTTTCTGTGGGGAGGTGCTTGTGTGGAGTTGAGCTGAGTGAGGGGCTGGGCTGGCAGGTGCGGCTGTGGTGCCATGCTATGGTCCAGTTAGTAGACCGTGATGAGAGTCTGTATTGTGCACGCTTGTATTTTAGGTTAAAGCCACACTGTGTGTTTTCATTGTGGGAAGAGGGAAAGTAAAACACTTTATGTTCAGTGTATTAAGGGACAGTGCAGTGTTAATACATTAAAAGACATTAGTTTGAAATAGATTTACTTAACTAAAGATCAGTTATACAGTTCATAAAGGAGATGTAATGGTTAAAATAGTATAAATATTGAGACAGTAATGTCATGGATTTTATTTCAACACCACTGTAGTATTGTGTTGCTTTAAGAGTTGTTTTACAGTGCAAGTGTAGAGTGTTTATCATAAAACAGAGAAGTCCAGTCAGTGTGTGAGGATGAAGCGTAAAGACACAGAACAGAGTGCGCTCCTATTAATGACTGTTTTTATGTTTTTGCAGTTCCTGTAAAAATAAATATGCTACACAGGAGATGAGTTGGCCCATCATTTTGGACAGTGAAATATTAGAGTGGCTGGACCAACAGATCTGCCAAAGTCTTGTTGACAGGACTTTTTTTTAACTAACTGGAGGGTGAAACACACTGCATCTGCGTACAATCACAAAAAAAAGATTAAGACAGTGAGAATGAATCTGAAGTTGGTCTGTTATCTCGGTGGAGGAGGTCAGACTCTCTGTAGAAACTGTTATAAACCAAGACACAGAGGAGAGAACACAATTGCACAACACCAGATCAGTTGGTCCAAAAGACAAGGATTTATTGTAAAAAGGCAAGGTCAGAAATAAAGCAGGCAAAGGTAATACATGACTTGACTAAAACTATGCATAATGCTGGAACGTGACTATAAAGTGCAACGAACTGGTGACGAGACAGTGAGATGCATGAGATTAAATACAAGAGGTAGTGAGGGTGATGGGGAACAGGTGGGGAAACACAATCAGGCAGCAGGTGTGACAAAACGAGGGCAGACCAGACAGGAACAAAGCTAGAAGACAGAAACAAGAGTTGGTGAACTACAAAATAAAACAGGAAATACATGACATGAAACAAAACATGAATGTGCAAAAATAAAGGAAACTTAACCAACATGACAAAAGTAAGAGTTTGAAATGTCTTATTTTTGACTTGATTTTTAAAGTATCTTGTTTTTCTATTTGACTTTCATGACAGTCGTGTTTTGGGGCATTTTTTCCTTTTGTAGATAGGAAAGCAGAAGAAAGACAGCAAATGAGGAGTGTAGAAAGTGAGAGAACATGTGCAGCAAAGGATCATGGGCGGGAGTTGAACCAGCAACCGCTCAACCGCGGACTCTAGTCCAGTTATGGGATCAGTAGACCATCAGCATCACTGGAGACACCCCACCCTGACTGGACTTCACACCCTGTCTTCCTGCTCCTCTATATCTTCAGTCTGTGCTGCAGTGACCGCTGAGACTTTCTCATTCTCATGAGCAGAGTCCAGCTGAGGACAGATGAAGAGAGTTGATCATCTTTGAAAGTATTTTAGTCCCATTTTGAAACTTTGATCCTGACATCTTTGAACAGGTCTGTAAAGATATTTTGTCAGCAGTCGGTCTCACCTCTATCATCTCTGCAGGTTCACTTGGTTCAGTGTTGGAGTTCAGAGGTTTCTTCTTCCTGGATTATTACATTTGAGAACAGTCAGTTTTACAGTGATAGAGAGAAAAGAAATTAAACTATGAACCAAGTGAAGAAGCTCATAAAAGAAACGTGTTTGAATTGATGGAGTTTTATGGTTTTACCTTGTCAACAGACTCACGAGAGGTGGAGGAATCAACATCAAAAAGAACAGGGTAAACCTGATGCTAATTATGGTTGTTATTGTTGATTTCCCTTGAATGAAAGAAGAGAGATATGTGAGACACATTACTAACAGAATCAGACTGGTCTATATCTTTAGCTCTGTCTGAGACTCTGTTGAGCCAGAATCTGACATGGAGGTCCCTCCATGAATTATTCACTTTAGTCAGTTTTAAGATCTGATTCAGAGAAAACATGTTTGTGAAGGAAAAAATTAATTAATCAAACATATCATGAGCTGCTTTGAGTATTCTGGGTAAGCTCTCTGTGTGCAGGTGTGTAAATATCTCACCTGCCGCAACGATCTGATGTGGGCTGGATTTCTGGCGTCCTATTTTGTTTCGGGCTTCACAGTAATAATTCCCACTGTGATGAGCTCTGAACTCAGTGATGGTGAAGGTCTGTCCTGAAGCTTTTGCTGAGTCTTCATTCTCTTTGTACCAGGTGTAAGTAGCTGCAGGGTTAGCATCACTGCTGCAGGTCAGATTTACTGAACTACCCTCCACTATCTCAGCAGAGGGACTCACTGACACAGAGGGACGTTTTGGAGCATCTGGAGGAGATCGAAAGAGAACTTTAGTCATTCAAGTTTCCTACATGGAGACTTCCAGCCATTAAGAAGAGTTTTGTACCAGGTGATCTAACTTTGTAATGTCTTCTACTCACACTGGATATCTAGTGAGAGAGGTGGAGATACATGTGATCCATATTGATTCTCAGATCTGCAGTTGTATCTCCCTCTGTCCAGATGGCTGATGTTGAGAAAAGTATAAATTCCTCCTGTTGACTGAAACGTGGTGTTGTTCTCCTTGTACCAGGTGGAACGTGGTGCTGGGTTGGCGTAACTGATACAGGTCAGAGTCACTGAACTGCCCTCCACTATCTCAGAAGAGGGACTCACAGACACATAAGAGAACTTTGGAGCATCTGAAGACGGATAAAAACAGAAATGACAAAGAAACAAACACAGAATAAAAATCATTTCTGGGATATGGTTGTGTATGGTTTTCATCCTTCTGTTGCCCATTAAATGTGACTTTACTCACATTTCACATAGACTAAGACATCCCTAGAGGACTCAGTGATGCCCCTCACTTCACAATAATACTGTCCAGAGTCTGAGGACTGAATGGAGCTGAATACAAGCTGATTTCCTTTTCTGAGACTCTGAGGACTTAGATCACCATTTCTTCTGTACCAGGTATGGTTAGCATCTGGCTTAGCATCACTGCTGCAGGTCAGAGTCACATGATTACCCTCCACTATCTCAGCAGAGGGACTCACTGACACAGAGGGAAGCTCTTGATCATCTGGAAATGGATTTAATCAAAGTTAGTGAATTAAACTTGCAAATAAACATATAAAAGAAGAAATTTTGTCTTAGTGCTTTTTGTTCAAATACAGGATAAAACTGTTTTGAGGTATTGTTGTGTAGTTTATTGTCTTTCTAATGTGTTTGAACTGTGATGTTTCACACACATGTCAAACCAGCCAAGATGTTCCCCGATATCTGTGTCCCAAAGGTGTTCCTCACTTCACAGTAATACTGTCCAAAGTCTGAGGACTTGATGGAGCTGAAGACAAGCTGAGGTCCTCTCCTGAGACGCAGAGGATATAGAGGTTCATTTCTTTGATACCAGGTATAACTGGATTCTACATTAGCGTCACTGCTGCAGGTCAGAGTCAGATTTTTTCCCTCCATCATCTCAGCAGAGGAACTCACTGACACAGAGGGAGGCTCGAAAGCATCTGAAGAAGAAACACATTTTACAGTTAACATTTCAGTCACTGATGTACTTGGTTTATGCTCTCTGTCCTTTAACAACTCTTTACTATGAAGTTTTTATTCTGAGCATCACAGATATGAGATGTTTTTTAAAGTGGAAATGTTAGCCACAGACCAGAGAGTCAGGGCACGCACCAAATTTTAAAACCTCCATCAGATAGTGTTGTGTTAGAGGAAAGGGAGGGGTAAACTCACACACTGAAGGAGAGGGGAAGTCCTCATATCCTTCTACAGCACAGGAAAATCTGTCTGTGTTCAGAATCTGGTCTGGTTGATGATATTTTGAATTTTGGTTCTTAATTTTTTCTCCATTCATGAACCAAATGTATCGAAAATCTTGACGACAACGGCTGAGACACCTCAACTGCAAATGCCCACCTGGTCTGCTCACCATTATCTGGACATCTGATCAGATAAAACTGTCAGTACTTTCCACATAAACATACACATAATATAATCATTTACACGATTTTCAAAAAGGTAAAGGATGAGACATTTCACAGAAAACTACCTCTCACAGACAGGGTGACACCTGGGTAGCCAGAATATTTGTCCAGGCTTGTCTCCATCCTGAACATGTATTCAGCTGAGTCACTCCCTGTCAGGTTTGTGATTGTTAGGGTGGATCTGGTCCCATCATGCGTGGTCTTCACACGACCTGAATACTCTGAGTCTGTTTCAATGTTTAGAAGCTCATCACCACGTCTCCTGATAAACCAAAATGTTTTTAAGAGTTTGTTCTGCTTCCTCTCCATTGTTTTTGGGTACTTAAAGTTGGCAGCTTATTTCCACAGTTGATCCTCTGGAGACACAGATCTGAGTTTTAGAGTAAGTCACCTCCCAGCCGTTCTGAGGCTGAACCACTAAAACACAAAAATCAGAGAACACAGTCAATTTAACCAGACCAGGAAAAGTTTAAGACTGAACATGAAATAAATAAATCTGAACCAGATCATTGAGGTGCAGTCCGACATCATCTTGATATAACAATCACATGTAAGATATTTTTGTCAGGTTTAGCTTTTTTCTCTGTTTGATATTAGATTTTAAACTACTTATCAAAATATCTGAGAGAAGATTTATCCATACTGAAAAATTACAGATGTTTATATTCATGAACACTTCTCTAACCCAACAGCATTATTAACAGTGTAAATTATTTGACAGATTGTGCTGTTCTGTGAAAGTTTTCTCTGTGCAAAGTTAGCTGCCCAGTCAAGTGTGTATCTAAAAATAAATGCAGAAGTCTAAGGGGTGAGAAACTGTACAGCAGCTAATACTCAATGATTAGATAAGTGCTGTCAATGCAGCATCAGCATGGAAATATAACACCTATGAAGAGGAACAGACAGGGTTGTTGCAGATGTGTTGTAATAAATGAGTCCCTGAGACACTAGCCTGACTGCAAAACTAGTATCCACTAAAAAACTCAAAAACTGATTTCAATACAGCAAATTACAATCAGAATTTTGGAGACAAAACTGCAGGTTCTGTAAGCAGAGTCTGTTTTTGATCAAATTAAAAAGAGGCTGCAGGTTTCTCAGAGTGAAGAGGAAAAGCTTTAGATATGAAGTACCTGATACAGAGAGGAGAAGGATGAATCCACTCACTGCTGCAGTTAAACTCATCTCTGCTCCTCTCTCCTTTCTCTGGGACTTTAGGGATAATAACACAAGTCAAATATGTGACATGAAAAGCTAACAGGAGATGAAAAAGTATCAGACATTTCATTAAACTATTCTACTTACAAATATGACCAGCGTTGTGTTTTGAAGGGCGTCTTTTCTCTGCAGTCCGTGAGCAGAAGGCGGAAACTGAAGTGTGAAACAGACCAAAAAAGCCCTTCCTTTTTAAATGATAACATAAATGTTGATTCAAACACCAATAAGAGACCACACCTTAAAGAAGCTGTTTTTCATCAACTTAATCCTCTTGAAATGGTTAAGTTTTTACTATCTTTTGATTTTATTTCAACATCAGTATCGACACGTTATCTTCATTAGTTGAGGAAGGATGTCAAAAAGTCTGTGGGTGAACAAAGTTGAATCAAAAACCTCAAAGTATGGGAGAAAAAAACTAATCTGTATGAGTGGATTACACTTGAACTTCAACGGAAGTGTTTTTTTTTTTTTTTTTTTTGGGGGGGGTGTTGTAATCCTTTGAATCAGAGAGTAAATAGAGTGTCACACAAACAACAAATAGTAGAGTCAGGATGTTGCGTTCAACCTCCAGTCAAACTCTCATAGAGCTCGTTGTCACAAGAAAGGATTATCAAAAATGTAACATACATCGATCATCCCATAAATATTCTCAGTCACTACAAGATAAAGATGCAATCAATTAAAAAGATCACTTAGAGTTACTGCTTATGTGGCACTATGCGTTATTGAAGGCATGGAAATAGTCAAACCCCCATTTTATTTATATGAATAAAGTTCACGTGCAATACTAAAACTACTGTAGCGTCTATTTTCCTGTAAGATAGTGTAATATATGTTTCACCAGCAGGGGGCACTCAGTACCTCACCTAGCGGATAGCTGATGCAACAGCAGGAGAAGTCCAGTCAGTGTCTGAGGATGAAGCGTTCAGACCATAGACTGTATATACTTTGGACAACTTGGTTCCACCTTCTGCCAGTATACGGATTTGAAGCCAAAAAGCTCTCTGTGATTCTGCATTTTTTTCTCCACTTCCTGAAACCAACATTGCACATAGGCTGTATCAAGTGTCAATCATAGAAAACATGAACCACCTAATAACTTTTAAAAATGGAGCTGCACAGAAAAAAGAGGACTTGAGCACAAACCAGTCTTACAGTAGCTACATGTCAACATCACAGTTAGGGGGGAGAAGAATTTATATTTTGTGTAATAAATTTCTAAAGTTTGTCCACAGACCCCATAAGGATGGCTGGTGGGGGCAGGATTTATGACCTATACTGCAGCCTGTCACCAGAGGGCGCTGTTCTTGGGGTGGCTTCACCCAGCGAGGAGGCAGATGGCGTCCATTTTATATACAGTCAATGGTACAGGCACAGCATAGAGTACACTCCTATTAATGACTGTTTTTATGTGTTTGCAGGTTAGCTGGTTCAGAAATACTATAAAAGTAATGGACAACAGTAATGATATATCTTAAGTGCCTTGGAGTGTAACAGACGTCGAGCTAAAGAGTGAATTCACAAGCTCATGGGTTTGTAAAGGCGACTCGCTGGATTGTGTATCTGTAATGGCGGACTCGTAGTCCATGGCAATCGTGGTCATGAACCAGAGGACTGAATTATGTCTCTTTTGAGTTTAAAGGATAGGCTAACTACTGAGAGATACACATTACAGCTGTAAAAATATAAGTTTATATCAAGAAACCGCATTAAGTGGATTAAGTTTTTTCTGTGGGGAGGTGCTTGTGTGGAGTTGAGCTGAGTGAGGGGCTGGGCTGGCAGGTGCGGCTGTGGTGCCATGCTATGGCCCAGTTAGTAGGCTGCAATGAGAGTCTGTATTGTCCATGCTTGTATTTTAGGTTAAAGCCACACCGTGTGTTTTCATTGTGGGAAGAGGGAAAGTAAAACACTTTATGTTCAGTGTATTAAGGGACAGTGCAGTGTTAATACATTAAAAGACATTAGTTTGAAATAGATTTACTTAACTAAAGATCAGTTATACAGTTCATAAAGGAGATGTAATGGTTAAAATAGTATAAATATTGAGACAGTAATGTCATGAATTTTATTTCAACACCACTGTAGTATTTTGTTGCTTTAAGAGTTGTTTTACAGTGCAAGTGTAGAGTGTTTATCATAAAACAGAGAAGTCCAGTCAGTGTGTGAGGATGAAGCGTAAAGACACAGAACAGAGTGCGCTCCTATTAATGACTGTTTTTATGTTTTTGCAGTTCCTGTAAGAATAAATATGCCACACAGGAGATGAGTTGGCCCATCATTTTGGACAGTGAAATATTAGAGTGGCTGGACCAACAGATCTGCCAGAGTCTTGTTGACAGGACTTTTTTTTAACTAACTGGAGGGTGAAACACACTGCATCTGCGTACAATCACAAAAAAAAGATTAAGACAGTGAGAATGAATCTGAAGTTGGTCTGTTATCTCTGTGGAGGAGGTCAGACTCTCTGTAGAAATTGTTATAAACCAAGACACAGAGGAGAGAACACAATTGCACAACACCAGATCAGTTGGTCCAAAAGACAAGGATTTATTGTAAAAAGGCAAGGTCAAAAATAAAGCAGGCAAAGGTAATACATGACTTTACTAAAACTATGCATAATGCTGGAACGTGACTATAGAGTGCAACGAACTGGTGATGAGAAAGTGAGATGCATGAGATTAAATACAAGAGGTAGTGAGGGTGATGGGGAACAGGTGGGGAAACACAATCAGGCAGCAGGTGTGACAAAACGAGGGCAGACCAGACAGGAACAAAGCTAGAAGACAGAAACAAGAGTTGGTGAACTACAAAATAAAACAGGAAATACATGACATGAAACAAAACATGAATGTGCAAAAATAAAGGAAACTTAACCAACATGACAAAAGTAAGAGTTTGAAACGTCTTATTTTTGACTTGATTTTTAAAGTATCTTGTTTTTCTATTTGACTTTCATGACAGTCGTGTTTTGGGGCATTTTTTCCTTTTGTAGATAGGAAAGCAGAAGAAAGACAGCAAATGAGGAGTGTAGAAAGTGAGAGAACATGTGCAGCAAAGGATCATGGGCGGGAGTTGAACCAGCAACCGCTCAACAGGGGACTCTAGTCCAGTTATGGGACCAGTAGACCATCAGCACCACTGGAGACACCCCACCCTGACTGGACTTTACACCCTGTCTTCCTGCTCCTCTATGTCTTCAGTCTGTGCTGCAGTGACCGCTGAGACTTTCTCATTCTCATGAGCAGAGTCCAGCTGAGGACAGATGAAGAGAGTTGATCATCTTTGAAAGTATTTTAGTCCCATTTTGAAACTTTGATCCTGACATCTTTGAACAGGTCTGTAAAGATATTTTGTCAGCAGTCGGTCTCACCTCTATCATCTCTGCAGGTTCACTTGGTTCAGTGTTGGAGTTCAGAGGTTTCTTCTTCCTGGATTATTACATTTGAGAACAGTCAGTTTTACAGTGATAGAGAGAAAAGAAATTAAACTATGAACCAAGTGAAGAAGCTCATAAAAGAAACGTGTTTGAATTGATGGAGTTTTATGGTTTTACCTTGTCAACAGACTCACGAGAGGTGGAGGAATCAACATCAAAAAGAACAGGGTCAACCTGATGCTAATTATGGTTGTTATTGTTGATTTCCCTTGAATGAAAGAAGAGAGATATGTGAGACACATTACTAACAGAATCAGACTGGTCTATATCTTTAGCTCTGTCTGAGACTCTGTTGAGCCAGAATCTGACATGGAGTTCCCTCCATGAATTATTCACTTTAGTCAGTTTTAAGATCTGATTCAGAGAAAACGTGTTTGTGAAGGAAAAAATTAATTAATCAAACATATCATGAGCTGCTTTGAGTATTCTGGGTAAGCTCTCTGTGTGCAGGTGTGTAAATATCTCACCTGCCGCAACGATCTGATGTGGGCTGGATTTCTGGCGTCCTATTTTGTTCCGGGCTTCACAGTAATAATTCCCACTGTGATTAGCTCTGAACTCAGTGATGGTGAAGGTCTGTCCTGAAGCGTTTGCTGAGTCTTCACTCTCTTTGTACCAGGTATAAGTAGCTGCAGGGTTAGCATCACTGCTGCAGGTCAGATTTACTGAACTACCCTCCACTATCTCAGCAGAGGGACTCACTGACACAGAGGGACGTTTTGGAGCATCTGGAGGAGATCGAAAGAGAACTTTACATGGAGACTTAAGCCATTAAGAAGAGTTTTGTACCAGGTGATCTAACTTTGTAATGTCTTCTACTCACACTGGATATCTAGTGAGAGAGGGGGAGATACATGTGATCCATATTGATTCTCAGATCTGCAGTTGTATCTCCCTCTGTCCAGATGGCTGATGTTGAAAAAAGTATAAATTCCTCCTGTTGACTGAAACGTGGTGTTGTTCTCCTTGTACCAGGTGGAACGTGGTGCTGGGTTGGCATAACTGATACAGGTCAGAGTCACTGAACTGCCCTCCACTATCTCAGAAGAGGGACTCACAGACACATAAGAGAACTTTGGAGCATCTGAAGACGGATAAAAACAGAAATGACAAAGAAACGAACACAGAATAAAAATCATTTCTGGGACATGGTTGTGTATGGTTTTCATCCTTCTGTTCCTCTTTAAATGTGACTTTTTACTCACATTTCACATAAACTAAGACGTCCCTAGAGGACCCGGTGATGCCCCTCACTTCACAATAATACTGTCCAGAGTCTGAGGACTGAATGGAGCTGAAGACAAGCTGATTTCCTTTTCTGAGACTCAGACTTAGACGTCCACTTCTTCTGTACCAGGTTTAAGTAGCATCTGGCTTAGCATCACTGCTGCAGGTCAGAGTCACATGATTACCCTCCACTATCTCAGCAGAGGGACTCACTGACACAGAGGGAAGCTCTGGATCATCTGGAAATGGATTTAATCAAAGTTGGTAAATTAAACTTGCAAATAAACATATAAAAGAAGAAATTTTGTCTTAGTGCTTTTTGTTCAAATACAGGATAAAACTGTTTTGAGGTATTGTTGTGTAGTTTATTGTCTTTCTAATGTGTTTGAACTGTGATGTTTCACACACATGTCAAACCAGCCAAGATGTTCCCCAATATCTGCGTCCCAAAGATGTTCCTCACTTCACAGTAATACTGTCCAAAGTCTGAGGACTTGATGGAGCTGAAGACAAGCTGAGGTCCTCTCCTGAGACGCAGAGGATATAGAGGTTCATTTCTTTGATACCAGGTATAACTGGATTCTACATTAGCACCACTGCTGCAGGTCAGAGTCACATTTTTTCCCTCCATTATCTCAGCAGAGGAACTTACTGACACAGAGGGAGGCTCGAAAGCATCTGAAGAAGAAACACATTTTACAGTTAACATTTCAGTCACTGATGTACTTGGTTTATGCTCTCTGTCCTTTAACAACTCTTTACTATTGAGTTTTTACTCTGAGCATCACAGATATGAGATGTTTTTTAAAGTGGAAATGTTAGCCACAGACCAGAGAGTCAGGGCGAGCACTACATTTTAAAACCTCCATCAGATAGTGTTGTGTTAGAGGAAAGGGAGGGGTAAACTCACACACTGAAGGAGAGGGGAAGTCCTCATATCCTTCTACAGCACAGGAAAATCTGTCTGTGTTCAGAATCTGGTCTGGTTGATGATATTTTGAATTTTGGTTCTTAATTTTTTCTCCATTCATGAACCAAATGTATCGAAAATCTTGACGACAACGGCTGAGACACTTCAACTGCAAATGCCCACCTGGTCTGCTCACCCTTATCTGGACATCTGATCAGATAAAACTGTCAGTACTTTCCACATAAACATACACATAATATAATCATTTACACGATTTTCAAAAAGGTAAAGGATGAGACATTTCACAGAAAACTACCTCTCACAGACAGGGTGACACCTGGGTAGCCAGAATATTTGTCCAGGCTTGTCTCCATCCTGAACTTGTACTGAGCTGAGTCACTCCCTGTCAGGTTTGTGATTGTTAGGGTGGATCTGGTCCCATCATGCGTGGTCTTCACACGACCTGAATACTCTGAGTCTGTTTCAATGTTTAGAAACTCATCACCACGTCTCCTGATAAACCAAAATGTTTTTAAGAGTTTGTTCTGCTTCCTCTCCATTGTTTTTGGGTACTTAAAGTTGCAGCTTATTTCCACAGTTGATCCTCTAGAGACACAGATCTGAGTTTTAGAGTAAGTCACCTCCCAGCCATTCTGAGGCTGAACCACTAAAACACAAAAATCAGAGAACACAGTCAATTTAACCAGACCAGGAAAAGTTTAAGACTGAACATGAAATAAATAAATCTGAACCAGATCATTGAGGTGCAGTCCGACATCATCTTGATATAACAATCACATGTAAGATATTTTTGTCAGGTTTAGCTTTTTTCTCTGTTTGTTATTAGATTTTAAACTACTTATCAAAATATCTGAGAGAAGATTTATCCATACTGAAAAATTACAGATGTTTATATTCATCAACACTTCTCTAACCCAACAGCATTATTAACAGTGTAAATTATTTGACAGATTGTGCTGTTCTGTGAAAGTTTTCTCTGTGCAAAGTTAGCTGCCCAGTCAAGTGTGTATCTAAAAATAAATGCAGAAGTCTAAGGGGTGAGAAACTGTACAGCAGCTAATACTCAATGATTAGATAAGTGCTGTCAATGCAGCATCAGCATGGAAATATAACACCTATGAAGAGGAACAGACAGGCTTGTTGCAGATGTGTTGTAATAAATGAGTCCCTGAGACACTAGCCTGACTGCAAAACTAGTATCCACTAAAAAACTCAAAAAGTGATTTCAATACAGCAAATTACAATCAGAATTTTGGAGAAAAAACTGCAGGTTCTGTAAGCAGAGTCTGTTTTTGATCAAATTAAAAAGAGGCTGCAGGTGTATCAGAGTGAAGAGGAAAAGCTTTAGATATGAAGTACCTGATACAGAGAGGAGAAGGATGAATCCACTCACTGCTGCAGTTAAACTCATCTCTGCTCCTCTCTCCTTTCTCTGGGACTTTAGGGATAATAACACAAGTCAAATATGTGACATGAAAAGCTAACAGGAGATGAAAAAGTATCAGACATTTCATTAAACTATTCTACTTACAAATATGAACAGCGTTGTGTCTTGAAGGGCGTCTTTTCTCTGCAGTCCGTGAGCAGAAGGCGGAAACTGAAGTGTGAAACAGACCAAAAAAGCCCTTCCTTTTTAAATGATAACATAAATGTTGATTCAAACACCAATAAGAGACCACACCTTAAAGAAGCTGTTTTTCATCAACTTAATCCTCTTGAAATGGTTAAGTTTGTCCTATCTTTTGATTTTATTTTAACATCAGTATCGACACGTTATCTCCATTAGTTGAGGAAGGATGTCAAAAAGTCTGGGGGTGAACAAAGTTGAATCAAAAACCTCAAAGTATGGGAGAAAAAAACTAATCTGTATGAGTGGATTACACTTGAACTTCAACGGAAGTGTTTTTTTTTTTTTTTTTTTTTGGGGGGGGTGTTGTAATCCTTTGAATCAGAGAGTAAATAGAGTGTCACACAAACAACAAATAGTAGAGTCAGGATGTTGCGTTCAACCTCCAGTCAAACTCTCATAGAGCTCGTTGTCACAAGAAAGGATTATCAAAAATGTAACATACATCGATCATCCCATAAATATTCTCAGTCACTACAAGATAAAGATGCAATCAATTAAAAAGATCACTTAGAGTTACTGCTTATGTGGCACTATGCGTTATTGAAGGCATGGAAATAGTCAAACCCCCATTTTATTTATATGAATAAAGTTCACGTGCAATACTAAAACTACTGTAGCGTCTATTTTCCTGTAAGATAGTGTAATATATGTTTCACCAGCAGGGGGCACTCGGTACCTCACCTAGCGGATAGCTGATGCAACAGCAGGAGAAGTCCAGTCAGTGTCTGAGGATGAAGCGTTCAGACCATAGACTGTATATACTTTGGACAACTTGGTTCCACCTTCTGCCAGTATACGGATTTGAAGCCAAAAAGCTCTCTGTGATTCTGCATTTTTTTCTCCACTTCCTGAAACCAACATTGCACATAGGCTGTATCAAGTGTCAATCATAGAAAACATGAACCACCTAATAACTTTTAAAAATGGAGCTGCACAGAAAAAAGAGGACTTGAGCACAAACCAGTCTTACAGTAGCTACATGTCAACATCACAGTTAGGGGGGAGAAGAATTTATATTTTGTGTAATAAATTTCTAAAGTTTGTCCACAGACCCCATAAGGATGGCTGGTGGGGGCAGGATTTATGACCTATACTGCAGCCTGTCACCAGAGGGCGCTGTTCTTGGGGTGGCTTCACCCAACGAGGAGGCAGATGGCGTCCATTTTATATACAGTCAATGGTACAGGCACAGCATAGAGTACACTCCTATTAATGACTGTTTTTATGTGTTTGCAGGTTAGCTGGTTCAGAAATACTACAAAAGTAATGGACAACAGTAATAATATATCTTAAGTGCCTTGGAGTGTAACAGACGTCGAGCTAAAGAGTGAATTCACAAGCTCATGGGTTTGTAAAGGCGACTCGCTGGATTGTGTATCTGTAATGGCGGACTCGTAGTCCATGGCAATCGTGGTCATGAACCAGAGGACTGAATTATGTCTCTTTTGAGTTTAAAGGATAGGCTAACTACTGAGAGATACACATTACAGCTGTAAAAATATAAGTTTATATCAAGAAACCGCATTAAGTGGATTAAGTTTTTTCTGTGGGGAGGTGCTTGTGTGGAGTTGAGCTGAGTGAGGGGCTGGGCTGGCAGGTGCGGCTGTGGTGCCATGCTATGGTCCAGTTAGTAGACCGTAATGAGAGTCTGTATTGTGCACGCTTGTATTTTAGGTTAAAGCCACACTGTGTGTTTTCATTGTGGGAAGAGGGAAAGTAAAACACTTTATGTTCAGTGTATTAAGGGACAGTGCAGTGTTAATACATTAAAAGACATTAGTTTGAAATAGATTTACTTAACTAAAGATCAGTTATACAGTTCATAAAGGAGATGTAATGGTTAAAATAGTATAAATATTGAGACAGTAATGTCATGGATTTTATTTCAACACCACTGTAGTATTGTGTTGCTTTAAGAGTTGTTTTACAGTGCAAGTGTAGAGTGTTTATCATAAAACAGAGAAGTCCAGTCAGTGTGTGAGGATGAAGCGTAAAGACACAGAACAGAGTGCGCTCCTATTGATGACTGTTTTTATGTTTTTGCAGTTCCTGTAAAAATAAATATGCTACACAGGAGATGAGATGGCCCATCATTTTGGACAGTGAAATATTAGAGTGGCTGGACCAACAGATCTGCCAAAGTCTTGTTGACAGGACTTTTTTTTAACTATGTGGAGGGTGAAACACACTGCATCTGCGTACAATCACAAAAAAATAAAGATTAAGACAGTGAGAATCTATCTGAAGTTGGTCTGTTATCTCGGTGGAGGAGGTCAAAATCTCTGTAGAAACTGTTATAAACCAAGACACAGAGGAGAGAACACATTTGCACAACACCAGATCAGTTGGTCCAAAAGACAAGGATTTATTGTAAAACGGCAAGGTAAGAAATAAAGCAGGCAAAGGTAACACATGACTTGACTAAAACTATGCATAATGCTGGAACGTGACTATATAGTGCAACGAACTGGTGATGAGAAAGTGAGATGCATGAGATTAAATACAAGAGGTAGTGAGGGTGATGGGGAACAGGTGGGGAAACACAATCAGGCAGCAGGTGTGACAAAACGAGGGCAGACCAGACAGGAACAAAGCTAGAAGACAGAAACAAGAGTTGGTGAACTACAAAATAAAACAGGAAATACATGACATGAAACAAAACATGAATGTGCAAAAATAAAAGAAACTTAACCAACATGACAAAAGTAAGAGTTTGAAACGTCTTATTTTTGACTTGATTTTTAAAGTATCTTGTTTTTCTATTTGACTTTCATGACAGTCGTGTTTTTGGGCATTTTTTCCTTTTGTAGATAGGAAAGCAGAAGAAAAACAGCAAATGAGGAGTGTAGAAAGTGAGAGAACATGTGCAGCAAAGGATCATGGGCGGGAGTTGAACCAGCAACCGCTCAACAGGGGACTCTAGTCCAGTTATGGGACCAGTAGACCATCAGCACCACTGGAGACACCCCACCCTGACTGGACTTTACACCCTGTCTTCCTGCTCCTCTATGTCTTCAGTCTGTGCTGCAGTGACCGCTGAGACTTTCTCATTCTCATGAGCAGAGTCCAGCTGAGGACAGATGAAGAGAGTTGATCATCTTTGAAAGTATTTTAGTCCCATTTTGAAACTTTGATCCTGACATCTTTGAACAGGTCTGTAAAGATGTTTTGTCAGCAATCGGTCTCACCTCTATCATCTCTGCAGGTTCACTTGGTTCAGTGTTGGAGTTCAGAGGTTTCTTCTTCCTGGATTATTACATTTGAGAAAAGTCAGTTTTACAATAATAGAGAGAAAAGAAATTAAACTATGAACCAAGTGAAGAGGATCATAAAAGAAACGTGTTTGAATTGATGGAGTTTTATGGTTTTACCTTGTCAACAGAATCACAAGAAGTGGTGGAATTAACATCAAAAAGAACAGGGTCAACCTGATGCTAATTATGGTTGTTATTGTTGATTTCCCTTGAATGAAAGAAGAGAGATATGTGAGACACATTACTAACAGAATCAGACTGGTCTATATCTTTAGCTCTGTCTGAGACTCTGTTGAGCCAGAATCTGACATGGAGTTCCCTCCATGAATTATTCACTTTAGTCAGTTTTAAGATCTGATGCAGAGAAAACGTGTTTGTGAAGGAAAAAATTAATTAATCAAATATATCATGAGCCACTTTGAGTATTCAGGGTGAGCTCTCTGTGTGCAGGTGTGTAAACATCTCACCTGCTGCAACGATCTGATGTGGGCTGGATTTCTGGCGTCCTATTTTGTTCCGGGCTTCACAGTAATAATTCCCACTGTGATTAGCTCTGAACTCAGTGATGGTGAGGGTCTGTCCTGAAGCTTTTGCTGAGTCTTCACTCTCTTTGTACCAGGTGTAAGTAGCTGCAGGGTTAGCATCACTGCTGCAGGTCAGATTTACTGAACTACCCTCCACTATCTCAGCAGAGGGACTCACTGACACAGAGGGACGTTTTGGAGCATCTGGAGGAGATCGAAAGAGAACTTTAGTCATTCAAGTTTCCTACATGGAGACTTTCAGCCGTTAAGAAGAGTTTTGTACCAGGTGATCTAACTTTGTAATGTCTTCTACTCACACTGGATATCTAGTGAGAGAGGGGGAGATACATGTGATCCATATTGATTCTCAGATCTGCAGTTGTATCTCCCTCTGTCCAGATGGCTGATGTTGAGAAAAGTATAAATTCCTCCTGTTGAATGAAACGTGGTGTTGTTCTCCTTGTACCAGGTGGAACGTGGTGCTGGGTTGGCGTAACTGATACAGGTCAGAGTCACTGAACTGCCCTCCACTATCTCAGAAGAGGGACTCACAGACACATAAGAGAACTTTGGAGCATCTGAAGACGGATAAAAACAGAAATGACAAAGAAACAAACACAGAATAAAAATCATTTCTGGGACATGGTTGTGTATGGTTTTCATCCTTCTGTTCCTCTTTAAATGTGACTTTTTACTCACATTTCACATAGACTAAGACATCCCTAGAGGACTCAGTGATGCCCCTCACTTCACAATAATACTGTCCAGAGTCTGACACCTGGATGGAGCTGAATACAAGCTGATTTCCTTTTCTGAGACTCTGAGGACTTAGATCACCATTTCTTCTGTACCAGGTATGGTTAGCATCTGGCTTAGCATCACTGCTGCAGGTCACAGTCACATGATTACCCTCCACTATCTCAGCAGAGGGACTCACTGACACAGAGGGACGTTTTGGATCATCTGGAAATGGATTTAATCAAAGTTAGTAAATTAAACTTGCAAATAAACATATAAAAGAAGAAATTTTGTCTTAGTGCTTTTTGTTCAAATACAGGATAAAACTGTTTTGAGGTGTTGTTGTGTAGTTTATTGTCTTTCTAATGTGTTTGAACTGTGATGTTTCACACACATGTATAACCAGCCAAGATGTTCCCCGATATCTGTGTCCCAAAGGTGTTCCTCACTTCACAGTAATACTGTCCAAAGTCTGAGGACTTAATGGCGCTGAAGACAAGCTGAGGTCCTCTCCTGAGACGCAGAGGATGTAGAAGTTCATTTCTTTGATACCAGGTATAACTGGATTCTACATTAGCGTCACTGCTGCAGGTCAGAGTCAGATTTTTTCCCTCCATTATCTCAGCAGAGGAACTTACTGACACAGAGGGAGGCTCGAAAGCATCTGAAGAAGAAACACATTTTACAGTTAACATTTCAGTCACTGATGTACTTGGTTTATGCTCTCTGTCCTTTAACAACTCTTTACTATTGAGTTTTTACTCTGAGCATCACAGATATGAGATGTTTTTTAAAGTGGAAATGTTAGCCACAGACCAGAGAGTCAGGGCACGCACTAAATTTTAAAACCTCTATAGATAGTGTTGTGTTAGAGGAAAGGGAGGGGTAAACTCACACACTGAAGGAGAGGGGAAGTCCTCATATCCTTCTACAGCACAGGAAAATCTGTCTGTGTTCAGAATCTGGTCTGGTTGATGATCTTTTGAATTTTGGTTCTTAATCTTCTCTCCATTCTTGAACCAAATGTATCGAAAATCTTGACGACAATGGCTGAGACACCTCAACTGCAAATGCCCACCTGGTCTGCTCACCATTATCTGGACATCTGATCAGATAAAACTGTCAGTACTTTCCACATAAACATACACATGATACAATAATTTACAGGATTTTAAAAAAGATAAAAGATGAAAAATTTCAGAGAAAACTTTACCTCTGACAGACAAGGTGACACCTGGGTAGCCAAAATATTTGTCCACGCTTGTCTCCATCCTGAACATGTATTCAGCTGAGTCACTCCCTGTCAGGTTTGTGATTGTCAAGGTGGATCTGGTCCCATCATACGTGGTCTTTACACGACCTGAATACTCTGAGTCTGTTTCAATGTTTAGAAACTCATCACCACGTTTCCTAATAAACCAAAATGTTTTTAAGAGTTTGTTCTGCTTCCTCTCCATTGTTTTTGGGTACTTAAAGTTGCAGCTTATTTCCACAGTTGATCCTCTGGAGACACAGATCTGAGTTTTAGAGTAAGTCACCTCCCAGCCGTTCTGAGCCTGAACCACTAAAACACAAAAATCAGAGAACACAGTCAATTTAACCAGACCAGGAAAAGTTTAAGACTGAACATGAAATAAATAAATCTGAACCAGATCATTGAGGTGCAGTCCGACATCATCTTGATATAACAATCACATGTAAGATATTTTTGTCAGGTTTAGCTTTTTTCTCTGTTTGATATTAGATTTTAAACTACTTATCAAAATATCTGAGAGAAGATTTATCCATACTGAAAAATTACAGATGTTTATATTCATGAACACTTCTCTAACCCAACAGCATTATTAACAGTGTAAATTATTTGACAGATTGTGCTGTTCTGTGAAAGTTTTCTCTGTGCAAAGTTAGCTGCCCAGTCAAGTGTGTATCTAAAAATAAATGCAGAAGTCTAAGGGGTGAGAAACTGTACAGCAGCTAATACTCAATGATTAGATAAGTGCTGTCAATGCAGCATCAGCATGGAAATATAACACCTATGAAGAGGAACAGACAGGGTTGTTGCAGATGTGTTGTAATAAATGAGTCCCTGAGACACTAGCCTGACTGCAAAACTAGTATCCACTAAAAAACTCAAAAAGTGATTTCAATACAGCAAATTACAATCAGAATTTTGGAGAAAAAACTGCAGGTTCTGTAAGCAGAGTCTGTTTTTGATCAAATTAAAAAGGAAAAGCTGTAGATATGAAGTACCTGATACAGAGAGGAGAAGGATGAATCCACTCACTGCTGCAGTTAAACTCATCTCTGCTCCTCTCTCCTTTCTCTGGGACTTTAGGGATGATAACACAAGTCAAAAATGTGACATGAAAAGCACACAGGAGATGAAAAAGTATCAGACATTTCATTAAACTATTCTACTTACAAATATGACCAGCGTTGTGTTTTGAAGGGCGTCTTTTCTCTGCAGTCCGTGAGCAGAAGGCGGAAACTGAAGTGTGAAACAGACCAAAAAAGCCCTTCCTTTTTAAATGATAACATAAATGTTGATTCAAACACCAATAAGAGACCACACCTTAAAGAAGCTGTTTTTCATCAACTTAATTCTCTTGAAATGGTTAAGTTTGTACTATCTTTTGATTTTATTTTAACATCAGTATCGACACGTTATCTCCATTAGTTGAGGAAGGATGTCAAAAAGTCTGTGGGTGAACAAAGTTGAATCAAAAACCTCAAAGTATGGGAGAAAAAAACTAATCTGTATGAGTGGATTACACTTGAACTTCAACGGAAGTGTTTTTTTTTTTTTTTTTTTTGGGGGGGGGGGGGGTGTTGTAATCCTTTGAATCAGAGAGTAAATAGAGTGTCACACAAACAACAAATAGTAGAGTCAGGATGTTGCGTTCAACCTCCAGTCAAACTCTCATAGAGCTCGTTGTCACAAGAAAGGATTATCAAAAATGTAACATACATCGATCATCCCATAAATATTCTCAGTCACTACAAGATAAAGATGCAATCAATTAAAAAGATCACTTAGAGTTACTGCTTATGTGGCACTATGCGTTATTGAAGGCATGGAAATAGTCAAACCCCCATTTTATTTATATGAATAAAGTTCACATGCAATACTAAAACTACTGTAGCGTCTATTTTCCTGTAAGATAGTGTAATATATGTTTCACCAGCAGGGGGCACTCGGTACCTCACCTAGCGGATAGCTGATGCAACAGCAGGAGAAGTCCAGTCAGTGTCTGAGGATGAAGCGTTCAGACCATAGACTGTATATACTTTGGACAACTTGGTTCCACCTTCTGCCAGTATACGGATTTGAAGCCAAAAAGCTCTCTGTGATTCTGCATATTTTTCTCCACTTCCTGAAACCAACATTGCACATAGGCTGTATCAAGTGTCAATCATAGAAAACATGAACCACCTAATAACTTTTAAAAATGGAGCTGCACAGAAAAAAGAGGACTTGAGCACAAACCAGTCTTACAGTAGCTACATGTCAACATCACAGTTAGGGGGAGAAGAATTTATATTTTGTGTAATAAATTTCTAAAGTTTGTCCACAGACCCCATAAGGATGGCTGGTGGGGGCAGGATTTATGACCTATACTGCAGCCTGTCACCAGAGGGCGCTGTTCTTGGGGTGGCTTCACCCAGCGAGGAGGCAGACGGCGTCCATTTTATATACAGTCAATGGTACAGGCACAGCATAGAGTACACTCCTATTAATGACTGTTTTTATGTGTTTGCAGGTTAGCTGGTTCAGAAATACTATAAAAGTAATGGACAACAGTAAATGATATATCTTAAGTGCCTTGGAGTGTAACAGACGTCGAGCTAAAGAGTGAATTCACAAGCTCAAGGGTTTGTAAAGGCGACTCGCTGGATTGTGTATCTGTAATGGTGGACTCGTAGTCCATGGCAATCGTGGTCATGAACCAGAGGACTGAATTATGTCTCTTTTGAGTTTAAAGGATAGGCTAACTACTGAGAGATACACATTACAGCTGTAAAAATATAAGTTTATATCAAGAAACCGCATTAAGTGGATTAAGTTTTTTCTGTGGGGAGGTGCTTGTGTGGAGTTGAGCTGAGTGAGGGGCTGGGCTGGGCTGGCAGGTGCGGCTGTGGTGCCATGCTATGGTCCAGTTAGTAGACCGTGATGAGAGTCTGTATTGTGCACGCTTGTATTTTAGGTTAAAGCCACACTGTGTGTTTTCATTGTGGGAAGAGGGAAAGTAAAACACTTTATGTTCAGTGTATTAAGGGACAGTGCAGTGTTAATACATTAAAAGACATTAGTTTGAAATAGATTTACTTAACTAAAGATCAGTTATACAGTTCATAAAGGAGATGTAATGGTTAAAATAGTATAAATATTGAGACAGTAATGTCATGGATTTTATTTCAACACCACTGTAGTATTGTGTTGCTTTAAGAGTTGTTTTACAGTGCAAGTGTAGAGTGTTTATCATAAAACAGAGAAGTCCAGTCAGTGTGTGAGGATGAAGCGTAAAGACACAGAACAGAGTGCGCTCCTATTAATGACTGTTTTTATGTTTTTGCAGTTCCTGTAAAAATAAATATGCTACACAGGAGATGAGTTGGCCCATCATTTTGGACAGTGAAATATTAGAGTGGCTGGACCAACAGATCTGCCAAAGTCTTGTTGACAGGACTTTTTTTTAACTAACTGGAGGGTGAAACACACTGCATCTGCGTACAATCACAAAAAAAAGATTAAGACAGTGAGAATGAATCTGAAGTTGGTCTGTTATCTCGGTGGAGGAGGTCAGACTCTCTGTTGAAACTGTTATAAACCAAGACACAGAGGAGAGAACACAATTGCACAACACCAGATCAGTTGGTCCAAAAGACAAGGAATTTATTGTAAAACAGCAAGGTCAGAAATAAAGCAGGCAAAGGTAATACATGACTTGACTAAAACTATGCATAATGCTGGAACGTGACTATAGAGTGCAACGAACTGGTGACGAGACAGTGAGATGCATGAGATTAAATACAAGAGGTAGTGAGGGTGATGGGGAACAGGTGGGGAAACACAATCAGGCAGCAGGTGTGACAAAACGAGGGCAGACCAGACAGGAACAAAGCTAGAAGACAGAAACAAGAGTTGGTGAACTACAAAATAAAACAGGAAATACATGACATGAAACAAAACATGAATGTGCAAAAATAAAGGAAACTTAACCAACATGACAAAAGTAAGAGTTTGAAACGTCTTATTTTTGACTTGATTTTTAAAGTATCTTGTTTTTCTATTTGACTTTCATGACAGTCGTGTTTTGGGGCATTTTTTCCTTTTGTAGATAGGAAAGCAGAAGAAAGACAGCAAATGAGGAGTGTAGAAAGTGAGAGAACATGTGCAGCAAAGGATCATGGGCGGGAGTTGAACCAGCAACCGCTCAACAGGGGACTCTAGTCCAGTTATGGGACCAGTAGACCATCAGCACCACTGGAGACACCCCACCCTGACTGGACTTTACACCCTGTCTTCCTGCTCCTCTATGTCTTCAGTCTGTGCTGCAGTGACCGCTGAGACTTTCTCATTCTCATGAGCAGAGTCCAGCTGAGGACAGATGAAGAGAGTTGATCATCTTTGAAAGTATTTTAGTCCCATTTTGAAACTTTGATCCTGACATCTTTGAACAGGTCTGTAAAGATGTTTTGTCAGCAGTCGGTCTCACCTCTATCATCTCTGCAGGTTCACTTGGTTCAGTGTTGGAGTTCAGAGGTTTCTTCTTCCTGGATTATTACATTTGAGAACAGTCAGTTTTACAGTGATAGAGAGAAAAGAAAATAAACTATGAACCAAGTGAAGAAGCTCATAAAAGAAACATGTTTGAATTGATGGAGTTTTATGGTTTTACCTTGTCAACAGACTCACGAGAGGTGGAGGAATCAACATCAAAAAGAACAGGGTAAACCTGATGCTAATTATGGTTGTTATTGTTGATTTCCCTTGAATGAAAGAAGAGAGATATGTGAGACACATTACTAACAGAATCAGACTGGTCTATATCTTTAGCTCTGTCTGAGACTCTGTTGAGCCAGAATCTGACATGGAGTTCCCTCCATGAATTATTCACTTTAGTCAGTTTTAAGATCTGATTCAGAGAAAACATGTTTGTGAAGGAAAAAATTAATTAATCAAATATATCATGAGCTGCTTTGAGTATTCTGGGTAAGCTCTCTGTGTGCAGGTGTGTAAATATCTCACCTGCTGCAACGATCTGATGTGGGCTGGATTTCTGGCGTCCTATTTTGTTCCGGGCTTCACAGTAATAATTCCCACTGTGATTAGCTCTGAACTCAGTGATGGTGAAGGTCTGTCCTGAAGCGTTTGCTGAGTCTTCACTCTCTTTGTACCAGGTATAAGTAGCTGCAGGGTTAGCATCACTGCTGCAGGTCAGAGTCACATGATTACCCTCCACTATCTCAGCAGAGGGACTCACTGACACAGAGGGACGTTTTGGAGCATCTGGAAGAGATCGAAAGAAAACTTTACATGGAGACTTAAGCCATTAAGAAGAGTTTTGTACCAGGTGATCTAACTTTGTAATGTCTTCTACTCACACTGGATATCTAGTGAGAGAGGGGGAGATACATGTGATCCATATTGATTCTCAGATCTGCAGTTGTATCTCCCTCTGTCCAGATGGCTGATGTTGAGAAAAGTATAAATTCCTCCTGTTGACTGAAACGTGGTGTTGTTCTCCTTGTACCAGGTGGAACGTGGTGCTGGGTTGGCATAACTGATACAGGTCAGAGTCACTGAACTGCCCTCCACTATCTCAGAAGAGGGACTCACAGACACATAAGAGAACTTTGGAGCATCTGAAGACGGATAAAAACAGAAATGACAAAGAAACGAACACAGAATAAAAATCATTTCTGGGATATGGTTGTGTATGGTTTTCATCCTTCTGTTCCTCTTTAAATGTGACTTTTTACTCACATTTCACATAGACTAAGACGTCCCTAGAGGACTCAGTGATGCCCCTCACTTCACAATAATACTGTCCAGAGTCTGAGGACTGAATGGAGCTGAAAACAAGCTGATTTCCTTTTCTGAGACTCAGACTTAGACGTCCACTTCTTCTGTACCAGGTATAAGTAGCATCTGGCTTAGCATCACTGCTGCAGGTCAGAGTCACATGATTACCCTCCACTATCTCAGCAGAGGGACTCACTGACACAGAGGGAAGCTCTGGATCATCTGGAAATGGATTTAATCAAAGTTAGTAAATTAAACATGCAAATAAACATATAAAAGAAGAAATTTTGTCTTAGTGCTTTTTGTTCAAATACAGGATAAAACTGTTTTGAGGTATTGTTGTGTAGTTTATTGTCTTTCTAATGTGTTTGAACTGTGATGTTTCACACACATGTCAAACCAGCCAAGATGTTCCCCGATATCTGTGTCCCAAAGGTGTTCCTCACTTCACAGTAATACTGTCCAAAGTCTGAGGACTTGATGGAGCTGAAGACAAGCTGAGGTCCTCTCCTGAGACGCAGAGGATATAGAGGTTCATTTCTTTGATACCAGGTATAACTGGATTCTACATTAGCACCACTGCTGCAGGTCAGAGTCACATTTTTTCCCTCCATTATCTCAGCAGAGGAACTCACTGACACAGAGGGAGGCTCGAAAGCATCTGAAGAAGAAACACATTTTACAGTTAACATTTCAGTCACTGATGTACTTGGTTTATGCTCTCTGTCCTTTAACAACTCTTTACTATTGAGTTTTTACTCTGAGCATCACAGATATGAGATGTTTTTTAAAGTGGAAATGTTAGCCACAGACCAGAGAGTCAGGGCACGCACCAAATTTTAAAACCTCCATCAGATAGTGTTGTGTTAGAGGAAAGGGAGGGGTAAACTCACACACTGAAGGAGAGGGGAAGTCCTCATATCCTTCTACAGCACAGGAAAATCTGTCTGTGTTCAGAGTCTGGTCTGGTTGATGATATTTTGAATTTTGGTTCTTAATTTTTTCTCCATTCATGAACCAAATGTATCGAAAATCTTGACGACAACGGCTGAGACACTTCAACTGCAAATGCCCACCTGGTCTGCTCACCATTATCTGGACATCTGATCAGATAAAACTGTCAGTACTTTCCACATAAACATACACATAATATAATCATTTACACGATTTTCAAAAAGGTAAAGGATGAAAAATTTCACAGAAAACTTTACCTCTGACAGACAAGGTGACACCTGGGTAGCCAGAATATTTGTCCAGGCTTGTCTCCATCCTGAACATGTATTCAGCTGAGTCACTCCCTGTCAGGTTTGTGATTGTTAGGGTGGATCTGGTCCCATCATACGTGGTCTTCACACGACCTGAATACTCTGAGTCTGTTTCAATGTTTAGAAACTCATCACCACGTCTCCTGATAAACCAAAATGTTTTTAAGAGTTTGTTCTGCTTCCTCTCCATTGTTTTTGGGTACTTAAAGTTGCAGCTTATTTCCACAGTTGATCCTCTGGAGACACAGATCTGAGTTTTAGAGTAAGTCACCTCCCAGTCGTTCTGAGGCTGAGCCACTAAAACACAAAAATCAGAGAACACAGTCAATTTAACCAGACCAGGAAAAGTTTAAGACTGAACATGAAATAAATAAATCTGAACCAGATCATTGAGGTGCAGTCCGACATCATCTTGATATAACAATCACATGTAAGATATTTTTGTCAGGTTTAGCTTTTTTCTCTGTTTGATATTAGATTTTAAACTACTTATCAAAATATCAGAGAGAAGATTTATCCATACTGAAAAATTACAGATGTTTATATTCATCAACACTTCTCTAACCCAACAGCATTATTAACAGTGTAAATTATTTGACAGATTGTGCTGTTCTGTGAAAGTTTTCTCTGTGCAAAGTTAGCTGCCCAGTCAAGTGTGTATCTAAAAATAAATGCAGAAGTCTAAGGGGTGAGAAACTGTACAGCAGCTAATACTCAATGATTAGATAAGTGCTGTCAATGCAGCATCAGCATGGAAATATAACACCTATGAAGAGGAACAGACAGGGTTGTTGCAGATGTGTTGTAATAAATGAGTCCCTGAGACACTAGCCTGACTGCAAAACTAGTATCCACTAAAAAACTCAAAAAGTGATTTCAATACAGCAAATTACAATCAGAATTTTGGAGAAAAAACTGCAGGTTCTGCAAACAGAGTCTGTTTTTGATCAAATTAAAAAGAGGCTGCAGGTTTCTCAGAGTGAAGAGGAAAAGCTTTAGATATGAAGTACCTGATACAGAGAGGAGAAGGATGAATCCACTCACTGCTGCAGTTAAACTCATCTCTGCTCCTCTCTCCTTTCTCTGGGACTTTAGGGATAATAACACAAGTCAAATATGTGACATGAAAAGCTAACAGGAGATGAAAAAGTATCAGACATTTCATTAAACTATTCTACTTACAAATATGACCAGCGTTGTGTTTTGAAGGGCGTCTTTTCTCTGCAGTCCGTGAGCAGAAGGCGGAAACTGAAGTGTGAAACAGACCAAAAAAGCCCTTCCTTTTTAAATGATAACATAAATGTTGATTCAAACACCAATAAGAGACCACACCTTAAAGAAGCTGTTTTTCATCAACTTAATCCTCTTGAAATGGTTAAGTTTGTCCTATCTTTTGATTTTATTTTAACATCAGTATCGACACGTTATCTCCATTAGTTGAGGAAGGATGTCAAAAAGTCTGTGGGTGAACAAAGTTGAATCAAAAACCTCAAAGTATGGGAGAAAAAAACTAATCTGTATGAGTGGATTACACTTGAACTTCAACGGAAGTGTTTTTTTTTTTTTTTTTTGGGGGGGGGGTGTTGTAATCCTTTGAATCAGAGAGTAAATAGAGTGTCACACAAACAACAAATAGTAGAGTCAGGATGTTGCGTTCAACCTCCAGTCAAACTCTCATAGAGCTCGTTGTCACAAGAAAGGATTATCAAAAATGTAACATACATCGATCATCCCATAAATATTCTCAGTCACTACAAGATAAAGATGCAATCAATTAAAAAGATCACTTAGAGTTACTGCTTATGTGGCACTATGCGTTATTGAAGGCATGGAAATAGTCAAACCCCCATTTTATTTATATGAATAAAGTTCACGTGCAATACTAAAACTACTGTAGCGTCTATTTTCCTGTAAGATAGTGTAATATATGTTTCACCAGCAGGGGGCACTCGGTACCTCACCTTGCGGATAGCTGATGCAACAGCAAGAGAAGTCCAGTCAGTGTCTGAGGATGAAGCGTTCAGACCATAGACTGTATATACTTTGGACAACTTGGTTCCACCTTCTGCCAGTATACGGATTTGAAGCCAAAAAGCTCTCTGTGATTCTGCATTTTTTTCTCCACTTCCTGAAACCAACATTGCACATAGGCTGTATCAAGTGTCAATCATAGAAAACATGAACCACCTAATAACTTTTAAAAATGGAGCTGCACAGAAAAAAGAGGACTTGAGCACAAACCAGTCTTACAGTAGCTACATGTCAACATCACAGTTAGGGGGGAGAAGAATTTATATTTTGTGTAATAAATTTCTAAAGTTTGTCCACAGACCCCATAAGGATGGCTGGTGGGGGCAGGATTTATGACCTATACTGCAGCCTGTCACCAGAGGGCGCTGTTCTTGGGGTGGCTTCACCCAGCGAGGAGGCAGATGGCGTCCATTTTATATACAGTCAATGGTACAGGCACAGCATAGAGTACACTCCTATTAATGACTGTTTTTATGTGTTTGCAGGTTAGCTGGTTCAGAAATACTATAAAAGTAATGGACAACAGTAATAATATATCTTAAGTGCCTTGGAGTGTAACAGACGTCGAGCTAAAGAGTGAATTCACAAGCTCATGGGTTTGTAAAGGCGACTCGCTGGATTGTGTATCTGTAATGGCGGACTCGTAGTCCATGGCAATCGTGGTCATGAACCAGAGGACTGAATTATGTCTCTTTTGAGTTTAAAGGATAGGCTAACTACTGAGAGATACACATTACAGCTGTAAAAATATAAGTTTATATCAAGAAACCGCATTAAGTGGATTAAGTTTTTTCTGTGGGGAGGTGCTTGTGTGGAGTTGAGCTGAGTGAGGGGCTGGGCTGGCAGGTGCGGCTGTGGTGCCATGCTATGGTCCAGTTAGTAGGCTGCAATGAGAGTCTGTATTGTGCACGCTTGTATTTTAGGTTAAAGCCACAACGTGTGTTTTCATTGTGGGAAGAGGGAAAGTAAAACACTTTATGTTCAGTGTATTAAGGGACAGTGCAATGTTAATACATTAAAAGACATTAGTTTGAAATAGATTTACTTAACTAAAGATCAGTTATACAGTTCATAAAGGAGATGTAATGGTTAAAATAGTATAAATATTGAGACAGTAATGTCATGGATTTTATTTCAACACCACTGTAGTATTGTGTTGCTTTAAGAGTTGTTTTACAGTGCAAGTGTAGAGTGTTTATCATAAAACAGAGAAGTCCAGTCAGTGTGTGAGGATGAAGCGTAAAGACACAGAACAGAGTGCGCTCCTATTAATGACTGTTTTTATGTTTTTGCAGTTCCTGTAAGAATAAATATGCCACACAGGAGATGAGTTGGCCCATCATTTTGGACAGTGAAATATTAGAGGGGCTGGACCAACAGATCTGCCAAAGTCTTGTTGACAGGACTTTTTTTTAACTATGTGGAGGGTGAAACACACTGCATCTGCGTACAATCACAAAAAAATAAAGATTAAGACAGTGAGAATCTATCTGAAGTTGGTCTGTTATCTCTGTGGAGGAGGTCAGACTCTCTGTAGAAACTGTTATAAACCAAGACACAGAGGAGAGAACACATTTGCACAACACCAGATCAGTTGGTCCAAAAGACAAGGATTTATTGTAAAACGGCAAGGTCAAAAATAAAGCAGGCAAAGGTAATACATGACTTGACTAAAACTATGCATAATGCTGGAACGTGACTATAGAGTGCAACGAACTGGTGATGAGAAAGTGAGATGCATGAGATTAAATACAAGAGGTAGTGAGGGTGATGGGGAACAGGTGGGGAAACACAATCAGGCAGCAGGTGTGACAAAACGAGGGCAGACCAGACAGGAACAAAGCTAGAAGACAGAAACAAGAGTTGGTGAACTACAAAATAAAACAGGAAATACATGACATGAAACAAAACATGAATGTGCAAAAATAAAGGAAACTTAACCAACATGACAAAAGTAAGAGTTTGAAACGTCTTATTTTTGACTGAGAGAACATGTGCAGCAAAGGATCATGGGCGGGAGTTGAACCAGCAACCGCTCAACAGGGGACTCTAGTCCAGTTATGGGACCAGTAGACCATCAGCACCACTGGAGACACCCCACCCTGACTGGACTTTACACCCTGTCTTCCTGCTCCTCTATGTCTTCAGTCTGTGCTGCAGTGACCGCTGAGACTTTCTCATTCTCATGAGCAGAGTCCAGCTGAGGACAGATGAAGAGAGTTGATCATCTTTGAAAGTATTTTAGTCCCATTTTGAAACTTTGATCCTGACATCTTTGAACAGGTCTGTAAAGATGTTTTGTCAGCAGTCGGTCTCACCTCTATCATCTCTGCAGGTTCACTTGGTTCAGTGTTGGAGCTCAGAGGTTTCTTCTTCCTGGATTATTACATTTGAGAAAAGTTAGTTTTACAATAATAGAGAGAAAAGAAATTAAACTATGAACCAAGTGAAGAGGATCATAAAAGAAACGTGTTTGAATTGATGGAGTTTTATGGTTTTACCTTGTCAACAGAATCACAAGAAGTGGTGGAATTAACATCAAAAAGAACAGGGTCAACCTGATGCTAATTATGGTTGTTATTGTTGATTTCCCTTGAATGAAAGAAGAGAGATATGTGAGACACATTACTAACAGAATCAGACTGGTCTATATCTTTAGCTCTGTCTGAGACTCTGTTGAGCCAGAATCTGACATGGAGGTCCCTCCATGAATTATTCACTTTAGTCAGTTTTAAGATCTGATTCAGAGAAAACATGTTTGTGAAGGAAAAAATTAATTAATTAAACATATCATGAGCTGCTTTGAGTATTCTGGGTAAGCTCTCTGTGTGCAGGTGTGTAAATATCTCACCTGCCGCAACGATCTGATGTGGGCTGGATTTCTGGCGTCCTATTTTGTTTCGGGCTTCACAGTAATAATTCCCACTGTGATGAGCTCTGAACTCAGTGATGGTGAGGGTCTGTCCTGAAGCGTTTGCTGAGTCTTCACTCTCTTTGTACCAGGTATAAGTAGCTGCAGGGTTAGCATCACTGCTGCAGGTCAGATTTACTGAACTACCCTCCACTATCTCAGCAGAGGGACTCACTGACACAGAGGGACGTTTTGGAGCATCTGGAGGAGATCGAAAGAGAACTTTACATGGAGACTTAAGCCATTAAGAAGAGTTTTGTACCAGGTGATCTAACTTTGTAATGTCTTCTACTCACACTGGATATCCAGTGAGAGAGGGGGAGATACATGTGATCCATATTGATTCTCAGATCTGCAGTTGTATCTCCCTCTGTCCAGATGGCTGATGTTGAGAAAAGTATAAATTCCTCCTGTTGAATGAAACGTGGTGTTGTTCTCCTTGTACCAGGTGGAACGTGGTGCTGGGTTGGCGTAACTGATACAGGTCAGAGTCACTGAACTGCCCTCCACTATCTCAGAAGAGGGACTCACAGACACATAAGAGAACTTTGGAGCATCTGAAGACGGATAAAAACAGAAATGACAAAGAAACAGAATAAAAAAATGTTCTGGGATATGGTTGTGTATGGTTTTCATCCTTATGTTGCCCTTTAAATGTGACTTTACTCACATTTCACATAGACTAAGACATCCCTAGAGGACTCAGTGATGCCCCTCACTTCACAATAATACTGTCCAGAGTCTGACACCTGGATGGAGCTGAAGACAAGCTGATTTCCTTTTCTGAGACTCTGAGGACTTAGATCACCATTTCTTCTGTACCAGGTATGGTTAGCATCTGGCTTAGCATCACTGCTGCAGGTCAGAGTCACATGATTACCCTCCACTATCTCAGCAGAGGGACTCACTGACACAGAGGGAAGCTCTGGATCATCTGGAAATGGATTTAATCAAAGTTAGTAAATTAAAACATGCAAATAAACATATAAAAGAAGAAATTTTGTCTTAGTGCTTTTTGTTCAAATACAGGATAAAACTGTTTTGAGGTATTGTTGTGTAGTTTATTGTCTTTCTAATGTGTTTGAACTGTGATGTTTCACACACATGTCAAACCAGCCAAGATGTTCCCCGATATCTGTGTCCCAAAGATGTTCCTCACTTCACAGTAATACTGTCCAAAGTCTGAGGACTTGATGGAGCTGAAGACAAGCTGAGGTCCTCTCCTGAGACGCAGAGGATATCGAGGTTCATTTCTTTGATACCAGGTATAACTGGATTCTACATTAGCATCACTGCTGCAGGTCAGAGTCACATTTTTTCCCTCCATTATCTCAGCAGAGGAACTCACTGACACAGAGGGAGGCTCGAAAGCATCTGAAGAAGAAACACATTTTACAGTTAACATTTCAGTCACTGATGTACTTGGTTTATGCTCTCTGTCCTTTAACAACTCTTTACTATTGAGTTTTTACTCTGAGCATCACAGATATGAGATGTTTTTTAAAGTGGAAATGTTAGCCACAGACCAGAGAGTCAGGGCACGCACCAAATTTTCAAACCTCCATCAGATAGTGTTGTGTTAGAGGAAAGGGAGGGGTAAACTCACACACTGAAGGAGAGGGGAAGTCCTCATATCCTTCTACAGCACAGGAAAATCTGTCTGTGTTCAGAATCTGGTCTGGTTGATGATCTTTTGAATTTTGGTTCTTAATCTTCTCTCCGTTCTTGAACCAAATGTATCGAAAATCTTGACGACAACGGCTGAGACACTTCAACTGCAAATGCCCACCTGGTCTGCTCACCATTATCTGGACATCTGATCAGATAAAACTGTCAGTACTTTCCACATAAACATACACATGATACAATCATTTACAGGATTTTAAAAAAGATAAAAGATGAAAAAATTTCAGAGAAAACTTTACCTCTGACAGACAAGGTCACACCTCCGCTGCCAAAATATTTGTCAAAGCTTGTCTCCATCCTGAACTTGTACTGAGCTGAGTCACTCCCTGTCAGGTTTGTGATTGTTAGGGTGGATCTGGTCCCATCATGCGTGGTCTTCACACGACCTGAATACTCTGAGTCTGTTTCAATGTTTAGAAACTCATCACCACGTTTCCTAATAAACCAAAATGTTTTTAAGAGTTTGTTCTGCTTCCTCTTCATTGTTTTTGGGTACTTAAAGTTGCAGCTTATTTCTACAGTTGATCCTCTAGAGACACAGATCTGAGCTGTAGAGTAAGTCACCTCCCAGCCGTTCTGAGGCTGAACCACTAAAACACAAAAATCAGAGAACACAGTCAATTTAACCAGACCAGGAAAAGTTTAAGACTGAACATGAAATAAATAAATCTGAACCAGATCATTGAGGTGCAGTCCGACATCATCTTGATATAACAATCACATGTAAGATATTTTTGTCAGGTTTAGCTTTTTTCTCTGTTTGATATTAGATTTTAAACTACTTATCAAAATATCTGAGAGAAGATTTATCCATACTGAAAAATTACAGATGTTTATATTCATGAACACTTCTCTAACCCAACAGCATTATTAACAGTGTAAATTATTTGACAGATTGTGCTGTTCTGTGAAAGTTTTCTCTGTGCAAAGTTAGCTGCCCAGTCAAGTGTGTATCTAAAAATAAATGCAGAAGTCTAAGGGGTGAGAAACTGTACAGCAGCTAATACTCAATGATTAGATAAGTGCTGTCAATGCAGCATCAGCATGGAAATATAACACCTATGAAGAGGAACAGACAGGGTTGTTGCAGATGTGTTGTAATAAATGAGTCCCTGAGACACTAGCCTGACTGCAAAACTAGTATCCACTAAAAAACTCAAAAACTGATTTCAATACAGCAAATTACAATCAGAATTTTGGAGAAAAAACTGCAGGTTCTGTAAGCAGAGTCTGTTTTTGATCAAATTAAAAAGAGGCTGCAGGTTTCTCAGAGTGAAGAGGAAAAGCTTTAGATATGAAGTACCTGATACAGAGAGGAGAAGGATGAATCCACTCACTGCTGCAGTTAAACTCATCTCTGCTCCTCTCTCCTTTCTCTGGGACTTTAGGGATAATAACACAAGTCAAATATGTGACATGAAAAGCTAACAGGAGATGAAAAAGTATCAGACATTTCATTAAACTATTCTACTTACAAATATGACCAGCGTTGTGTTTTGAAGGGCGTCTTTTCTCTGCAGTCCGTGAGCAGAAGGCGGAAACTGAAGTGTGAAACAGACCAAAAAAGCCCTTCCTTTTTAAATGATAACATAAATGTTGATTCAAACACCAATAAGAGACCACACCTTAAAGAAGCTGTTTTTCATCAACTTAATCCTCTTGAAATGGTGAAGTTTGTCCTATCTTTTGATTTTATTTCAACATCAGTATCGACACGTTATCTCCATTAGTTGAGGAAGGATGTCAAAAAGTCTGTGGGTGAACAAAGTTGAATCAAAAACCTCAAAGTATGGGAGAAAAAAACTAATCTGTATGAGTGGATTACACTTGAACTTCAACGGAAGTGTTTTTTTTTTTTTTTTGGGGGGGGGTGTTGTAATCCTTTGAATCAGAGAGTAAATAGAGTGTCACACAAACAACAAATAGTAGAGTCAGGATGTTGCGTTCAACCTCCAGTCAAACTCTCATAGAGCTCGTTGTCACAAGAAAGGATTATCAAAAATGTAACATACATCGATCATCCCATAAATATTCTCAGTCACTACAAGATAAAGATGCAATCAATTAAAAAGATCACTTAGAGATACTGCTTATGTGGCACTATGAGTTATTGAAGGCATGGAAATAGTCAACCCCCCATTTTATTTATATGAATAAAGTTCACGTGCAATACTAAAACTACTGTAGCGTCTATTTTCCTGTAAGATAGTGTAATATATGTTTCACCAGCAGGGGGCACTCGGTACCTCACCTAGCGGATAGCTGATGCAACAGCAGGAGAAGTCCAGTCAGTGTCTGAGGATGAAGCGTTCAGACCATAGACTGTATATACTTTGGACAACTTGGTTCCACCTTCTGCCAGTATACGGATTTGAAGCCAAAAAGCTCTCTGTGATTCTGCATTTTTTTCTCCACTTCCTGAAACCAACATTGCACATAGGCTGTATCAAGTGTCAATCATAGAAAACATGAACCACCTAATAACTTTTAAAAATGGAGCTGCACAGAAAAAAGAGGACTTGAGCACAAACCAGTCTTACAGTAGCTACATGTCAACATCACAGTTAGGGGGAGAAGAATTTATATTTTGTGTAATAAATTTCTAAAGTTTGTCCACAGACCCCATAAGGATGGCTGGTGGGGGCAGGATTTATGACCTATACTGCAGCCTGTCACCAGAGGGCGCTGTTCTTGGGGTGGCTTCACCCAGCGAGGAGGCAGATGGCGTCCATTTTATATACAGTCAATGGTACAGGCACAGCATAGAGTACACTCCTATTAATGACTGTTTTTATGTGTTTGCAGGTTAGCTGGTTCAGAAATACTATAAAAGTAATGGACAACAGTAATGATATATCTTAAGTGCCTTGGAGTGTAACAGACGTCGAGCTAAAGAGTGAATTCACAAGCTCATGGGTTTGTAAAGGCGACTCGCTGGATTGTGTATCTGTAATGGCGGACTCGTAGTCCATGGCAATCGTGGTCATGAACCAGAGGACTGAATTATGTCTCTTTTGAGTTTAAAGGATAGGCTAACTACTGAGAGATACACATTACAGCTGTAAAAATATAAGTTTATATCAAGAAACCGCATTAAGTGGATTAAGTTTTTTCTGTGGGGAGGTGCTTGTGTGGAGTTGAGCTGAGTGAGGGGCTGGGCTGGCAGGTGCGGCTGTGGTGCCATGCTATGGTCCAGTTAGTAGACCGTGATGAGAGTCTGTATTGTGCACGCTTGTATTTTAGGTTAAAGCCACACTGTGTGTTTTCATTGTGGGAAGAGGGAAAGTAAAACACTTTATGTTCAGTGTATTAAGGGACAGTGCAGTGTTAATACATTAAAAGACATTAGTTTGAAATAGATTTACTTAACTAAAGATCAGTTATACAGTTCATAAAGGAGATGTAATGGTTAAAATAGTGTAAATATTGAGACAGTAATGTCATGGATTTTATTTCAACACCACTGTAGTATTGTGTTGCTTTAAGAGTTGTTTTACAGTGCAAGTGTAGAGTGTTTATCATAAAACAGAGAAGTCCAGTCAGTGTGTGAGGATGAAGCGTAAAGACACAGAACAGAGTGCGCTCCTATTAATGACTGTTTTTATGTTTTTGCAGTTCCTGTAAGAATAAATATGCCACACAGGAGATGAGTTGGCCCATCATTTTGGACAGTGAAATATTAGAGGGGCTGGACCAACAGATCTGCCAAAGTCTTGTTGACAGGACTTTTTTTTAGCTACCTGGAAGGTGAAACACACTGCATCTGCGTACAATCAAAAAAAAAAGATTAAGACAGTGAGAATGAATCTGAAGTTGGTCTGTTATCTCTGTGGAGGAGGTCAGACTCTCTGTAGAAACTGTTATAAACCAAGACACAGAGGAGAGAACACAATTGCACAACACCAGATCAGTTGGTCCAAAAGACAAGGATTTATTGTAAAAAGGCAAGGTCAGAAATAAAGCAGGCAAAGGTAATACATGACTTGACTAAAACTATGCATAATGCTGGAACGTGACTATAAAGTGCAACGAACTGGTGACGAGACAGTGAGATGCATGAGATTAAATACAAGAGGTAGTGAGGGTGATGGGGAACAGGTGGGGAAACACAATCAGGCAGCAGGTGTGACAAAACGAGGGCAGACCAGACAGGAACAAAGCTAGAAGACAGAAACAAGAGTTGGTGAACTACAAAATAAAACAGGAAATACATGACATGAAACAAAACATGAATGTGCAAAAATAAAGGAAACTTAACCAACATGACAAAAGTAAGAGTTTGAAACGTCTTATTTTTGACTGAGAGAACATGTGCAGCAAAGGATCATGGGCGGGAGTTGAACCAGCAACCGCTCAACAGGAGACTCCAGTCTAGTTATGGGACCAGTACACCATCAGCACCACTGGAGACACCCCACCCTGACTGGATTTCACACCCTGTCTTCCTGCTCCTCTATGTCTTCAGTCTGTGCTGCAGTGACCGCTGAGACTTTCTCATTCTCATGAGCAGAGTCCAGCTGAGGACAGATGAAGAGAGTTGATCATCTTTGAAAGTATTTTAGTCCCATTTTGAAACTTTGATCCTGACATCTTTGAACAGGTCTGTAAAGATGTTTTGTCAGCAGTCGGTCTCACCTCTATCATCTCTGCAGGTTCACTTGGTTCAGTGTTGGAGTTCAGAGGTTTCTTCTTCCTGGATTATTACATTTGAGAAAAGTTAGTTTTACAATAATAGAGAGAAAAGAAATTAAACTATGAACCAAGTGAAGAAGCTCATAAAAGAAATGTGTTTGAATTGATGGAGTTTTATGGTTTTACCTTGTCAACAGACTCACAAGAGGTGGAGGAATCAACATCAAAAAGAACAGGGTCAACCTGATGCTAATTATGGTTGTTATTGTTGATTTCCCTTGAATGAAAGAAGAGAGATATGTGAGACACATTACTAACAGAATCAGACTGGTCTATATCTTTAGCTCTGTCTGAGACTCTGTTGAGCCAGAATCTGACATGGAGGTCCCTCCATGAATTATTCACTTTAGTCAGTTTTAAGATCTGATTCAGAGAAAACATGTTTGTGAAGGAAAAAATTAATTAATTAATCAAACATATCATGAGCTGCTTTGAGTATTCTGGGTAAGCTCTCTGTGTGCAGGTGTGTAAACATCTCACCTGCTGCAACAATCTGATGTGGGCTGGATTTCTGGTGTCCTATTTTGTTCCGGGCTTCACAGTAATAATTCCCACTGTGATTAGCTCTGAACTCAGTGATGGTGAAGGTCTGTCCTGAAGCGTTTGCTGAGTCTTCATTCTCTTTGTACCAGGTATAAGTAGCTGCAGGGTTAGCATCACTGCTGCAGATCAGATTTACTGAACTACCCTCCACTATCTCAGCAGAGGGACTCACTGACACAGAGGGACGTTTTGGAGCATCTGGAGGAGATCGAAAGAAAACTTTACATGGAGACTTAAGCCATTAAGAAGAGTTTTGTACCAGGTGATCTAACTTTGTAATGTCTTCTACTCACACTGGATATCTAGTGAGAGAGGGGGAGATACATGTGATCCATATTGATTCTCAGATCTGCAGTTGTATCTCCCTCTGTCCAGATGGCTGATGTTGAGAAAAGTATAAATTCCTCCTGTTGACTGAAACGTGGTGTTGTTCTCCTTGTACCAGGTGGAACGTGGTGCTGGGTTGGCATAACTGATACAGGTCAGAGTCACTGAACTGCCCTCCACTATCTCAGAAGAGGGACTCACAGACACGTAAGAGAACTTTGGAGCATCTGAAGACGGATAAAAACAGAAATGACAAAGAAACAGAATAAAAAAATGTTCTGGGATATGGTTGTGTATGGTTTTCATCCTTATGTTGATCCTTAAATGTGACTTTTTACTCACATTTCACATAAACTAAGACGTCCCTAGAGGACCTGGTGATGCCCCTCACTTTACAGTAATACTGTCCAGAGTCTGAGGACTGGATGGAGCTGAAGACAAGCTGATTTCCTTTTCTGAGACTCAGACTTAGACGTCCACTTCTTCTGTACCAGGTATAAGTAGCATCTGGCTTAACATCACTGCTGCAGGTCAGAGTCACATGTTTACCCTCCACTATCTCAGCAGAGGGACTCACTGACACAGAGGGACGTTTTGGATCATCTGGAAATGGATTTAATCAAAGTTGGTAAATTAAACTTGCAAATAAACATATAAAAGAAGAAATTTTGTCTTAGTGCTTTTTGTTCAAATACAGGATAAAACTGTTTTGAGGTATTGTTGTGTAGTTTATTGTCTTTCTAATGTGTTTGAACTGTGATGTTTCACACACATGTCAAACCAGCCAAGATGTTCCCCGATATCTGTGTCCCAAAGGTGTTCCTCACTTCACAGTAATACTGTCCAAAGTCTGAGGACTTGATGGAGCTGAAGACAAGCTGAGGTCCTCTCCTGAGACGCAGAGGATATAGAGGTTCATTTCTTTGATACCAGGTATAACTGGATTCTACATTAGCATCACTGCTGCAGGTCAGAGTCACATTTTTTCCCTCCATTATCTCAGCAGAGGAACTCACTGACACAGAGGGAGGCTCGAAAGCATCTGAAGAAGAAACACATTTTACAGTTAACATTTCAGTCACTGATGTACTTGGTTTATGCTCTCTGTCCTTTAACAACTCTTTACTATTGAGTTTTTACTCTGAGCATCACAGATATGAGATGTTTTTTAAAGTGGAAATGTTAGCCACAGACCAGAGAGTCAGGGCACGCACCAAATTTTAAAACCTCCATCAGATAGTGTTGTGTTAGAGGAAAGGGAGGGGTAAACTCACACACTGAAGGAGAGGGGAAGTCCTCATATCCTTCTACAGCACAGGAAAATCTGTCTGTGTTCAGAGTCTGGTCTGGTTGATGATATTTTGAATTTTGGTTCTTAATTTTTTCTCCATTCATGAACCAAATGTATCGAAAATCTTGACGACAACGGCTGAGACACTTCAACTGCAAATGCCCACGTGATCTGTTCACCCTTATCTGGACATCTGATCAGATAAAACTGTCAGTACTTTCCACATAAACATACACATAATATAATCATTTACACGATTTTCAAAAAGGTAAAGGATGAGACATTTCACAGAAAACTACCTCTCACAGACAGGGTGACACCTGGGTAGCCAGAATATTTGTCCAGGCTTGTCTCCATCCTGAACATGTATTCAGCTGAGTCACTCCCTGTCAGGTTTGTGATTGTTAGGGTGGATCTGGTCCCATCATGCGTGGTCTTCACACGACCTGAATACTCTGAGTCTGTTTCAATGTTTAGAAGCTCATCACCACGTCTCCTGATAAACCAAAATGTTTTTAAGAGTTTGTTCTGCTTCCTCTCCATTGTTTTTGGGTACTTAAAGTTGCAGCTTATTTCCACAGTTGATCCTCTGGAGACACAGATCTGAGTTTTAGAGTATGTCACCTCCCAGCCGTTCTGAGGCTGAGCCACTAAAACACAAAAATCAGAGAACACAGTCAATTTAACCAGACCAGGAAAAGTTTAAGACTGAACATGAAATAAATAAATCTGAACCAGATCATTGAGGTGCAGTCCGACATCATCTTGATATAACAATCACATGTAAGATATTTTTGTCAGGTTTAGCTTTTTTCTCTGTTTGATATTAGATTTTAAACTACTTATCAAAATATCTGAGAGAAGATTTATCCATACTGAAAAATTACAGATGTTTATATTCATGAACACTTCTCTAACCCAACAGCATTATTAACAGTGTAAATTATTTGACAGATTGTGCTGTTCTGTGAAAGTTTTCTCTGTGCAAAGTTAGCTGCCCAGTCAAGTGTGTATCTAAAAATAAATGCAGAAGTCTAAGGGGTGAGAAACTGTACAGCAGCTAATACTCAATGATTAGATAAGTGCTGTCAATGCAGCATCAGCATGGAAATATAACACCTATGAAGAGGAACACACAGGCTTGTTGCAGATGTGTTGTGATAAATGAGTCCCTGAGACACTAGCCTGACTGCAAAACTAGTATCCACAAAAATTCAAAAACTGATTTCAATACAGCAAATTACAATCTGAATTTTGGAGAAAAAACTGCAGGTTCTGCAAACAGAGTCTGTTTTTGATCAAATTAAAAAGAGGCTGCAGGTTTCTCAGAGTGAAGAGGAAAAGCTGTAGAAATGAAGTACCTGATACAGAGAGGAGAAGGATGAATCCACTCACTGCTGCAGTTAAACTCATCTCTGCTCCTCTCTCCTTTCTCTGGGACTTATAAGGGAATATAACACAAGTCAAAAATGCAAAATGAAAAGCACACAAGAGCTGACATTTCATTAAACTATTCTACTTACAAAGATGAACAGCATTGTCTTGAAGAACGTCTTGTCTCTGCAGTCCGTGAGCAGAAGGCGGAAACTGAAGTGTGAAACAGACCAAAAAAGCCCTTCCTTTTTAAATGATAACATAAATGTTGACACAAACACCAATAAGAGACCACACCTTAAAGAAGCTGTTTTTCATCAACTTAATCCTCTTAAAATGGTTAAGTTTTTACTATCTTTTGATTTTATTTCAACATCAGTATCGACACGTTATCTTCATTAGTTGAGGAAGGATGTCAAAAAGTCTGTGGGTGAACAAAGTTGAATCAAAAACCTCAAAGTATGTGAGGAAAAAACTAATCTGTGTGAGCGGATTACACTTGAACTTCAACAGGAATGGTTTTTTGGAGGTGTTTTAATCCTTTTAATCAGAGAGTAAATTGAGTAAAGTTATAAGACAGGATTATCAAAAATGTAACATACATCGATCGTCTCATAAGTATTCTCAGACACTACAAGATAAAGATGCAATCAATTATGTGGCACTACGAGTCAGTGAAGGCATGGAAATAGTCGACCCCCCATTCGACCCCCCCATTTTATTTTTATGACTAAAGGTCCTTTCACATCGGGACTGTGTTTATTGTGCAATTATTTCGGACGATTTTTTTTCGAAACCGTATCGTGTCAATACAAGCGTTCACATCAGCGAAATTTTCCCATTCTGCGATATTGTGGCATTCATTTTTTCGGATCATAGTCAATTTTTCTAAAGTTTCGCATACTGTGTGTCCACTTCTGACCAATCAGATTGCGTGTTGTTGCGACGTCTGATTCACCTGTATATCCAACATGGCCGACCAGCTGAACGTTAACGTATCAGAGAACAGAGTGCTTTTTGATTAAAAACACAAACATTACAAAGATAACGACCTGAAGGGAAGTTTGTCTGCTTTAACAGTTTGCTAAACGTCTTTGTTTTAACTTTTATCTGTGCTAAGTAACTTTAGCTCGTAAGCTAACCTGTTCAGATACAACATACCATATGTATTTTCACTGTCTCAAACTCAATCGTGTTGCTGTCACAGCACCATTAGGTCTCGGTTGTTACCTTACGTTCATGGATTACAGTCTCATGTGCTTATCTGGTACTGGCCCCGACTCAGTACATGCTATCATGACAGACAACCATCTCAACACTAGTGTCTAATCAGAACTGAAAAACAGTCAGTCTGCTGTTGTGTCAGTCTTCTCGCTTCCACCTGGGACCTATACTGCAGCCTGTCACCAGAGGGCGCTGTTCTTGGGGTGGCTTCACCCAGCGAGGAGGCAGATGGCGTCCATTTTATATACAGTCTATGGTACAGGCACAGCATAGAGTACGCTCCTATTAATGACTGTTTTTATGTGTTTGCAGGTTAGCTGGTTCAGAAATACTATAAACGTAATGGACAACAGTAATAATATATCTGAAGTGCCTTGGACTGTAACAGACGTCGAGCTAAAGAGTGAATTCACAAGCTCATGGGTTTGTAAAGGCGACTCGCTGGATTGTGTATCTGTAATGGCAGACTCGTAGTCCATGGCAATCGTGGTAATGAAGCAGAGGACTGAATTATGTCTCTTTTGAGTTTAAAGGATAGGCTAACTACTGAGAGATACACATTACAGCTGTAAAAATATAAGTTTATATCAAGAAACCGCATTAAGTGGATTAAGTTTTTTCTGTGGGGAGGTGCTTGTGTGGAGTTGAGCTGAGTGAGGGGCTGGGCTGGCAGGTGCGGCTGTGGTGCCATGCTATGGTCCAGTTAGTAGACCGTGATGAGAGTCTGTATTGTGCACGCTTGTATTTTAGGTTAAAGCCACACTGTGTGTTTTCATTGTGGGAAGAGGGAAAGTAAAACACTTTATGTTCAGTGTATTAAGGGACAGTGCAGTGTTAATACATTAAAAGACATTGATTTGAAATAGATTTACTTAACTAAAGATCAGTTATACAGTTCATAAAGGAGATGTAATGGTTAAAATAGTATAAATATTGAGACAGTAATGTCATGGATTTTATTTCAACACCACTGTAGTATTGTGTTGCTTTAAGAGTTGTTTTACAGTGCAAGTGTAGAGTGTTTATCATAAAACAGAGAAGTCCAGTCAGTGTGTGAGGATGAAGCGTAAAGACACAGAACAGAGTGCGCTCCTATTAATGACTGTTTTTATGTTTTTGCAGTTCCTGTAAGAATAAATATGCTACACAGGAGATGAGTTGGCCCATCATTTTGGACAGTGAAATATTAGAGGGGCTGGACCAACAGATCTGCCAAAGTCTTGTTGACAGGACTTTTTTTTAACTACCTGGAAGGTGAAACACACTGCATCTGCGTACAATCACAAAAAAAAGATTAAGACAGTGAGAATGAATCTGAAGTTGGTCTGTTATCTCTGTGGAGGAGGTCAGACTCTCTGTAGAAACTGTTATAAACCAAGACACAGAGGAGAGAACACAACTGCACAACACCAGATCAGTTGGTCCAAAAGACAAGGATTTATTGTAAAAAGGCAAGGTCAGAAATAAAGCAGACAAAGGTAACACATGACTTGACTAAAACTATGCATAATGCTGGAACGTGACTATAGAGTGCAACGAACTGGTGACGAGACAGTGAGATGCATGAGATTAAATACAAGAGGTAGTGAGGGTGATGGGGAACAGGTGGGGAAACACAATCAGGCAGCAGGTGTGACAAAACGAGGGCAGACCAGACAGGAACAAAGCTAGAAGACAGAAACAAGAGTTGGTGAACTACAAAATAAAACAGGAAATACATGACATGAAACAAAACATGAATGTGCAAAAATAAAGGAAACTTAACCAACATGACAAAAGTAAGAGTTTGAAACGTCTTATTTTTGACTTGATTTTTAAAGTATCTTGTTTTTCTATTTGACTTTCATGACAGTCGTGTTTTGGGGCATTTTTTCCTTTTGTAGATAGGAAAGCAGAAGAAAGACAGCAAATGAGGAGTGTAGAAAGTGAGAGAACATGTGCAGCAAAGGATCATGGGCGGGAGTTGAACCAGCAACCGCTCAACAGGGGACTCTAGTCCAGTTATGGGACCAGTAGACCATCAGCACCACTGGAGACACCCCACCCTGACTGGACTTCACACCCTGTCTTCCTGCTCCTCTATGTCTTCAGTCTGTGCTGCAGTGACCGCTGAGACTTTCTCATTCTCATGAGCAGAGTCCAGCTGAGGACAGATGAAGAGAGTTGATCATCTTTGAAAGTATTTTAGTCCCATTTTGAAACTTTGATCCTGACATCTTTGAACAGGTCTGTAAAGATATTTTGTCAGCAGTCGGTCTCACCTCTATCATCTCTGCAGGTTCACTTGGTTCAGTGTTGGAGCTCAGAGGTTTCTTCTTCCTGGATTATTACATTTGAGAAAAGTCAGTTTTACAATGATAGAGAGAAAAGAAATTAAACTATGAACCAAGTGAAGAAGCTCATAAAAGAAACGTGTTTGAATTGATGGAGTTTTATGGTTTTACCTTGTCAACAGACTCACGAGAGGTGGAGGAATCAACATCAAAAAGAACAGGGTCAACCTGATGCTAATTATGGTTGTTATTGTTGATTTCCCTTGAATGAAAGAAGAGAGATATGTGAGACACATTACTAACAGAATCAGACTGGTCTATATCTTTAGCTCTGTCTGAGACTCTGTTGAGCCAGAATCTGACATGGAGGTCCCTCCATGAATTATTCACTTTAGTCAGTTTTAAGATCTGATTCAGAGAAAACATGTTTGTGAAGGAAAAAATTAATTAATCAAACATATCATGAGCTGCTTTGAGTATTCTGGGTAAGCTCTCTGTGTGCAGGTGTGTAAATATCTCACCTGCCGCAACGATCTGATGTGGGCTGGATTTCTGGCGTCCTATTTTGTTTCGGGCTTCACAGTAATAATTCCCACTGTGATTAGCTCTGAACTCAGTGATGGTGAAGGTCTGTCCTGAAGCGTTTGCTGAGTCTTCACTCTCTTTGTACCAGGTGTAAGTAGCTGCAGGGTTAGCATCACTGCTGCAGGTCAGAGTCACATGATTACCCTCCACTATCTCAGCAGAGGGACTCACTGACACAGAGGGACGTTTTGGAGCATCTGGAAGAGATCGAAAGAAAACTTTACATGGAGACTTAAGCCATTAAGAAGAGTTTTGTACCAGGTGATCTAACTTTGTAATGTCTTCTACTCACACTGGATATCTAGTGAGAGAGGGGGAGATACATGTGATCCATATTGATTCTCAGATCTGCAGTTGTATCTCCCTCTGTCCAGATGGCTGATGTTGAGAAAAGTATAAATTCCTCCTGTTGACTGAAACGTGGTGTTGTTCTCCTTGTACCAGGTGGAACGTGGTGCTGGGTTGGCGTAACTGATACAGGTCAGAGTCACTGAACTGCCCTCCACTATCTCAGAAGAGGGACTCACAGACACATAAGAGAACTTTGGAGCATCTGAAGACGGATAAAAACAGAAATGACAAAGAAACAAACACAGAATAAAAATCATTTCTGGGATATGGTTGTGTATGGTTTTCATCCTTCTGTTCCTCTTTAAATGTGACTTTTTACTCACATTTCACATAGACTAAGACGTCCCTAGAGGACCCGGTGATGCCCCTCACTTCACAATAATACTGTCCAGAGTCTGAGGACTGAATGGAGCTGAATACAAGCTGATTTCCTTTTCTGAGACTCAGACTTAGACGTCCACTTCTTCTGTACCAGGTATAAGTAGCATCTGGCTTAGCATCACTGCTGCAGGTCAGAGTCACATGATTACCCTCCACTATCTCAGCAGAGGGACTCACTGACACAGAGGGACGTTTTGGATCATCTGGAAATGGATTTAATCAAAGTTGGTAAATTAAACTTGCAAATAAACATATAAAAGAAGAAATTTTGTCTCAGTGCTTTTTGTTCAAATACAGGATAAAACTGTTTTGAGGTATTGTTGTGTAGTTTATTGTCTTTCTAATGTGTTTGAACTGTGATGTTTCACACACATGTCAAACCAGCCAAGATGTTCCCCAATATCTGCGTCCCAAAGATGTTCCTCACTTCACAGTAATACTGTCCAAAGTCTGAGGACTTGATGGAGCTGAAGACAAGCTGAGGTCCTCTCCTGAGACGCAGAGGATGTAGAAGTTCATTTCTTTGATACCAGGTATAACTGGATTCTACATTAGCACCACTGCTGCAGGTCAGAGTCACATTTTTTCCCTCCATTATCTCAGCAGAGGAACTCACTGACACAGAGGGAGGCTCGAAAGCATCTGAAGAAGAAACACATTTTACAGTTAACATTTCAGTCACTGATGTACTTGGTTTATGCTCTCTGTCCTTTAACAACTCTTTACTATTGAGTTTTTACTCTGAGCATCACAGATATGAGATGTTTTTTAAAGTGGAAATGTTAGCCACAGACCAGAGAGTCAGGGCACGCACTAAATTTTAAAACCTCCATCAGATAGTGTTGTGTTAGAGGAAAGGGAGGGGTAAACTCACACACTGAAGGAGAGGGGAAGTCCTCATATCCTTCTACAGCACAGGAAAATCTGTCTGTGTTCAGAGTCTGGTCTGGTTGATGATATTTTGAATTTTGGTTCTTAATTTTTTCTCCATTCTTGAACCAAATGTATCGAAAATCTTGACGACAACGGCTGAGACACCTCAACTGCAAATGCCCACCTGGTCTGTTCACCCTTATCTGGACATCTGATCAGATAAAACTGTCAGTACTTTCCACATAAACATACACATAATATAATCATTTACACGATTTTCAAAAAGATAAAAGATGAAAAATTTCAGAGAAAACTTTACCTCTGACAGACAGGGTGACACCTGGGTAGCCAAAATATTTGTCCACGCTTGTCTCCATCCTGAACTTGTATTCAGCTGAGTCACTCCCTGTCAGGTTTGTGATTGTCAAGGTGGATCTGGTCCCATCATACGTGGTCTTCACACGACCTGAATACTCTGAGTCTGTTTCAATGTTTAGAAACTCATCACCACGTTTCCTAATAAACCAAAATGTTTTTAAGAGTTTGTTCTGCTTCCTCTCCATTGTTTTTGGGTACTTAAAGTTGCAGCTTATTTCCACAGTTGATCCTCTGGAGACACAGATCTGAGCTGTAGAGTAAGTCACCTCCCAGCCGTTCTGAGGCTGAGCCACTAAAACACAAAAATCAGAGAACACAGTCAATTTAACCAGACCAGGAAAAGTTTAAGACTGAACATGAAATAAATAAATCTGAACCAGATCATTGAGGTGCAGTCCGACATCATCTTGATATAACAATCACATGTAAGATATTTTTGTCAGGTTTAGCTTTTTTCTCTGTTTGATATTAGATTTTAAACTACTTATCAAAATATCTGAGAGAAGATTTATCCATACTGAAAAATTACAGATGTTTATATTCATCAACACTTCTCTAACCCAACAGCATTATTAACAGTGTAAATTATTTGACAGATTGTGCTGTTCTGTGAAAGTTTTCTCTGTGCAAAGTTAGCTGCCCAGTCAAGTGTGTATCTAAAAATAAATGCAGAAGTCTAAGGGGTGAGAAACTGTACAGCAGCTAATACTCAATGATTAGATAAGTGCTGTCAATGCAGCATCAGCATGGAAATATAACACCTATGAAGAGGAACAGACAGGGTTGTTGCAGATGTGTTGTAATAAATGAGTCCCTGAGACACTAGCCTGACTGCAAAACTAGTATCCACTAAAAAACTCAAAAAGTGATTTCAATACAGCAAATTACAATCAGAATTTTGGAGAAAAAACTGCAGGTTCTGCAAACAGAGTCTGTTTTTGATCAAATTAAAAAGGAAAAGCTGTAGATATGAAGTACCTGATACAGAGAGGAGAAGGATGAATCCACTCACTGCTGCAGTTAAACTCATCTCTGCTCCTCTCTCCTTTCTCTGGGACTTTAGGGATGATAACACAAGTCAAAAATGTGACATGAAAAGCACACAGGAGATGAAAAAGTATCAGACATTTCATTAAACTATTCTACTTACAAATATGACCAGCGTTGTGTTTTGAAGGGTGTCTTTTCTCTGCAGTCCGTGAGCAGAAGGCGGAAACTGAAGTGTGAAACAGACCAAAAAAGCCCTTCCTTTTTAAATGATAACATAAATGTTGATTCAAACACCAATAAGAGACCACACCTTAAAGAAGCTGTTTTTCATCAACTTAATCCTCTTGAAATGGTTAAGTTTGTCCTATCTTTTGATTTTATTTTAACATCAGTATCGACACGTTATCTCCATTAGTTGAGGAAGGATGTCAAAAAGTCTGTGGGTGAACAAAGTTGAATCAAAAACCTCAAAGAATGGGAGAAAAAAACTAATCTGTGTGAGCGGATTACACTTGAACGTCAACAGAAGTGTTTTTTTTTTTTTTTTTTTTGGGGGGGGGGTGTTGTAATCCTTTGAATCAGAGAGTAAATAGAGTGTCACACAAACAACAAATAGTAGAGTCAGGATGTTGCGTTCAACCTCCAGTCAAACTCTCATAGAGCTCGTTGTCACAAGAAAGGATTATCAAAAATGTAACATACATCGATCATCCCATAAATATTCTCAGTCACTACAAGATAAAGATGCAATCAATTAAAAAGATCACTTAGAGTTACTGCTTATGTGGCACTATGCGTTATTGAAGGCATTGAAATAGTCAAACCCCCATTTTATTTATATGAATAAAGTTCACGTGCAATACTAAAACTACTGTAGCGTCTATTTTCCTGTAAGATAGTGTAATATATGTTTCACCAGCAGGGGGCACTCGGTACCTCACCTAGCGGATAGCTGATGCAACAGCAGGAGAAGTCCAGTCAGTGTCTGAGGATGAAGCGTTCAGACCATAGACTGTATATACTTTGGACAACTTGGTTCCACCTTCTGCCAGTATACGGATTTGAAGCCAAAAAGCTCTCTGTGATTCTGCATTTTTTTCTCCACTTCCTGAAACCAACATTGCACATAGGCTGTATCAAGTGTCAATCATAGAAAACATGAACCACCTAATAACTTTTAAAAATGGAGCTGCACAGAAAAAAGAGGACTTGAGCACAAACCAGTCTTACAGTAGCTACATGTCAACATCACAGTTAGGGGGGAGAAGAATTTATATTTTGTGTAATAAATTTCTAAAGTTTGTCCACAGACCCCATAAGGATGGCTGGTGGGGGCAGGATTTATGACCTATACTGCAGCCTGTCACCAGAGGGCGCTGTTCTTGGGGTGGCTTCACCCAGCGAGGAGGCAGATGGCGTCCATTTTATATACAGTCAATGGTACAGGCACAGCATAGAGTACGCTCCTATTAATGACTGTTTTTATGTGTTTGCAGGTTAGCTGGTTCAGAAATACTATAAAAGTAATGGACAACAGTAATAATATATCTTAAGTGCCTTGGAGTGTAACAGACGTCGAGCTAAAGAGTGAATTCACAAGCTCATGGGTTTGTAAAGGCGACTCGCTGGATTGTGTATCTGTAATGGTGGACTCGTAGTCCATGGCAATCGTGGTCATGAACCAGAGGACTGAATTATGTCTCTTTTGAGTTTAAAGGATAGGCTAACTACTGAGAGATACACATTACAGCTGTAAAAATATAAGTTTATATCAAGAACCCGTATTAAGTCGATTAAGTTTTTTCTGTGGGGAGGTGCTTGTGTGGAGTTGAGCTGAGTGAGGGGCTGGGCTGGGCTGGCAGGTGCGGCTGTGGTGCCATGCTATGGTCCAGTTAGTAGACCGCAATGGGAGTCTGTATTGTGCACGCTTGTATTTTAGGTTAAAGCCACACTGTGTGTTTTCATTGTGGGAAGAGGGAAAGTAAAACACTTTATGTTCAGTGTATTAAGGGACAGTGCAGTGTTAATACATTAAAAGACATTGATTTGAAATAGATTTACTTAACTAAAGATCAGTTATACAGTTCATAAAGGAGATGTAATGGTTAAAATAGTATAAATATTGAGACAGTAATGTCATGGATTTTATTTCAACACCACTGTAGTATTGTGTTGCTTTAAGAGTTGTTTTACAGTGCAAGTGTAGAGTGTTTATCATAAAACAGAGAAGTCCAGTCAGTGTGTGAGGATGAAGCGTAAAGACACAGAACAGAGTGCGCTCCTATTAATGACTGTTTTTATGTTTTTGCAGTTCCTGTAAGAATAAATATGCTACACAGGAGATGAGTTGGCCCATCATTTTGGACAGTGAAATATTAGAGGGGCTGGACCAACAGATCTGCCAAAGTCTTGTTGACAGGACTTTTTTTTAACTACCTGGAAGGTGAAACACACTGCATCTGCGTACAATCACAAAAAAAAGATTAAGACAGTGAGAATGAATCTGAAGTTGGTCTGTTATCTCTGTGGAGGAGGTCAGACTCTCTGTAGAAACTGTTATAAACCAAGACACAGAGGAGAGAACACAATTGCACAACACCAGATCAGTTGGTCCAAAAGACAAGGATTTATTGTAAAACAGCAAGGTCAGAAATAAAGCAGGCAAAGGTAACACATGACTTGACTAAAACTATGCATAATGCTGGAACGTGACTATAAAGTGCAACGAACTGGTGACGAGACAGTGAGATGCATGAGATTAAATACAAGAGGTAGTGAGGGTGATGGGGAACAGGTGGGGAAACACAATCAGGCAGCAGGTGTGACAAAACGAGGGCAGACCAGACAGGAACAAAGCTAGAAGACAGAAACAAGAGTTGGTGAACTACAAAATAAAACAGGAAATACATGACATGAAACAAAACATGAATGTGCAAAAATAAAGGAAACTTAACCAACATGACAAAAGTAAGAGTTTGAAACATCTTATTTTTGACTGAGAGAACATGTGCAGCAAAGGATCATGGGCGGGAGTTGAACCAGCAACCGCTCAACAGGAGACTCCAGTCTAGTGATGGGACCAGTACACCATCAGCACCACTGGAGACACCCCACCCTGACTGGATTTCACACCCTGTCTTCCTGCTACTCTATGTCTTCAGTCTGTGCTGCAGTGACCGCTGAGACTTTCTCATTCTCATGAGCAGAGTCCAGCTGAGGACAGATGAAGAGAGTTGATCATCTTTGAAAGTATTTTAGTCCCATTTTGAAACTTTGATCCTGACATCTTTGAACAGGTCTGTAAAGATATTTTGTCAGCAGTCGGTCTCACCTCTATCATCTCTGCAGGTTCACTTGGTTCAGTGTTGGAGTTCAGAGGTTTCTTCTTCCTGGATTATTACATTTGAGAACAGTCAGTTTTACAGTGATAGAGAGAAAATAAATTAAACTATGAACCAAGTGAAGAAGCTCATAAAAGAAACGTGTTTGAATTGATGGAGTTTTATGGTTTTACCTTGTCAACAGACTCACGAGAGGTGGAGGAATCAACATCAAAAAGAACAGGGTAAACCTGATGCTAATTATGGTTGTTATTGTTGATTTCCCTTGAATGAAAGAAGAGAGATATGTGAGACACATTACTAACAGAATCAGACTGGTCTATATCTTTAGCTCTGTCTGAGACTCTGTTGAGCCAGAATCTGACATGGAGGTCCCTCCATGAATTATTCACTTTAGTCAGTTTTAAGATCTGATTCAGAGAAAACATGTTTGTGAAGGAAAAAATTAATTAATCAAATATATCATGAGCTGCTTTGAGTATTCAGGGTGAGCTCTCTGTGTGCAGGTGTGTAAATATCTCACCTGCCGCAACGATCTGATGTGGGCTGGATTTCTGGTGTCCTATTTTGTTTCGGGCTTCACAGTAATAATTCCCACTGTGATTAGCTCTGAACTCAGTGATGGTGAGGGTCTGTCCTGAAGCGTTTGCTGAGTCTTCACTCTCTTTGTACCAGGTATAAGTAGCTGCAGGGTTAGCATCACTGCTGCAGGTCAGAGTCACATGATTACCCTCCACTATCTCAGCAGAGGGACTCACTGACACAGAGGGACGTTTTGGAGCATCTGGAAGAGATCGAAAGAAAACTTTACATGGAGACTTAAGCCATTAAGAAGAGTTTTGTACCAGGTGATCTAACTTTGTAATGTCTTCTACTCACACTGGATATCTAGTGAGAGAGGGGGAGATACATGTGATCCATATTGATTCTCAGATCTGCAGTTGTATCTCCCTCTGTCCAGATGGCTGATGTTGAGAAAAGTATAAATTCCTCCTGTTGACTGACACGTGGTGTTGTTCTCCTTGTACCAGGTGGAACGTGGTGCTGGGTTGGCATAACTGATACAGGTCAGAGTCACTGAACTGCCCTCCACTATCTCAGAAGAGGGACTCACAGACACATAAGAGAACTTTGGAGCATCTGAAGACGGATAAAAACAGAAATGACAAAGAAACAAACACAGAATAAAAAAATGTTCTGGGATATGGTTGTGTATGGTTTTCATCCTTATGTTGATCCTTAAATGTGACTTTTTACTCACATTTCACATAGACTAAGACGTCCCTAGAGGACTCAGTGATGCCCCTCACTTCACAATAATACTGTCCAGAGTCTGAGGACTGAATGGAGCTGAAGACAAGCTGATTTCCTTTTCTGAGACTCAGACTTAGACGTCCACTTCTTCTGTACCAGGTATAAGTAGCATCTGGCTTAGCATCACTGCTGCAGGTCACAGTCACATGATTACCCTCCACTATCTCAGCAGAGGGACTCACTGACACAGAGGGAAGCTCTGGATCATCTGGAAATGGATTTAATCAAAGTTGGTAAATTAAACTTGCAAATAAACATATAAAAGAAGACATTTTGTCTTAGTGCTTTTTGTTCAAATACAGGATAAAACTGTTTTGAGGTATTGTTGTGTAGTTTATTGTCTTTCTAATGTGTTTGAACTGTGATGTTTCACATTTCAGAGAAAACTTTACCTCTGACAGTCAGGGTGACACCTGGGTTACCAGAATATTTATGGAGGCTTGTCTCCATCATGAACTTGTATTCTGCTGAGTCACTCCCTGTCAGGTTTGTGATTGTCAGGGTGGATCTGGTCCCATCACAGGTGGTCTTCACACGACCTGAATACTCTGAGTCTGTTTCAATGTTTAGAAACTCATCACCACGTCTCCTGATGAACCAAAATGTTTTTAAGAGTTTGTTCTGCTCCATGTTTATTGTTTTTGGGTACTTAAAGTTGCAGCTTATTTCCACTGTAGATCCTCTAGAGACACAGATCTGAGTTGTAGAGTAAGTCACCTCCCAGTCGTTCTGAGACTGAACCACTAAAACACAAAAATCAGAGAACACAGTCAATTTAACCAGACCAGGAAAAGTTTAAGACTGGACATGAAATAAATAAATCTGAACCAGTGGCGGCTGCTGGTCTTTCAAGGAAGGGAAGCTCATTTCTCTGGCCTACGTCATAATTGTGTTTGTTTATTAGTATGTAACAGAACAGAGTCGCCAAACACAACGCCAGTCGTTTTTAACAAAGACAAAAGTCGCTGAGGATCGGTAAAGTCTCCAGAGCAGTTAAGAACAACGGAATGAATAACTTGGAAAATGCTCTGATAGATGTTTTATTCTTCAAGATCGCTGATTCGCTTGTTTAGCTGTCAATCAAAAAAGGATTTCGCCTCAGACAGCTCATCCAATCATGGATGCAGAAGCTCAGCGTCCGCAAGAAAGTCGGGACCGCCCTCTCGTCATAGAACTCCAGAGAAGCTGAGCGTCCGATGGGCGGGACAAAGCCCAGCATTTATCCAATGAGCGTCTAGTTTGGCTGCTGGAACAACCCACTTTGAGCTTCCACATTGAAGTCAGCAGACACTGAGCATCCGGCTGTGTGAAGCGCTGAGGCGCTGCGAGGATGAATGAGGACGAAGTTATGCCGGTTACCTGTGATTATCAGCTTCTTATCACAGTGTCTGAACAAAAGATGAAGGCTTTCTAGTGTGCATTTAGTTAATGAAATGAACACACAGTAGTACATATTTCACCACTTTTTCTTTTTTTGGGGGGGTGACATTTTAAGGGAAGCTGAGCTTCCCTTGCAGTCTTAGGTGGTCTTTACACGAGTACAAATTTGTAAGACACCGGTAAAATAAACTATCGATCTGGTGATATTGACACATGGAGACGTGTATTTGTCCATGACTCCGCATCTTTTTTGAAACGGGTCTGCAAGTGGATATCTGGGTATTCGTCTTCATGCTGTAGTTGGTATAAATAGAGAAGTCCGGTAAAGACAGTGACCTCACAGCACCCCTCCTCCTCCCCGCCCCCCAACCCATGTTGTCACACACACAGCATGTATGTACGTGCATGCGCATTCTCTGTTTTTGGTGCTTTGTGGCAATTTCACAGTGTCACCTTTAGGCCGGGCGTATGTACTACAGGATTTTGCATGGATTTTGCGTTGTCATGTGAACGCACTAAGCCTATGTACAATACGATGTGTAAACATCGATACATGTTTTGGTGCCGATGCCAAGACAATACAGGGCCGTCCTCGTGTGAGGAGGGCCTTAGAGCAATGGCCACTGATCTGAACCAGATCAGTGAGGTGCAGTCCGACATCATCTCAATATAACAATCACATGTAAGATATTTGATCAGGTTTAACTTTTTTCTCAGTTTAGAAACAGTTTTCTTTCAGATTTTCAAAAGCTTATCAAAATATCTGACAGAAGATTTCTCCATGCAGAAAATTTACAGATGTTTATATTCATTAACACTTTTCTAACCCAACAGCAGCATTAACAGTGTAAATTGTTCGACAGATTGTGCTGTTCTGTGAACGTTTTCTAAGTGCAAAGTTAGCTGCCCAGTCAAGTGTGACATCTAAAAATGAATGCAGAAGTGTGAGAAACTGTACAGCAGCTAATACTAAATGATAAGATAAGTGCTGTCAATGCAGCATAGAAACAAAACACCTAATGAAAAGGAACACACAGGGTTGTTGCAGATGTGTGGTGATAAATAAGTCCCTGAGACACTAGCCTGACTACAAAACTAGTATCCACTAAAAAACTGTGATTTCAATACAACAAATTACAATCTGAATTTTGGAGAAAAAAATGCAGGTTCTGCAAACAGAGTCTGTTTCTTATCAAATTAAAAAGAGGCTGCAGGTTTCTCAGAGTGAAGAGGAAAAGCTGTAGACATGAAGTACCTGATACTGAGAGGAGAAGGATGAATCCACTCACTGCTGCAGTTAAACTCATCTCTGCTCCTCTCTCCTTTCTCTGGGACTTCAGGGATAATAACACAAGTCAAAAATGTGAAATGAAAAGCACACAGGAGCTGAAAAAGTATCAGACATTTCATTAAACTATTCTACTTACAAAGATGAACAGTGTTGTCTTGAAGGACATCTTGTCTCTGCAATCAATGAGCAGAAGGCGGAAACTGACGTGTAAAACAGACCAAAAAAGCCCTTCCTTTTTAAATGATAACATAAATGTTGATTCAAACACCAATAAGAGACCACACCTTAAAGAAGCTGTTTTTCATCAATGTAATCCTCTTGAAATGGTGAAGTTTTATTATCTTTAGATTTATTTTAACATCGACACCTTATCTCCATTAGTTGAGGAAGGATGTCAAAAAGTCTGTGGGTGAACAAAGTTGAATCAAAAACCTCAAAGTATGTGAGAAAAAAACTAATCTGTGTGAGCGGATTACACTTGAACTTCAACAGGAGGTGTTCTGGAGGTGTTTTAATCCTTTAAATCAGAAAGTAAGCATCGACTGATTTATATATCAGCAGTTTGTGCATCCATTGAACCATGAGTTACGATGTTTACCCCTGTGATACACTTTGTTGATGTTTATGTTGATCCATGAGTCTACTTTGATGACTTAACAGTACTTTTTGCTGTTGGTTTGTGTGATGTGACGAGCGATTAATGCCAATTGATGCGACGGGTTAGCAACACAGAGCTAGCCGCTAGTTAGCAATAGCCTCAGAGGATTAAGCTACTATGTTGTTAATTTCTCTTGTTTATTCATTGCACGTTAATGCTGACTCTAAGTTGGTTAATCATCTGGAGCTGTATCATTCATTATCTGATTAGGGATACATATCTAGCTCAGTATGTTTATGTTAAGTTGTACTTTATTTCTAATCAACCTGTATCGTTGTGTTTGTATTGCAGAAACCACATTCACATTCAAACAGAGTTCATAAAGAGTTGAAACTCTATTACTGGACTCTGTTTTCATTCTGCACATACCTGATCAATGTAAGTGTCCTGACCCGACACCCTGAAGTGATCGCTGCCGCCTAAGATCCCATTTAGTCAGCCTGTCACACAATTTTTGGTCCTTCGAGCCAGATCAGAGCAACTACTTAAGCCATATATGTTCAGCATGGAAAGGAGTAATCTATACAGTGAGTCTGATCGCCCGTGCCGATGCAGCCAACTGCCACCATATCCCCAGGACTTATGGGAGGTTACCCTGCTAAGCACCACCTCCCATATGATGAGTAGGCCAGACAGACAGACTATTTCTCCTGAGGTTCTTCAGTATATTAATAACATGAGAGTGGAACATGACCAACTGCGACGCGATGTGCAACGTCTTACAGAAGTCATCTCTAGCTCTCCTGTTCTAGCCCCACAGCATACAGCAAGGACGAGGTTCCTTGAGGTTCTTCACGAAGTCAACACCAGCCAAATTGCATCAACATCTGCTAAGCCCAACTCAACTGAAGAAAGCATCTGCTTGATAAGTTCCGTCTCAGAGACACTTTTGGTAGATTGACCAACCAACAGCAGCCAGATTTCACTTAAATTGAGTCGTGTCATCCTCAAGAGTGGTACCAAGGTGATTGAGACCTACACTACATTGGACGATGGTTCAGAGCATACCATCCTCTTACATGAGGCAGCTGAATGCATGGGGCTCCAAGGGGAACCTGAGGACCTAGCACTCTGTACTGTCCGGCAAGAGGTCTGCACTATCCATGGCGCCAATGTTTCATTCTCTGTAGCTCATGCATCACAGCATGGCAAGTCCTTCCAAATCCACAGAGCCCTCACTGCAAAGGAACTCTGCCCCGCTCACCATACTTATCCAGTGAAAGCTCTACAGGAGAGGTACTGTCATCTGAAGGACCTGCCACTGCCAAACATAAGGGAGGCCCAGCCACTGCTGCTCATTGGGTCAGATAATCCACATCTTATCACCCCAGTGGAGCCGGTAAACCTTGGTCCCCCTGGTGGATCTGCCGCTGTGCACACCAGACTTGATGGACACTACAAGGTCCATCAAGATTCCTGCGTCAATGGTTAACACCACAGCAGTGTCTTTTCACTTCCTGTCCCACACCAGAAGCTGAGTTTTTCAGCCATGTTGAGAGACTGTGGCAAATGGATACCTAACCGTATCGGAGCGGCTCATTACCAGGTCCACACAAGATGCTGAGGCCATCCAAATGCTTGAGGAGAAGACAATCAGTGGTACTGTGGATGGAGTAGAGGTTCAAGATAAAGACTGGTACCAGGGTTTTGAAAACAGATGAGATTTCCTTCCTCTGCGAGTCACTAAAGCTCATGATTATGGCTGATATGAACTTCCTTGACAAAAAATGGCCTTTTTTTGCAAATTTTTATCTACTCATGTGTCATAGATGGCTTGGGTGCATGTATTATCTGGCACTGATAGTGCATGACAGATTGTGGAGGATTAAGCTTAATTTACTGTCGTGCCAGCAAAAGTGGTGAAAAATATTTTGTATGAAACATGTATTGAAAAAGTGACAGCTTAAGCACAGTTTATGTAAAGTCTTTGAAATCATAAAGAAAATCGCCCAATTCAAAGTGAAATAAAAACACCCCATACCCATCATCAGTATTTACAGGTGTCCTGTACATATAGAAATATTTATTTCTAGTGTTTAAAAAGAGTTCATTTTAAATCCTGAGGAACACATAGAATTCTCAGAAATTTTGGTACAGATAGCAATGGCTTAATAGAGAAAGAACAAAAATATATCTACACATGGCCCCTCAGTTTATCTCTATGAGCACAGAGTCAGGATGTCTGCAGGAGAGCACTGGACCTGTGAGCCATGAGCTGGTTTACATGAACGAGACAAAAATCAGGCAGATAGTCAAGTATAAGAGAGGATTCATTTCGGCATTAAAATAATGAATGTCCTCTCCAGTAAAAACTGTCTTGTATTTAAAAACAAAAAAAAAAAAAAAAAGAAGGAAAATCAGTGAACTACAGTAAGAAGTAATATTTACAAATCCTGCAGCAAAATTGAGTTGCATACTAACCATCTTCTGAGTTTATAGAAATCAAAGTGTGAAAATATTAATTTGATTATACATTAAATGTCTCTGTTTCAATTAAACTAAAGTGGCTCAAAGACTGGCTAGAAACAGGAAGCAGGTCAGGGATTTTTTAAGCATTCATGATGTGAAATATAAACAAATTTAGGGAGACACTACAAAAGAATTAAAATAAATGTAAGACAACTGTTCATACTTGCTGCTAACAGGCAGAAATTAGGATGTTTGGGAGAGAAAACAGCATAATAGTTGTAAAGGACACATATCATGGCCCTTACATGTGCTCTATATTGAGTAACTGCTAATAAGCCACTGATAATGTGTCAGCTTATCAAAGGTATCATCCAACCTTGAAGGAAGGAGAAACTTGCACAGTTCAAATCTTGCAATTTAGTCTCAACATTGTGATCAGCTTTCTTTTTCTTCTTCCAACCCTTATAATCTCTTTGTGCTGCTGTTTGTGAAGCTGAAAGACATTTTTGAGGCTGAAGATGATGATGATGATGTTTCCACATCATCCACAGCTTTACCCTGGAACTCCACGCTGGGTCCTGCCACAAGTTACCCTGCATTTAAAAAACAAGAAAAGTCAAAACTGTCACAATGCAAACCAAATCATTCATTTGACTTCAGTGCAGAAGACTCTCACCTAACTGGACTTCACACCGTGTCTTCTTGCTCCCCTATGTCTCCAGTCTGTGCCACAGTGATGGCTGAGTCGTTCTCATACTCATGACGAAAGTCCTGCTGAAGACAGACGATGAGTTTTATCACAATGCTGATGTTTTGCACTGAACAAAACATGATCGGTCTCTGCTTGTTGCTTTTACTTTAAATCATGAACTATCCTCTCTCTCTCTCTGTGTCTGTATCTTACCTTTTTTCAGAGGGAGCTCATTTCAAAATAAAAGCATAGTTGCACAATGCAGGGTATAGATCAACCGAAAAGCAGGATAGAAAAGTACCAAAATAAAAGCAGGAAACTCAATCGTTTTATGAGACATTATGCATATAGGTTGAGTTGACATGAAGTACTGAGTTGCTCCACTCTTGTCTTGCCGTACCTCAATCTGTCTAATTGTGTGGTTTTAATATTCAGTTTATTACAGTAGTATATTTTTAGCAATAATTTAAATTAATTCAAATTTCTTACCTCAATTATCTCATTTGGTTTACAGGTGATGCACAGACTTGTCTTTCTCCTTGATTAAGTCGAAAATCAACAAATTCACATTTTGACAAAACGGAAACACCATTTAAATAAAAGTGATAAGGTTGGTGGATGAGACATAATTGGCCTAATTACTTTTATGGTCATACCTGGTCCACAGAATCAGGAGGAGCAAAAGAATCAACACCAAGAGGGACACAGTCAGCCTGATGATGTTCATGTTTACTGTTGAGTCCCCTAGAATTGAAGAGGGACATGAGACACACTCAGTCAAGACCACTCCTGTCAAACAGGGGCAGTTAATTTCATTTGATAAGCTTTATTTGTCTGTGTGGCTCTTTGGGTAATCTCAAGTCTTTTGCACACACAAAGCCGAGGCAGGGAGAGCAGCAGCAAAGACACATGGGGTGACCAGCTGAGCTTTCAGCTGATATGAGCTGGCTTTAATGCACTGTGGGCTGTGCTTGACTTACAGTTATGCTAAATTTGCATTGGTAAAAATAAGTAAGTAATAAATCCCACCAGCAACAACAATCTCATGTAAGGCAGATTTTTGGCGTCCTCTTCTGTTCCGGGCTTCACAGTAATAACTCCCACTGTGTTCAGCCCTGAACTCAGTGATGGTGAAGGTCTGTCCTGAAGCTTTCGCTGAGTTCTCATTCTCTTTGTACCAGGTGTAAGTAGCTGCAGGGTTAGCATCACTGCTGCAGGTCAGGGTCACATTATTACCCTCCACTATCTCAGCAGAGGGACTCACTGACACAGAGGGAAGTTTTGGAGCATCTGGAGGAGATTTAGAGAAACCTCTGTCACTTGTAACAACATAATGAATGCATAAGCTCTTCCCAGATATTTGTTAGGCATTTATTGTCAGAAAGCCCATTTGTATTTGCACAATTTGGACACAACACACAGACTTAGTCCTCAGACACTACGACTCAACCCACTGCTCACAGGATATGTTTATCTGATCAAAATGCACCACATTAGCTCCTAAAGAGGGAGACTGTGCTGAAATAACAAACTACACACATCACTGTATCCGCCAGGTGCTCTGAAGCATTTTGTGTTGAACATCATGCAAAACTGAGACCAAAATTCTCAATATACCAGTGACTTGCATCAAAGATCCAATTCGCTGAGCTTACTTATTACTGGATGCAGAGGAGCATGTCTGTGTGATGCACCTGCAGATGGTGCAAAAACAGGCTTTCTGATTGTACTTCAAAGTGTTAAAAAAAAACAGACAAAGATGAGGGCTTGGATCAGAGTCGCTCAAAATGAGCAAAATTATGCATCAGAGTTGGCCCCATCTGCAGAAACAGTAGTGTCCTGTTTATATCCACAGGTTCTCAGGAAAGAGGCTGAGCTGGCCAGTACACAATGTGGCTAAAACACTGACTGCAGTAATGACATATAACTCATACAACCTCACTTGAAAAATAGTGAAATATACCTTTAAGGTTATAGATAATGTGAGAAAGTCTTATGCAACTACCATTATCTTTTGAACTACGGATAGACTTTGTCAACACGAAACTCAAGTTTTTCATCAAGATATTTTAAACAGGAGTTTTTAATCCTGCGTTACCATGACATCAGATTTTCTTATGTTTTTACTCACACTGGACATCAAGAAGTCGAGGAGTCGACATGATTGATCCATATTGATTCTCAGACTTGCAGACGTAGTATCCCCTGTCTAGATGGCTGATAGAGTGGAGGTTATAAACACTTCCTGCAACATGGAACATGTCTTCATTCTCCTTGTACCAGGTGTAAGTAGCTGCTGGGTTAGCATCACTGCTGCAGGTCAGAGTCACATGATTACCCTCCACTATCTCAGACGGACTCACTGACACAGAGGGAGGCTGGGGAGCATCTGTATGTGGATGAACAAATAAATGAGTTCAACAAACACACAAAAAACACATGAAGAAAAAATCAAAAGCCTTTAAGATCAAAATGCTTTTAAGCTTTGACGTTTGACTAACATTTTACATCAATAAAGACATCTTTACGCTGCCTCCCAAGGTGGTTACTGGTGTGACATCTGTATGCTCCAGAGTCAGAGGATTGAATTGAGCTGAAGACAAGCCTTGGTCCCACACTGAGGTGCTCACCACTGTTTATGTTGTACCATGTATAAGTAGCTGCAGGGTTAGCATCACTGCTGCAGGTCAGATTTACTGAACTACCCTCCACTATCTCAGCAGAGGGACTCACTGACACAGAGGGAGGCTGTGGAGCATCTGGAGGAGAGGACAAGAACAAACCAACACCCAGTAACAATAAATCTTCCTTAAATATATAAAAGATACCACAATCGAGTCTTTCCCTTTTTTTTCCTTCAGACTCCTGATGGCCTGGTTACTAATCCCCATTCCTACTTATAAGTGTCAAACTTCTCAGAACTTAACATCTTTTTAGACTGATGGATCAGGAAGCAAGTTTTGTTAAAGAAGAAGAAGAAGTAGAAGAACTTTATTAATCCCTGAAGGGAAATTGAATAGCTCTTATCTCATTTTTGAGTAGTAGCAGTAGCAGTAGCAAAATTCAATTTACTGATAGTTATAAAACACACGGAATATTTTAGCTAAAGGAACAAAAGAAATGCATGTACAGATCAATCCTGTCAGTAAACTTACACACTGAAGGCGAGGTGAACTCCTCATACCCTCTCAGAGCACAGGAAAATCTGTCTGTCTGAAGAATTTTGCCAGGATGAAATGAGAATTTACTATCTTCAACTCTCCTGCCATTCTTGAACCATGTGAAGACAGTATCATCGGGGCAACTGCTGATACAATCCAGTAATAACGTGTCATGTGATCTGCGCACCTCTACCTGCAGAGCTGAACATGTGTTCATAAGTGATCATAATAACACAATTATTTAGAGATTTTCAAAAAAGGTGACCTTGTAGATTCTTAAGCGGAAAATTTACCTGTGACAAACAGGGGGACTCCTTGAAGACCAACTTGTTTGTAATGGCTTGTTATGAGCATGACGTGGTACTTAGCTGAGTGGCTCTCTCTCAGGTCTCTGATTCTCAGAGTGCATGTGTCCCGGACACAGATGTTCTTCACATGACCTGCATACTGTGAGTCTGTCTCAACAGCATGGTTTTCATGGCCGTCTTTTTGGCCCAACCATACTTTTTCAATAAGGTTATCACTCGTATGTATTGCGGCTGACTTAGTGAAGCTGCAGTGTATTTCCACAGTTGATCCTGTAGGAGCACAGATCTCATCTGGGTAGTAACTCATTCTCCAGCTTCCTTGACCCTGAACCACTGTAATACAGAACAGAAAACACAATCCACATTAACACAAAAAAATGAGAAAAAGTGTCAGACTTAAAGTTTGTGTGAGGAACTTTCATTATGTCAATTTTGGCTTCCTGCTCACTTTTGACAATGAAATGTGTCATTTATCATGAATATTTTATGCAAAGCTGATAGTATACAGACTTTTTTTTAAATGAACAAAATGATACATTTGGTTGTCAAAAGTTTGCAAGTTGAGAAACGTTTCAGAAGATGCTACCTAACTCTTCCCCCACTAGCATTTTATGTAAAAGTTGACATCCATCGCCAGTATTTTGACCACATTTGGTTAACTCTCAAGCTTCCAAAATGAATATATATTTAATGGATTTACCAAAACAGTATAACGCTTCAGTTTTCATTAATAAAACCTCATTTTATTCTAATTTGTTCCATTCGTTTTTGAATCTGTATTTAAATATTGATTATTTTCATCACTTCAGCCTATAAAGGTAAGTGTATTTTTGCCATTTAAAAAAGAAAATTGAAAGGTCTCTCACATTTCTTTATAATTCATGCTGTGATAACATTGTCTGCATGATCTCCCTGTTATCTGTGGAAGTTCCTCACTTGTTAACAGTGTCAGGGATGCTGTACTATTGCCCAAAGTACATCATAGCACCACCCACAGATTGACAGAATATCTTTGAGAGAGGCAAAGACTGCTACTGTCCACAGGAGGGCGCCAAGCTAGTGCAGCATCCGCACAGTCTCCTCTGTGCCGACTTTGCTGCTGATGGAGTGTCAAAGTTAAAAATAAATGCAGAGCTCTGAGGTGTGAAAAACTGAGCAGCTGCTACTACTCAAAGATGAGATAAGAGCTTCAATATAACATGGAAATGTCAAACCTTACATCTGCAGGGTTTGACGCAGATGTAAGACGACAGATAAAAATCGGAGAGAGTCTTGACTGGAAAGCAACTCACTCAAAAAATAAAAAAAAAGGTCAGATATCTTTGTAAAGAAAACTCAATTTCTCCCTCAAAAGTTCAGGTTTTTCTCTAACTGATGCAAAACTAAGCTTTAAAAAATCTGAATATAAAAACATATTTTTTTGAAAAAAAGAATGATGCCAAAAAGGATGGAAAAACACAACTTGACATACTTGACAAACTTGACAGTTTCTACATTGTAACTGTACGGTTAGGGAGCTGTCCATCACAAGAGCACACACCCATCATAACTGATCAAAACGGTTAAATCTGTGATTCTATATTAATCAGTCTCTTAATTTACTTAAGTTTTCCCTATTAAACATGACAAGTTGAACTGGAAATATTATGAAGGTACCTGACACTGAGAGAAGAAGGACAATAAATCCAGTTACTGCTGTAGTTAAACTCATCTCAGCTCCTCTCCTCTTTCTCTGTGGCCTGAAAGACAATACAACAAACCAGCGGACAAAACACTGAGAACATGAAACTTTAAAATCGATCAGACTTATCAATAAAATGGCAGCTTACACTGATTAATGATCTCCAATTTAAAGGTGCCTCTCCTTTGCAGTTCATGAGTAGATAAGCACTATCAGGGCATCAAACCGTGAGATGTCCTTCCTCTGTGAGCGGTTAACAGAAATGATGATTCAAATACTGGTGAGAAGATCCTCGCTGTTATAGGAAGTACGTGTCCGTCATGGTTCTTGTGAGTTAAATGGTTCAGGAACTGAAAGAGCTGTTTTTTTCCTGAATTCCCATCAACAGGAGCATCTAGTTTACCTGGGGGGATCCAAACCCTGCTGGGAAGATGGATCACTGACAACTTGAGCCAAAGCCTGAGCATACAGCCTACATAGACGTGGAGAGGACTGATCTGTGGATCTGGATTCTGGAGTCCGAATGTGAAACTTTAACATCTCCTCTAGAGTAAAGTGAAATATTTGATATTTCAGAAGCTGAATCAGGACCTAAACCCAATGAGTGAGTCATTGATGAATCATATTTATACCCATTATGTGGTGATTTTCAGCAAGTGTTCCAGTCCTTTGGAGCTGCATCGCCAGGACAGCAGACTTTCTAATGTTTTCTACTCAGCTAATGGAGAGAAATTATAAATCCTTCCTGCTGCATGAAATGTGGTGTTGTTTTCCTTGTGCCAGGTGGTTCTAGCTGCAGGGTTAGCATAACTGCTGCAGGTCAGAGTCACTGAACTGCCCTCCACTTCTCAGTAAACAGACTCACTGACACAAAGGGAAACTTTGGGGCATCTGGAGGAGGAAACAGGAAAGAATTTAACTCCTAACATCCTTTTACAGCACTGGAAAATCTGTCTGCATGAAGAACCTGGTCAGGGTCATAACTTGATGATTTTTCATGGTCAAATTTTTGTCCGCCTTTGAACCAGACATATGAAGTACCTTCAGGTCAACTATACTGTGACATTCCAGGGTCAAACCTCCTTGGGCTCTATTTTCGTTCGCGCCGGTGAGGCGGCGGAGGGCGGCGAGCCCCGCGCAGTTGTATTTTCGTCTGGTGGAGCCCGGCGTAAGGCGAGTTTGGTATTTTCCTGGACTGATTCGCACAGAGGCGAGCCGAGATCCGCCAAGCTGGGCGTGGTGGTGTGGCAGGGGGAGGTGTTGACAGAATCAGCTGGCGCAGTGACATTTTCGTGCTCGCCAACGGCGTGTAAAGTGCGCTGAAAGCTCGCCGATTCAAACCTGGTCAGCTTTCAGCGCAAGGCGGAACGCAGCTGGTCTAGTAGTATTTTGGTAGACCGGCGGCGTATCGACATACGTCACTGATGCCTCACCGGCAGGTTTCCACAGTGTCAGGCACATTTCAGTGCAATAAGTAATCATCAACAACTAATAATCTGAGTCAGCACATACATTTAGATCTATATCGATATATTCTGATCTATATCTGATCTGATGAGCGCGTTTGGCACGCGTTTGGACACACAACCTGACCGAATCAACACAGCTGAAACCGCATCAAATTAAATTAAATATCTAGTAAATAAACACACATGATGAAGTTAACAAGATATGTAATGTGTCTCCCTCCTTTTCTTTCTTCCTCTTCCTCTTATTTCTCGCGCAGCTCGACCTGGACACGCCTCCGTGTCCTCTGTCCGTCTTGCTGCTGCTGCGACTGAACAGATGATTTGTTTCAGTGCTCAGATGCGTGATCTACTTTAAGCCGACATACGGATATTATAATATTCAGTTTTGTGAGCCAAATTTATTTTATATGCCAACATCTATGAAAGAAAGAGCCAGGCCACAGAGCGCGATGCGTCATTTACGCACAGATGGTTCCAATTTTAATGCCATTTTTGGAGTTTATGTTGTGATCTGTGCGCTAAACCCACCTTTGTCACGTGAGGTTTGAATATATGCAACTTTATGTGAGTGTCTTTATTTGTGGAAAAGGGTGTTTGTCTTACCACTGGGTCCAACATTACGCACACTAAATCCATCTGTGCTCATATGAGAGAGTGTGGAGGACACCCAATGCAGCGCTACAGTGACACTTGTTGAGGAGCTGCCCTCTGTCGCCATCTTGTGGCATTACTGTCTTAAGACATCTCTTGATCTCTTTGACTACTTCATGAAAATAGTAATACGCCTCGCCGGTGGCGGATTTAAAGGCAAGGAAAGGAGCTTATGTGATTGGTGAAAACAGGTCTCGGCTTTGTTAAAATCACTACACGCCCTTTCTCCGACTTATGGTGCTGGGAGGAGCTGAGTTAGGGAGGGGGGATACTTACGCCGGGCTGCGCGGCTCACCAAAATACCAAAATGTGCTTGGGAACGCCTTGTCAGCGCGGCAGATCTGATTGACGCTGCGCTTGCGGCAGATCTCCGGCGAGGCACCAAAATAGAGCCCCAGGACTCTTCTACCACAGAGCCATGTTGTTCTATATGTGTATAAGGAGCTTTGGCATTGTCTTGCTGAAATTTACAAGATGACGGATGGTACTACGTTCCTCCAAAACCTACTTCTAATTTTTAGCATCAATGATGCTTACCCAGATGGGAAAGCTACTCATGCTCTCGTTTCTTATCTATACCTATGCCACTGGGGGTGCATCCATGATTTCCAAAGAGAAAGCCAAATTCTGATTTGTCAGACCACAAGACAGTTTTCCCAAATCATAGATAAATATTTTCAGCCATTTAAGTGTTTTTCACTCACATTTGACATCAACAGAGATGGGTTTGGACGCTCTCCTCCCCAGCTCGTTCTCAGCTGCACAGTGGTACTCTCCAGAGTCAGAGGACTGGATGGAAGTGAAAATAAGCTGTGGTTTTTCACAGGACAGTGCTTGGTTCCTCTTGTACCAGGTGTATGTAGCTGTAATGTTAGCATCACTGCTACAGTTCAAAGTGACCGAGCTGCCCTCTGTTATTTCACCAGGAGGACTTGCTGACACTGAGGGAGCATTCAGAGCATCTGTAGGGAAAAAAATCACTGACTAATAAAATGAGTAGCTAATGTGACAAGCCATTAAATGTGGTTGACCCCTTTGAAGGCAGCCATAGTGGAGCAAACTCACACAGTGTGGAGGAGCCATACTCTTCAAGCCCTTTCAGAGCACAGGAGATGGAGTGTCCTGGCAAAAAACAGTCATCATGAGAGGAGCTCTCCTCATTTGGGATTTTTTCTCCATTCTTGAACCAGACATATGAAATGCCACCAGATATAGTGCAGCTGTTGTGACACTTCAGTGTTGCTCCAGTATAATCCTCTTTGACTGTTACAGAAGTTACCTGCACCTGCGGAGCTGGACATCCAGAATATAGAAGGATAACAGTGAGAGTGCTTCAAATGGAGTTATAAGCACTTTTATTTGTGTTTACCTGAAAACACTTTCATGCAAACACTTTGAATAATCACAAAAAAACACTCGGGGAAAGGAATCTTACTAAGAGGAGGTAAAAGTTTGCAAAATGTACTGCTGTATTTGGTGTGTTCTTCAGTACCTGTGACGGTCAGATTTGTACCAGGTAAACTGCTCCTCCATTCAAAGCTCATTGATTTAAACTTGAAGCGATACTCGGCCGAGTCACTCTCTCTCAGTTCAGAGATTCTCAGAATGGACTGTCCTCCCCAAGCTTCTAAGACCCCAATACGACCTTCATACTTGGAGTCCTTCCGTACGTCTTCAGGCTGCGTTTCAGTCTTCCACTGGTGACTGCGTTCAGGACTAAACCAGAATTTTGATGCACGACCCCAGTAACTGTTGTATGAGCATGAAATGTCCACTGATGAACCTTCAGGGGCACAGATCCTTCTCATCATGTAAATCACATTGTTGCAGTATTGACCATGAATACCTACAAATAAAAAAAAACAAACAGATATTTTATATCAGTAAAATACATTTTTCACATGGAGACCTGTAAAAAAAAAAACAGTTGTACAAAACAGCAGCTGGGCGTACGTTGAACTTACAGACTGGAGGAGAGGGAAAATCCTCATATCCTCTCAGAGCACAGGCGTAGCTGTCCACAGAATCCAAGCGGACCAAAAAAGTAGCTGTTTCTGTCTGAATTTTCTCTCCATTCTTGAACCAGATGTAAGACAGGTGACCAGCTTGACTGCAGCTGCTGTGACACTTCAGCTCTGCATGGTCTGAAGTCCTGTGGACTGACTCTGTGTTCACCTGAACCTGCAGAGCTGAATATTTGGGTCAGAACCAAACATGATTTTGATGAAGGGTCTTTTAATCAGTGAGTAAAATATAAATATAGCATAAAAAGTGTAAATCATGAAGTCATGAGCAAATAAGTTTACAGTATTGTTAGAGAAACAACCTTTAGTACCTGTGACAGTCAGAGTTGTAGCAGGTAAAACACTGCGCCATTCAAGACTGTTTGATTTAAATTTGAAGTGATACTGAGCTGAATCAGTCAGCCTCAGGTCAGTGATTCTCAGGGTCGAATGTCCACTCTCAGTTTCAACAACTTGAACACGACCCGAAAACGCAGAGTCTTCCCTTAGGTCCTCAGGATTTGAAGGAAACCTCCAGTGGCTACTGCGCTCTGGACTAAACCAGAAGTTTGGTGTAGTTGCTCTATAACTGTTATAAGTACAAGAAATGTCAACTGAGGAGCCTTCTAATGCACAGATTTTTCTGTCAGTGTACGTCACTCTGTTGCAGTTTTCTCCTTTGACACCTGGAAGAAAAAAGTTCAGTGAACAAAACTGTGGAAACAACACTTTTACAGATGAAATGCATGACAGGTTGTTGGAGTGACTTCAGATGGCGTTTTGGAAAAAAAATAACTGGAACAACAATCCATTAGAAAAGATAGAAAATCCAGTCTTACAATTAACCGCACTGGTAGTCTGTTTGTGGTAGACTGTTGTGTATACTCACACACAGCAGGAGAAGGGAAATCTTCATGTCCTTTTAAAGCACAGGCAAAACTATCTGCAGGATAAATGTCTTCTGAAACTGATGCGGTTTCTTTTGAAATCCTGCGTCCATTCCTGTACCAGATGTAGGAAAGCTGATCAGAGCTGGGGTGACAACTGCTGTGACACTTGAGCTCTGCTCGGTCTTCTGTTGAGTTAATCACTGTCACGTGTGGATCTGAATCAGTCAAGAATGAGCAGAAATACAACCTCCAATCAGGTGACAGCATAATTCAATAAGCTGGTTTTATTGCAAAAAGTAAGTTTTGGTGATGTAATAAAAAGTGGTCAATAAGCTGAGAGAAGACAGCTCCAATTCGTAATCATGTTTGTTTGACTACAGCATCTCAATCAAGTTTCTAAACCAGCAAGTTCACACTTAAAGTGAGCAAGTATACCTCTCAGATCCAGATCCAAAGAAAGAGTCAATTACCTGTGACAGACAGAGTGACTCCTGGTGACTCAGTTACACTATCATCTTGGTGGTTCATAATCAGCCTGATCTTGTACTCAGCTGCGTCGCTCTCAGTCAGGTCTGTGATCCTCAAAGTGCAGCTGCTCTCATGAAAATGATACTCAACACGACCAGTGTAGTCTGGGTCTGATCTCAGATCCACTGGGCTGCTTCCATTCATTCTTGTAAACCAAAGAATGCCCACAGGCACAGCATGATGCTCACCCCAGTTGGGTGGATGTATGTAAGTGCAGGGTATATCCACAGTCATTCCTTTCAAGGCACAGATCTGAGTAGAGGAGTAAGTCACTCCCCAGTCCTGCTGACCTTGTACCACTGCAACACAAAGCACATTAGAAAACTAGAATCACAACCATGACTTTTTCTGAAAATGGTATCAGAGAAAAGAACTCAGACAAGCCCATCCTGTCTGGAGATCATACTGTAGAGTCCATGCATTCTCACTCAACCTGCTAGATATCATGTGACTTTGATGTAGCTT